GAGCTGCGCCGGCCTCCACGGTCGAGCGGATCACACAAGCACCTGGCATGGACGTCGCGGTACGGCCAATTATCGTCGTCAGACTGCCTTCCTCCACGTCAGTCTCCTCGCGCGTCTCCGTCTCCACCGTAACGCTCTTCTCACCCGTAGTCGTCTCCGTCTCCGTGGTCGTTTCCACGTCAACCGTCTTCACTACCTCACCGCTGGCCAACGTCGTCGGGCGCGTTGTTGCCTTCACCGTCTTCGTCACGATGCTGCCGTCAGCTTCTTGAGACTCGAACACCTCCGTCTGCACTGACTCGCCTGGAGCTGCGCCGGCCTCCACGGTCGAGCGGATCACACGAGCACCTGGCATGGACGTCGCGGTACGGCCAATTATCGTCGTCAGACTGCCTTCCTCCACGTCAGTCTCCTCGCGCGTCTCCGTCTCCACCGTAACGCTCTTCTCACCCGTAGTCGTCTCCGTCTCCGTGGTCGTTTCCACGTCAACCGTCTTCACTACCTCACCGCTGGCCAACGTCGTCGGGCGCGTTGTTGCCTTCACCGTCTTCGTCACGATGCTGCCGTCAGCTTCTTGAGACTCGAACACCTCCGTCTGCACTGACTCGCCTGGAGCTGCGCCGGCCTCCACGGTCGAGCGGATCACACGAGCACCTGGCATGGACGTCGCGGTACGGCCAATTATCGTCGTCAGACTGCCTTCCTCCACGTCAGTCTCCTCGCGCGTCTCCGTCTCCACCGTAACGCTCTTCTCACCCGTAGTCGTCTCCGTCTCCGTGGTCGTTTCCACGTCAACCGTCTTCACTACCTCACCGCTGGCCAACGTCGTCGGGCGCGTTGTTGCCTTCACCGTCTTCGTCACGATGCTGCCGTCAGCTTCTTGAGACTCGAACACCTCCGTCTGCACTGACTCGCCTGGAGCTGCGCCGGCCTCCACGGTCGAGCGGATCACACGAGCACCTGGCATGGACGTCGCGGTACGGCCAATTATCGTCGTCAGACTGCCTTCCTCCACGTCAGTCTCCTCGCGCGTCTCCGTCTCCACCGTAACGCTCTTCTCACCCGTAGTCGTCTCCGTCTCCGTGGTCGTTTCCACGTCAACCGTCTTCACTACCTCACCGCTGGCCAACGTCGTCGGGCGCGTTGTTGCCTTCACCGTCTTCGTCACGATGCTGCCGTCAGCTTCTTGAGACTCGAACACATCCGTCTGCACTGACTCGCCTGGAGCTGCGCCGGCCTCCACGGTCGAGCGGATCACACGAGCACCTGGCATGGACGTCGCGGTACGGCCAATTATCGTCGTCAGACTGCCTTCCTCCACGTCGAGTCTCCTCGCGCGTCTCCGTCTCCACCGTAACGCTCTTCTCACCCGTAGTCGTCTCCGTCTCCGTGGTCGTTTCCACGTCAACCGTCTTCACTACCTCACCGCTGGCCAACGTCGTCGGGCGCGTTGTTGCCTTCACCGTCTTCGTCACGATGCTGCCGTCAGCTTCTTGAGACTCGAACACCTCCGTCTGCACTGACTCGCCTGGAGCTGCGCCGGCCTCCACGGTCGAGCGGATCACACGAGCACCTGGCATGGACGTCGCGGTACGGCCAATTATCGTCGTCAGACTGCCTTCCTCCACGTCAGTCTCCTCGCGCGTCTCCGTCTCCACCGTAACGCTCTTCTCACCCGTAGTCGTCTCCGTCTCCGTGGTCGTTTCCACGTCAACCGTCTTCACTACCTCACCGCTGGCCAACGTCGTCGGGCGCGTTGTTGTCCTTCACCGTCTTCGTCACGATGCTGCCGTCAGCTTCCTGAGACTCGAACACCTCCGTCTGCACTGACTCGCCTGGAGCTGCGCCGGCCTCCACGGTCGAGCGGATCACACGAGCACCTGGCATGGACGTCGCGGTACGGCCAATTATCGTCGTCAGACTGCCTTCCTCCACGTCAGTCTCCTTCGCGCGTCTCCGTCTCCACCGTAACGCTCTTCTCTCACCCGTAGTCGTCTCCGTCTCCGTGGTCGTTTCCACGTCAACCGTCTTCACTACCTCACCGCTGGCCAACGTCGTCGGGCGCGTTGTTGCCTTCACCGTCTTCGTCACGATGCTGCCGTCAGCTTCTTGAGACTCGAACACCTCCGTCTGCACTGACTCGCCTGGAGCTGCGCCGGCCTCCACGGTCGAGCGGATCACACGAGCACCTGGCATGGACGTCGCGGTACGGCCAATTATCGTCGTCAGACTGCCTTCCTCCACGTCAGTCTCCTCGCGCGTCTCCGTCTCCACCGTAACGCTCTTCTCACCCGTAGTCGTCTCCGTCTCCGTGGTCGTTTCCACGTCAACCGTCTTCACTACCTCACCGCTGGCCAACGTCGTCGGGCGCGTTGTTGCCTTCACCGTCTTCGTCACGATGCTGCCGTCAGCTTCTTGAGACTCGAACACCTCCGTCTGCACTGACTCGCCTGGAGCTGCGCCGGCCTCCACGGTCGAGCGGATCACACGAGCACCTGGCATGGACGTCGCGGTACGGCCAATTATCGTCGTCAGACTGCCTTCCTCCACGTCAGTCTCCTCGCGCGTCTCCGTCTCCACCGTAACGCTCTTCTCACCCGTAGTCGTCTCCGTCTCCGTGGTCGTTTCCACGTCAACCGTCTTCACTACCTCACCGCTGGCCAACGTCGTCGGGCGCGTTGTTGTCCTTCACCGTCTTCGTCACGATGCTGCCGTCAGCTTCTTGAGACTCGAACACATCCGTCTGCACTGACTCGCCTGGAGCTGCGCCGGCCTCCACGGTCGAGCGGATCACACGAGCACCTGGCATGGACGTCGCGGTACGGCCAATTATCGTCGTCAGACTGCCTTCCTCCACGTCAGTCTCCTCGCGCGTCTCCGTCTCCACCGTAACGCTCTTCTCACCCGTAGTCGTCTCCGTCTCCGTGGTCGTTTCCACGTCAACCGTCTTCACTACCTCACCGCTGGCCAACGTCGTCGGGCGCGTTGTTGCCTTCACCGTCTTCGTCACGATGCTGCCGTCAGCTTCTTGAGACTCGAACACCTCCGTCTGCACTGACTCGCCTGGAGCTGCGCCGGCCTCCACGGTCGAGCGGATCACACGAGCACCTGGCATGGACGTCGCGGTACGGCCAATTATCGTCGTCAGACTGCCTTCCTCCACGTCAGTCTCCTCGCGCGTCTCCGTCTCCACCGTAACGCTCTTCTCACCCGTAGTCGTCTCCGTCTCCGTGGTCGTTTCCACGTCAACCGTCTTCACTACCTCACCGCTGGCCAACGTCGTCGGGCGCGTTGTTGCCTTCACCGTCTTCGTCACGATGCTGCCGTCAGCTTCTTGAGACTCGAACACCTCCGTCTGCACTGACTCGCCTGGAGCTGCGCCGGCCTCCACGGTCGAGCGGATCACACGAGCACCTGGCATGGACGTCGCGGTACGGCCAATTATCGTCGTCAGACTGCCTTCCTCCACGTCAGTCTCCTCGCGCGTCTCCGTCTCCACCGTAACGCTCTTCTCACCCGTAGTCGTCTCCGTCTCCGTGGTCGTTTCCACGTCAACCGTCTTCACTACCTCACCGCTGGCCAACGTCGTCGGGCGCGTTGTTGCCTTCACCGTCTTCGTCACGATGCTGCCGTCAGCTTCTTGAGACTCGAACACCTCCGTCTGCACTGACTCGCCTGGAGCTGCGCCGGCCTCCACGGTCGAGCGGATCACACGAGCACCTGGCATGGACGTCGCGGTACGGCCAATTATCGTCGTCAGACTGCCTTCCTCCACGTCAGTCTCCTCGCGCGTCTCCGTCTCCACCGTAACGCTCTTCTCACCCGTAGTCGTCTCCGTCTCCGTGGTCGTTTCCACGTCAACCGTCTTCACTACCTCACCGCTGGCCAACGTCGTCGGGCGCGTTGTTGCCTTCACCGTCTTCGTCACGATGCTGCCGTCAGCTTCTTGAGACTCGAACACCTCCGTCTGCACTGACTCGCCTGGAGCTGCGCCGGCCTCCACGGTCGAGCGGATCACACGAGCACCTGGCATGGACGTCGCGGTACGGCCAATTATCGTCGTCAGACTGCCTTCCTCCACGTCAGTCTCCTCGCGCGTCTCCGTCTCCACCGTAACGCTCTTCTCACCCGTAGTCGTCTCCGTCTCCGTGGTCGTTTCCACGTCAACCGTCTTCACTACCTCACCGCTGGCCAACGTCGTCGGGCGCGTTGTTGCCTTCACCGTCTTCGTCACGATGCTGCCGTCAGCTTCTTGAGACTCGAACACATCCGTCTGCACTGACTCGCCTGGAGCTGCGCCGGCCTCCACGGTCGAGCGGATCACACGAGCACCTGGCATGGACGTCGCGGTACGGCCAATTATCGTCGTCAGACTGCCTTCCTCCACGTCAGTCTCCTCGCGCGTCTCCGTCTCCACCGTAACGCTCTTCTCACCCGTAGTCGTCTCCGTCTCCGTGGTCGTTTCCACGTCAACCGTCTTCACTACCTCACCGCTGGCCAACGTCGTCGGGCGCGTTGTTGCCTTCACCGTCTTCGTCACGATGCTGCCGTCAGCTTCCTGAGACTCGAACACCTCCGTCTGCACTGACTCGCCTGGAGCTGCGCCGGCCTCCACGGTCGAGCGGATCACACGAGCACCTGGCATGGACGTCGCGGTACGGCCAATTATCGTCGTCAGACTGCCTTCCTCCACGTCAGTCTCCTCGCGCGTCTCCGTCTCCACCGTAACGCTCTTCTCACCCGTAGTCGTCTCCGTCTCCGTGGTCGTTTCCACGTCAACCGTCTTCACTACCTCACCGCTGGCCAACGTCGTCGGGCGCGTTGTTGCCTTCACCGTCTTCGTCACGATGCTGCCGTCAGCTTCTTGAGACTCGAACACCTCCGTCTGCACTGACTCGCCTGGAGCTGCGCCGGCCTCCACGGTCGAGCGGATCACACGAGCACCTGGCATGGACGTCGCGGTACGGCCAATTATCGTCGTCAGACTGCCTTCCTCCACGTCAGTCTCCCTCGCGCGTCTCCGTCTCCACCGTAACGCTCTTCTCACCCGTAGTCGTCTCCGTCTCCGTGGTCGTTTCCACGTCAACCGTCTTCACTACCTCACCGCTGGCCAACGTCGTCGGGCGCGTTGTTGCCTTCACCGTCTTCGTCACGATGCTGCCGTCAGCTTCCTGAGACTCGAACACCTCCGTCTGCACTGACTCGCCTGGAGCTGCGCCGGCCTCCACGGTCGAGCGGATCACACGAGCACCTGGCATGGACGTCGCGGTACGGCCAATTATCGTCGTCAGACTGCCTTCCTCCACGTCAGTCTCCTCGCGCGTCTCCGTCTCCACCGTAACGCTCTTCTCACCCGTAGTCGTCTCCGTCTCCGTGGTCGTTTCCACGTCAACCGTCTTCACTACCTCACCGCTGGCCAACGTCGTCGGGCGCGTTGTTGCCTTCACCGTCTTCGTCACGATGCTGCCGTCAGCTTCTTGAGACTCGAACACCTCCGTCTGCACTGACTCGCCTGGAGCTGCGCCGGCCTCCACGGTCGAGCGGATCACACGAGCACCTGGCATGGACGTCGCGGTACGGCCAATTATCGTCGTCAGACTGCCTTCCTCCACGTCAGTCTCCTCGCGCGTCTCCGTCTCCACCGTAACGCTCTTCTCACCCGTAGTCGTCTCCGTCTCCGTGGTCGTTTCCACGTCAACCGTCTTCACTACCTCACCGCTGGCCAACGTCGTCGGGCGCGTTGTTGCCTTCACCGTCTTCGTCACGATGCTGCCGTCAGCTTCTTGAGACTCGAACACCTCCGTCTGCACTGACTCGCCTGGAGCTGCGCCGGCCTCCACGGTCGAGCGGATCACACGAGCACCTGGCATGGACGTCGCGGTACGGCCAATTATCGTCGTCAGACTGCCTTCCTCCACGTCAGTCTCCTCGCGCGTCTCCGTCTCCACCGTAACGCTCTTCTCACCCGTAGTCGTCTCCGTCTCCGTGGTCGTTTCCACGTCAACCGTCTTCACTACCTCACCGCTGGCCAACGTCGTCGGGCGCGTTGTTGCCTTCACCGTCTTCGTCACGATGCTGCCGTCAGCTTCTTGAGACTCGAACACCTCCGTCTGCACTGACTCGCCTGGAGCTGCGCCGGCCTCCACGGTCGAGCGGATCACACGAGCACCTGGCATGGACGTCGCGGTACGGCCAATTATCGTCGTCAGACTGCCTTCCTCCACGTCAGTCTCCTCGCGCGTCTCCGTCTCCACCGTAACGCTCTTCTCACCCGTAGTCGTCTCCGTCTCCGTGGTCGTTTCCACGTCAACCGTCTTCACTACCTCACCGCTGGCCAACGTCGTCGGGCGCGTTGTTGCCTTCACCGTCTTCGTCACGATGCTGCCGTCAGCTTCTTGAGACTCGAACACCTCCGTCTGCACTGACTCGCCTGGAGCTGCGCCGGCCTCCACGGTCGAGCGGATCACACGAGCACCTGGCATGGACGTCGCGGTACGGCCAATTATCGTCGTCAGACTGCCTTCCTCCACGTCAGTCTCCTCGCGCGTCTCCGTCTCCACCGTAACGCTCTTCTCACCCGTAGTCGTCTCCGTCTCCGTGGTCGTTTCCACGTCAACCGTCTTCACTACCTCACCGCTGGCCAACGTCGTCGGGCGCGTTGTTGCCTTCACCGTCTTCGTCACGATGCTGCCGTCAGCTTCTTGAGACTCGAACACCTCCGTCTGCACTGACTCGCCTGGAGCTGCGCCGGCCTCCACGGTCGAGCGGATCACACGAGCACCTGGCATGGACGTCGCGGTACGGCCAATTATCGTCGTCAGACTGCCTTCCTCCACGTCAGTCTCCTCGCGCGTCTCCGTCTCCACCGTAACGCTCTTCTCACCCGTAGTCGTCTCCGTCTCCGTGGTCGTTTCCACGTCAACCGTCTTCACTACCTCACCGCTGGCCAACGTCGTCGGGCGCGTTGTTGCCTTCACCGTCTTCGTCACGATGCTGCCGTCAGCTTCTTGAGACTCGAACACCTCCGTCTGCACTGACTCGCCTGGAGCTGCGCCGGCCTCCACGGTCGAGCGGATCACACGAGCACCTGGCATGGACGTCGCGGTACGGCCAATTATCGTCGTCAGACTGCCTTCCTCCACGTCAGTCTCTCGCGCGTCTCCGTCTCCACCGTAACGCTCTTCTCACCCGTAGTCGTCTCCGTCTCCGTGGTCGTTTCCACGTCAACCGTCTTCACTACCTCACCGCTGGCCAACGTCGTCGGGCGCGTTGTTGCCTTCACCGTCTTCGTCACGATGCTGCCGTCAGCTTCCTGAGACTCGAACACATCCGTCTGCACTGACTCGCCTGGAGCTGCGCCGGCCTCCACGGTCGAGCGGATCACACGAGCACCTGGCATGGACGTCGCGGTACGGCCAATTATCGTCGTCAGACTGCCTTCCTCCACGTCAGTCTCCTCGCGCGTCTCCGTCTCCACCGTAACGCTCTTCTCACCCGTAGTCGTCTCCGTCTCCGTGGTCGTTTCCACGTCAACCGTCTTCACTACCTCACCGCTGGCCAACGTCGTCGGGCGCGTTGTTGTCCTTCACCGTCTTCGTCACGATGCTGCCGTCAGCTTCTTGAGACTCGAACACCTCCGTCTGCACTGACTCGCCTGGAGCTGCGCCGGCCTCCACGGTCGAGCGGATCACACGAGCACCTGGCATGGACGTCGCGGTACGGCCAATTATCGTCGTCAGACTGCCTTCCTCCACGTCAGTCTCCTCGCGCGTCTCCGTCTCCACCGTAACGCTCTTCTCACCCGTAGTCGTCTCCGTCTCCGTGGTCGTTTCCACGTCAACCGTCTTCACTACCTCACCGCTGGCCAACGTCGTCGGGCGCGTTGTTGCCTTCACCGTCTTCGTCACGATGCTGCCGTCAGCTTCTTGAGACTCGAACACCTCCGTCTGCACTGACTCGCCTGGAGCTGCGCCGGCCTCCACGGTCGAGCGGATCACACGAGCACCTGGCATGGACGTCGCGGTACGGCCAATTATCGTCGTCAGACTGCCTTCCTCCACGTCAGTCTCCTCGCGCGTCTCCGTCTCCACCGTAACGCTCTTCTCACCCGTAGTCGTCTCCGTCTCCGTGGTCGTTTCCACGTCAACCGTCTTCACTACCTCACCGCTGGCCAACGTCGTCGGGCGCGTTGTTGCCTTCACCGTCTTCGTCACGATGCTGCCGTCAGCTTCTTGAGACTCGAACACCTCCGTCTGCACTGACTCGCCTGGAGCTGCGCCGGCCTCCACGGTCGAGCGGATCACACGAGCACCTGGCATGGACGTCGCGGTACGGCCAATTATCGTCGTCAGACTGCCTTCCTCCACGTCAGTCTCCTCGCGCGTCTCCGTCTCCACCGTAACGCTCTTCTCACCCGTAGTCGTCTCCGTCTCCGTGGTCGTTTCCACGTCAACCGTCTTCACTACCTCACCGCTGGCCAACGTCGTCGGGCGCGTTGTTGCCTTCACCGTCTTCGTCACGATGCTGCCGTCAGCTTCCTGAGACTCGAACACATCCGTCTGCACTGACTCGCCTGGAGCTGCGCCGGCCTCCACGGTCGAGCGGATCACACGAGCACCTGGCATGGACGTCGCGGTACGGCCAATTATCGTCGTCAGACTGCCTTCCTCCACGTCAGTCTCCTCGCGCGTCTCCGTCTCCACCGTAACGCTCTTCTCACCCGTAGTCGTCTCCGTCTCCGTGGTCGTTTCCACGTCAACCGTCTTCACTACCTCACCGCTGGCCAACGTCGTCGGGCGCGTTGTTGCCTTCACCGTCTTCGTCACGATGCTGCCGTCAGCTTCTTGAGACTCGAACACCTCCGTCTGCACTGACTCGCCTGGAGCTGCGCCGGCCTCCACGGTCGAGCGGATCACACGAGCACCTGGCATGGACGTCGCGGTACGGCCAATTATCGTCGTCAGACTGCCTTCCTCCACGTCAGTCTCCTCGCGCGTCTCCGTCTCCACCGTAACGCTCTTCTCACCCGTAGTCGTCTCCGTCTCCGTGGTCGTTTCCACGTCAACCGTCTTCACTACCTCACCGCTGGCCAACGTCGTCGGGCGCGTTGTTGCCTTCACCGTCTTCGTCACGATGCTGCCGTCAGCTTCCTGAGACTCGAACACCTCCGTCTGCACTGACTCGCCTGGAGCTGCGCCGGCCTCCACGGTCGAGCGGATCACACGAGCACCTGGCATGGACGTCGCGGTACGGCCAATTATCGTCGTCAGACTGCCTTCCTCCACGTCAGTCTCCTCGCGCGTCTCCGTCTCCACCGTAACGCTCTTCTCACCCGTAGTCGTCTCCGTCTCCGTGGTCGTTTCCACGTCAACCGTCTTCACTACCTCACCGCTGGCCAACGTCGTCGGGCGCGTTGTTGCCTTCACCGTCTTCGTCACGATGCTGCCGTCAGCTTCTTGAGACTCGAACACCTCCGTCTGCACTGACTCGCCTGGAGCTGCGCCGGCCTCCACGGTCGAGCGGATCACACGAGCACCTGGCATGGACGTCGCGGTACGGCCAATTATCGTCGTCAGACTGCCTTCCTCCACGTCAGTCTCCTCGCGCGTCTCCGTCTCCACCGTAACGCTCTTCTCACCCGTAGTCGTCTCCGTCTCCGTGGTCGTTTCCACGTCAACCGTCTTCACTACCTCACCGCTGGCCAACGTCGTCGGGCGCGTTGTTGCCTTCACCGTCTTCGTCACGATGCTGCCGTCAGCTTCTTGAGACTCGAACACCTCCGTCTGCACTGACTCGCCTGGAGCTGCGCCGGCCTCCACGGTCGAGCGGATCACACGAGCACCTGGCATGGACGTCGCGGTACGGCCAATTATCGTCGTCAGACTGCCTTCCTCCACGTCAGTCTCCTCGCGCGTCTCCGTCTCCACCGTAACGCTCTTCTCACCCGTAGTCGTCTCCGTCTCCGTGGTCGTTTCCACGTCAACCGTCTTCACTACCTCACCGCTGGCCAACGTCGTCGGGCGCGTTGTTGCCTTCACCGTCTTCGTCACGATGCTGCCGTCAGCTTCTTGAGACTCGAACACCTCCGTCTGCACTGACTCGCCTGGAGCTGCGCCGGCCTCCACGGTCGAGCGGATCACACGAGCACCTGGCATGGACGTCGCGGTACGGCCAATTATCGTCGTCAGACTGCCTTCCTCCACGTCAGTCTCCTCGCGCGTCTCCGTCTCCACCGTAACGCTCTTCTCACCCGTAGTCGTCTCCGTCTCCGTGGTCGTTTCCACGTCAACCGTCTTCACTACCTCACCGCTGGCCAACGTCGTCGGGCGCGTTGTTGCCTTCACCGTCTTCGTCACGATGCTGCCGTCAGCTTCTTGAGACTCGAACACCTCCGTCTGCACTGACTCGCCTGGAGCTGCGCCGGCCTCCACGGTCGAGCGGATCACACGAGCACCTGGCATGGACGTCGCGGTACGGCCAATTATCGTCGTCAGACTGCCTTCCTCCACGTCAGTCTCCTCGCGCGTCTCCGTCTCCACCGTAACGCTCTTCTCACCCGTAGTCGTCTCCGTCTCCGTGGTCGTTTCCACGTCAACCGTCTTCACTACCTCACCGCTGGCCAACGTCGTCGGGCGCGTTGTTGCCTTCACCGTCTTCGTCACGATGCTGCCGTCAGCTTCTTGAGACTCGAACACCTCCGTCTGCACTGACTCGCCTGGAGCTGCGCCGGCCTCCACGGTCGAGCGGATCACACGAGCACCTGGCATGGACGTCGCGGTACGGCCAATTATCGTCGTCAGACTGCCTTCCTCCACGTCAGTCTCCTCGCGCGTCTCCGTCTCCACCGTAACGCTCTTCTCACCCGTAGTCGTCTCCGTCTCCGTGGTCGTTTCCACGTCAACCGTCTTCACTACCTCACCGCTGGCCAACGTCGTCGGGCGCGTTGTTGCCTTCACCGTCTTCGTCACGATGCTGCCGTCAGCTTCTTGAGACTCGAACACCTCCGTCTGCACTGACTCGCCTGGAGCTGCGCCGGCCTCCACGGTCGAGCGGATCACACGAGCACCTGGCATGGACGTCGCGGTACGGCCAATTATCGTCGTCAGACTGCCTTCCTCCACGTCAGTCTCCTCGCGCGTCTCCGTCTCCACCGTAACGCTCTTCTCACCCGTAGTCGTCTCCGTCTCCGTGGTCGTTTCCACGTCAACCGTCTTCACTACCTCACCGCTGGCCAACGTCGTCGGGCGCGTTGTTGCCTTCACCGTCTTCGTCACGATGCTGCCGTCAGCTTCTTGAGACTCGAACACCTCCGTCTGCACTGACTCGCCTGGAGCTGCGCCGGCCTCCACGGTCGAGCGGATCACACGAGCACCTGGCATGGACGTCGCGGTACGGCCAATTATCGTCGTCAGACTGCCTTCCTCCACGTCAGTCTCCTCGCGCGTCTCCGTCTCCACCGTAACGCTCTTCTCACCCGTAGTCGTCTCCGTCTCCGTGGTCGTTTCCACGTCAACCGTCTTCACTACCTCACCGCTGGCCAACGTCGTCGGGCGCGTTGTTGCCTTCACCGTCTTCGTCACGATGCTGCCGTCAGCTTCCTGAGACTCGAACACCTCCGTCTGCACTGACTCGCCTGGAGCTGCGCCGGCCTCCACGGTCGAGCGGATCACACGAGCACCTGGCATGGACGTCGCGGTACGGCCAATTATCGTCGTCAGACTGCCTTCCTCCACGTCAGTCTCCTCGCGCGTCTCCGTCTCCACCGTAACGCTCTTCTCACCCGTAGTCGTCTCCGTCTCCGTGGTCGTTTCCACGTCAACCGTCTTCACTACCTCACCGCTGGCCAACGTCGTCGGGCGCGTTGTTGTCCTTCACCGTCTTCGTCACGATGCTGCCGTCAGCTTCCTGAGACTCGAACACCTCCGTCTGCACTGACTCGCCTGGAGCTGCGCCGGCCTCCACGGTCGAGCGGATCACACGAGCACCTGGCATGGACGTCGCGGTACGGCCAATTATCGTCGTCAGACTGCCTTCCTCCACGTCAGTCTCCTCGCGCGTCTCCGTCTCCACCGTAACGCTCTTCTCACCCGTAGTCGTCTCCGTCTCCGTGGTCGTTTCCACGTCAACCGTCTTCACTACCTCACCGCTGGCCAACGTCGTCGGGCGCGTTGTTGTCCTTCACCGTCTTCGTCACGATGCTGCCGTCAGCATCCTGAGACTCGAACACCTCCGTCTGCACTGACTCGCCTGGAGCTGCGCCGGCCTCCACGGTCGAGCGGATCACACGAGCACCTGGCATGGACGTCGCGGTACGGCCAATTATCGTCGTCAGACTGCCTTCCTCCACGTCAGTCTCTTCGCGCGTCTCCGTCTCCACCGTAACGCTCTTCTCACCCGTAGTCGTCTCCGTCTCCGTGGTCGTTTCCACGTCAACCGTCTTCACTACCTCACCGCTGGCCAACGTCGTCGGGCGCGTTGTTGCCTTCACCGTCTTCGTCACGATGCTGCCGTCAGCTTCTTGAGACTCGAACACCTCCGTCTGCACTGACTCGCCTGGAGCTGCGCCGGCCTCCACGGTCGAGCGGATCACACGAGCACCTGGCATGGACGTCGCGGTACGGCCAATTATCGTCGTCAGACTGCCTTCCTCCACGTCAGTCTCCTCGCGCGTCTCCGTCTCCACCGTAACGCTCTTCTCACCCGTAGTCGTCTCCGTCTCCGTGGTCGTTTCCACGTCAACCGTCTTCACTACCTCACCGCTGGCCAACGTCGTCGGGCGCGTTGTTGCCTTCACCGTCTTCGTCACGATGCTGCCGTCAGCTTCCTTGAGACTCGAACACCTCCGTCTGCACTGACTCGCCTGGAGCTGCGCCGGCCTCCACGGTCGAGCGGATCACACGAGCACCTGGCACGGACGTCGCGGTACGGCCAATTATCGTCGTCAGACTGCCTTCCTCCACGTCAGTCTCTTCGCGCGTCTCCGTCTCCACCGTAACGCTCTTCTCACCCGTAGTCGTCTCCGTCTCCGTGGTCGTTTCCACGTCAACCGTCTTCACTACCTCACCGCTGGCCAACGTCGAAGTGCGTGTCGTTGTCCGCACCGTCTTCGTCACGATGCTGCCGTCAGCATCCTGAGACTCGAACACATCCGTCTGCACTGACTCGCCTGGAGCTGCGCCGGCCTCCACGGTCGAGCGGATCACACGAGCACCTGGCATGGACGTCGCGGTACGGCCAATTATCGTCGTCAGACTGCCTTCCTCCACGTCAGTCTCTTCGCGCGTCTCCGTCTCCACCGTAACGCTCTTCTCACCCGTAGTCGTCTCCGTCTCCGTGGTCGTTTCCACGTCAACCGTCTTCACTACCTCACCGCTGGCCAACGTCGAAGTGCGTGTCGTTGTCCGTCACCGTCTTCGTCACGATGCTGCCGTCAGCTTCCTGAGACTCGAACACCTCCGTCTGCACTGACTCGCCTGGAGCTGCGCCGGCCTCCACGGTCGAGCGGATCACACGAGCACCTGGCATGGACGTCGCGGTACGGCCAATTATCGTCGTCAGACTGCCTTCCTCCACGTCAGTCTCTTCGCGCGTCTCCGTCTCCACCGTAACGCTCTTCTCACCCGTAGTCGTCTCCGTCTCCGTGGTCGTTTCCACGTCAACCGTCTTCACTACCTCACCGCTGGCCAACGTCGAAGTGCGTGTCGTCGTCCGCACCGTCTTCGTCACGATGCTGCCGTCAGCTTCTTGAGACTCGAACACCTCCGTCTGCACTGACTCGCCTGGAGCTGCGCCGGCCTCCACGGTCGAGCGGATCACACGAGCACCTGGCATGGACGTCGCGGTACGGCCAATTATCGTCGTCAGACTGCCTTCCTCCACGTCAGTCTCCTCGCGCGTCTCCGTCTCCACCGTAACGCTCTTCTCACCCGTAGTCGTCTCCGTCTCCGTGGTCGTTTCCACGTCAACCGTCTTCACTACCTCACCGCTGGCCAACGTCGTCGGGCGCGTTGTTGCCTTCACCGTCTTCGTCACGATGCTGCCGTCAGCTTCTTGAGACTCGAACACCTCCGTCTGCACTGACTCGCCTGGAGCTGCGCCGGCCTCCACGGTCGAGCGGATCACACGAGCACCTGGCATGGACGTCGCGGTACGGCCAATTATCGTCGTCAGACTGCCTTCCTCCACGTCAGTCTCCTCGCGCGTCTCCGTCTCCACCGTAACGCTCTTCTCACCCGTAGTCGTCTCCGTCTCCGTGGTCGTTTCCACGTCAACCGTCTTCACTACCTCACCGCTGGCCAACGTCGTCGGGCGCGTTGTTGCCTTCACCGTCTTCGTCACGATGCTGCCGTCAGCTTCCTGAGACTCGAACACCTCCGTCTGCACTGACTCGCCTGGAGCTGCGCCGGCCTCCACGGTCGAGCGGATCACACGAGCACCTGGCATGGACGTCGCGGTACGGCCAATTATCGTCGTCAGACTGCCTTCCTCCACGTCAGTCTCTTCGCGCGTCTCCGTCTCCACCGTAACGCTCTTCTCACCCGTAGTCGTCTCCGTCTCCGTGGTCGTTTCCACGTCAACCGTCTTCACTACCTCACCGCTGGCCAACGTCGAAGTGCGTGTCGTTGCCTTCACCGTCTTCGTCACGATGCTGCCGTCAGCTTCTTGAGACTCGAACACCTCCGTCTGCACTGACTCGCCTGGAGCTGCGCCGGCCTCCACGGTCGAGCGGATCACACGAGCACCTGGCATGGACGTCGCGGTACGGCCAATTATCGTCGTCAGACTGCCTTCCTCCACGTCAGTCTCTTCGCGCGTCTCCGTCTCCACCGTAACGCTCTTCTCACCCGTAGTCGTCTCCGTCTCCGTGGTCGTTTCCACGTCAACCGTCTTCACTACCTCACCGCTGGCCAACGTCGTCGGGCGTGTCGTCGTCCGCACCGTCTTCGTCACGATGCTGCCGTCAGCATCCTGAGACTCGAACACATCCGTCTGCACTGACTCGCCTGGAGCTGCGCCGGCCTCCACGGTCGAGCGGATCACACGAGCACCTGGCATGGACGTCGCGGTACGGCCAATTATCGTCGTCAGACTGCCTTCCTCCACGTCAGTCTCTTCGCGCGTCTCCGTCTCCACCGTAACGCTCTTCTCACCCGTAGTCGTCTCCGTCTCCGTGGTCGTTTCCACGTCAACCGTCTTCACTACCTCACCGCTGGCCAACGTCGTCGGGCGCGTTGTTGCCTTCCCACCGTCTTCGTCACGATGCTGCCGTCAGCTTCCTGAGACTCGAACACCTCCGTCTGCACTGACTCGCCTGGAGCTGCGCCGGCCTCCACGGTCGAGCGGATCACACGAGCACCTGGCATGGACGTCGCGGTACGGCCAATTATCGTCGTCAGACTGCCTTCCTCCACGTCAGTCTCTTCGCGCGTCTCCGTCTCCACCGTAACGCTCTTCTCACCTGTAGTCGTCTCCGTCTCCGTGGTCGTTTCCACGTCAACCGTCTTCACTACCTCACCGCTGGCCAACGTCGAAGTGCGTGTCGTCGTCCGCACCGTCTTCGTCACGATGCTGCCGTCAGCATCCTGAGACTCGAATACCTCCGTCTGCACTGACTCGCCTGGAGCTGCGCCGGCCTCCACGGTCGAGCGGATCACACGAGCACCTGGCATGGACGTCGCGGTACGGCCAATTATCGTCGTCAGACTGCCTTCCTCCACGTCAGTCTCTTCGCGCGTCTCCGTCTCCACCGTAACGCTCTTCTCACCCGTAGTCGTCTCCGTCTCCGTGGTCGTTTCCACGTCAACCGTCTTCACTACCTCACCGCTGGCCAACGTCGTCGCGGCGTGTCGTCGTCCGTCACCGTCTTCGTCACGATGCTGCCGTCAGCTTCTTGAGACTCGAACACCTCCGTCTGCACTGACTCGCCTGGAGCTGCGCCGGCCTCCACGGTCGAGCGGATCACACGAGCACCTGGCATGGACGTCGCGGTACGGCCAATTATCGTCGTCAGACTGCCTTCCTCCACGTCAGTCTCCTCGCGCGTCTCCGTCTCCACCGTAACGCTCTTCTCACCTGTAGTCGTCTCCGTCTCCGTGGTCGTTTCCACGTCAACCGTCTTCACTACCTCACCGCTGGCCAACGTCGTCGGGCGCGTTGTTGCCTTCACCGTCTTCGTCACGATGCTGCCGTCAGCTTCTTGAGACTCGAACACCTCCGTCTGCACTGACTCGCCTGGAGCTGCGCCGGCCTCCACGGTCGAGCGGATCACACGAGCACCTGGCATGGACGTCGCGGTACGGCCAATTATCGTCGTCAGACTGCCTTCCTCCACGTCAGTCTCTTCGCGCGTCTCCGTCTCCACCGTAACGCTCTTCTCACCCGTAGTCGTCTCCGTCTCCGTGGTCGTTTCCACGTCAACCGTCTTCACTACCTCACCGCTGGCCAACGTCGTCGGGCGCGTTGTTGCCTTCACCGTCTTCGTCACGATGCTGCCGTCAGCTTCCTGAGACTCGAACACCTCCGTCTGCACTGACTCGCCTGGAGCTGCGCCGGCCTCCACGGTCGAGCGGATCACACGAGCACCTGGCATGGACGTCGCGGTACGGCCAATTATCGTCGTCAGACTGCCTTCCTCCACGTCAGTCTCTTCGCGCGTCTCCGTCTCCACCGTAACGCTCTTCTCACCCGTAGTCGTCTCCGTCTCCGTGGTCGTTTCCACGTCAACCGTCTTCACTACCTCACCGCTGGCCAACGTCGTCGGGCGCGTTGTTGTCCTTCACCGTCTTCGTCACGATGCTGCCGTCAGCTTCCTGAGACTCGAACACCTCCGTCTGCACTGACTCGCCTGGAGCTGCGCCGGCCTCCACGGTCGAGCGGATCACACGAGCACCTGGCATGGACGTCGCGGTACGGCCAATTATCGTCGTCAGACTGCCTTCCTCCACGTCAGTCTCTTCGCGCGTCTCCGTCTCCACCGTAACGCTCTTCTCACCCGTAGTCGTCTCCGTCTCCGTGGTCGTTTCCACGTCAACCGTCTTCACTACCTCACCGCTGGCCAACGTCGAAGTGCGTGTCGTCGTCCGCACCGTCTTCGTCACGATGCTGCCGTCAGCATCCTGAGACTCGAATACCTCCGTCTGCACTGACTCGCCTGGAGCTGCGCCGGCCTCCACGGTCGAGCGGATCACACGAGCACCTGGCATGGACGTCGCGGTACGGCCAATTATCGTCGTCAGACTGCCTTCCTCCACGTCAGTCTCTTCGCGCGTCTCCGTCTCCACCGTAACGCTCTTCTCACCCGTAGTCGTCTCCGTCTCCGTGGTCGTTTCCACGTCAACCGTCTTCACTACCTCACCGCTGGCCAACGTCGTCGGGCGCGTTGTTGCCTTCACCGTCTTCGTCACGATGCTGCCGTCAGCTTCTTGAGACTCGAACACCTCCGTCTGCACTGACTCGCCTGGAGCTGCGCCGGCCTCCACGGTCGAGCGGATCACACGAGCACCTGGCATGGACGTCGCGGTACGGCCAATTATCGTCGTCAGACTGCCTTCCTCCACGTCAGTCTCTTCGCGCGTCTCCGTCTCCACCGTAACGCTCTTCTCACCCGTAGTCGTCTCCGTCTCCGTGGTCGTTTCCACGTCAACCGTCTTCACTACCTCACCGCTGGCCAACGTCGTCGGGCGCGTTGTTGCCTTCACCGTCTTCGTCACGATGCTGCCGTCAGCTTCTTGAGACTCGAACACCTCCGTCTGCACTGACTCGCCTGGAGCTGCGCCGGCCTCCACGGTCGAGCGGATCACACGAGCACCTGGCATGGACGTCGCGGTACGGCCAATTATCGTCGTCAGACTGCCTTCCTCCACGTCAGTCTCTTCGCGCGTCTCCGTCTCCACCGTAACGCTCTTCTCACCCGTAGTCGTCTCCGTCTCCGTGGTCGTTTCCACGTCAACCGTCTTCACTACCTCACCGCTGGCCAACGTCGAAGTGCGTGTCGTCGTCCGCACCGTCTTCGTCACGATGCTGCCGTCAGCTTCTTGAGACTCGAATACCTCCGTCTGCACTGACTCGCCTGGAGCTGCGCCGGCCTCCACGGTCGAGCGGATCACACGAGCACCTGGCATGGACGTCGCGGTACGGCCAATTATCGTCGTCAGACTGCCTTCCTCCACGTCAGTCTCCTCGCGCGTCTCCGTCTCCACCGTAACGCTCTTCTCACCCGTAGTCGTCTCCGTCTCCGTGGTCGTTTCCACGTCAACCGTCTTCACTACCTCACCGCTGGCCAACGTCGTCGGGCGCGTTGTTGCCTTCACCGTCTTCGTCACGATGCTGCCGTCAGCTTCCTGAGACTCGAACACCTCCGTCTGCACTGACTCGCCTGGAGCTGCGCCGGCCTCCACGGTCGAGCGGATCACACGAGCACCTGGCATGGACGTCGCGGTACGGCCAATTATCGTCGTCAGACTGCCTTCCTCCACGTCAGTCTCCTCGCGCGTCTCCGTCTCCACCGTAACGCTCTTCTCACCCGTAGTCGTCTCCGTCTCCGTGGTCGTTTCCACGTCAACCGTCTTCACTACCTCACCGCTGGCCAACGTCGTCGGGCGCGTTGTTGCCTTCACCGTCTTCGTCACGATGCTGCCGTCAGCTTCTTGAGACTCGAACACCTCCGTCTGCACTGACTCGCCTGGAGCTGCGCCGGCCTCCACGGTCGAGCGGATCACACGAGCACCTGGCATGGACGTCGCGGTACGGCCAATTATCGTCGTCAGACTGCCTTCCTCCACGTCAGTCTCCTCGCGCGTCTCCGTCTCCACCGTAACGCTCTTCTCACCCGTAGTCGTCTCCGTCTCCGTGGTCGTTTCCACGTCAACCGTCTTCACTACCTCACCGCTGGCCAACGTCGTCGGGCGCGTTGTTGCCTTCACCGTCTTCGTCACGATGCTGCCGTCAGCTTCTTGAGACTCGAACACCTCCGTCTGCACTGACTCGCCTGGAGCTGCGCCGGCCTCCACGGTCGAGCGGATCACACGAGCACCTGGCATGGACGTCGCGGTACGGCCAATTATCGTCGTCAGACTGCCTTCCTCCACGTCAGTCTCTTCGCGCGTCTCCGTCTCCACCGTAACGCTCTTCTCACCCGTAGTCGTCTCCGTCTCCGTGGTCGTTTCCACGTCAACCGTCTTCACTACCTCACCGCTGGCCAACGTCGAAGTGCGTGTCGTCGTCCGCACCGTCTTCGTCACGATGCTGCCGTCAGCATCCTGAGACTCGAATACCTCCGTCTGCACTGACTCGCCTGGAGCTGCGCCGGCCTCCACGGTCGAGCGGATCACACGAGCACCTGGCATGGACGTCGCGGTACGGCCAATTATCGTCGTCAGACTGCCTTCCTCCACGTCAGTCTCTTCGCGCGTCTCCGTCTCCACCGTAACGCTCTTCTCACCCGTAGTCGTCTCCGTCTCCGTGGTCGTTTCCACGTCAACCGTCTTCACTACCTCACCGCTGGCCAACGTCGTCGGGCGCGTTGTTGCCTTCACCGTCTTCGTCACGATGCTGCCGTCAGCTTCTTGAGACTCGAACACCTCCGTCTGCACTGACTCGCCTGGAGCTGCGCCGGCCTCCACGGTCGAGCGGATCACACGAGCACCTGGCATGGACGTCGCGGTACGGCCAATTATCGTCGTCAGACTGCCTTCCTCCACGTCAGTCTCCTCGCGCGTCTCCGTCTCCACCGTAACGCTCTTCTCACCCGTAGTCGTCTCCGTCTCCGTGGTCGTTTCCACGTCAACCGTCTTCACTACCTCACCGCTGGCCAACGTCGTCGGGCGCGTTGTTGTCCTTCACCGTCTTCGTCACGATGCTGCCGTCAGCATCCTGAGACTCGAACACCTCCGTCTGCACTGACTCGCCTGGAGCTGCGCCGGCCTCCACGGTCGAGCGGATCACACGAGCACCTGGCATGGACGTCGCGGTACGGCCAATTATCGTCGTCAGACTGCCTTCCTCCACGTCAGTCTCTTCGCGCGTCTCCGTCTCCACCGTAACGCTCTTCTCACCCGTAGTCGTCTCCGTCTCCGTGGTCGTTTCCACGTCAACCGTCTTCACTACCTCACCGCTGGCCAACGTCGAAGTGCGTGTCGTCGTCCGCACCGTCTTCGTCACGATGCTGCCGTCAGCATCCTGAGACTCGAACACATCCGTCTGCACTGACTCGCCTGGAGCTGCGCCGGCCTCCACGGTCGAGCGGATCACACGAGCACCTGGCATGGACGTCGCGGTACGGCCAATTATCGTCGTCAGACTGCCTTCCTCCACGTCAGTCTCTTCGCGCGTCTCCGTCTCCACCGTAACGCTCTTCTCACCCGTAGTCGTCTCCGTCTCCGTGGTCGTTTCCACGTCAACCGTCTTCACTACCTCACCGCTGGCCAACGTCGTCGGGCGCGTTGTTGTCCTTCACCGTCTTCGTCACGATGCTGCCGTCAGCTTCTTGAGACTCGAACACCTCCGTCTGCACTGACTCGCCTGGAGCTGCGCCGGCCTCCACGGTCGAGCGGATCACACGAGCACCTGGCATGGACGTCGCGGTACGGCCAATTATCGTCGTCAGACTGCCTTCCTCCACGTCAGTCTCTCTCGCGCGTCTCCGTCTCCACCGTAACGCTCTTCTCACCCGTAGTCGTCTCCGTCTCCGTGGTCGTTTCCACGTCAACCGTCTTCACTACCTCACCGCTGGCCAACGTCGTCGGGCGCGTCGTCGCCTTCACCGTCTTCGTCACGATGCTGCCGTCAGCTTCTTGAGACTCGAACACCTCCGTCTGCACTGACTCGCCTGGAGCTGCGCCGGCCTCCACGGTCGAGCGGATCACACGAGCACCTGGCATGGACGTCGCGGTACGGCCAATTATCGTCGTCAGACTGCCTTCCTCCACGTCAGTCTCCTCGCGCGTCTCCGTCTCCACCGTAACGCTCTTCTCACCCGTAGTCGTCTCCGTCTCCGTGGTCGTTTCCACGTCAACCGTCTTCACTACCTCACCGCTGGCCAACGTCGTCGGGCGCGTGTCGTTGTCCTCACCGTCTTCGTCACGATGCTGCCGTCAGCATCCTGAGACTCGAATACCTCCGTCTGCACTGACTCGCCTGGAGCTGCGCCGGCCTCCACGGTCGAGCGGATCACACGAGCACCTGGCATGGACGTCGCGGTACGGCCAATTATCGTCGTCAGACTGCCTTCCTCCACGTCAGTCTCTTCGCGCGTCTCCGTCTCCACCGTAACGCTCTTCTCACCCGTAGTCGTCTCCGTCTCCGTGGTCGTTTCCACGTCAACCGTCTTCACTACCTCACCGCTGGCCAACGTCGAAGTGCGTGTCGTCGTCCGCACCGTCTTCGTCACGATGCTGCCGTCAGCATCCTGAGACTCGAATACCTCCGTCTGCACTGACTCGCCTGGAGCTGCGCCGGCCTCCACGGTCGAGCGGATCACACGAGCACCTGGCATGGACGTCGCGGTACGGCCAATTATCGTCGTCAGACTGCCTTCCTCCACGTCAGTCTCTTCGCGCGTCTCCGTCTCCACCGTAACGCTCTTCTCACCCGTAGTCGTCTCCGTCTCCGTGGTCGTTTCCACGTCAACCGTCTTCACTACCTCACCGCTGGCCAACGTCGAAGTGCGTGTCGTCGTCCGCACCGTCTTCGTCACGATGCTGCCGTCAGCATCCTGAGACTCGAACACCTCCGTCTGCACTGACTCGCCTGGAGCTGCGCCGGCCTCCACGGTCGAGCGGATCACACGAGCACCTGGCATGGACGTCGCGGTACGGCCAATTATCGTCGTCAGACTGCCTTCCTCCACGTCAGTCTCTTCGCGCGTCTCCGTCTCCACCGTAACGCTCTTCTCACCCGTAGTCGTCTCCGTCTCCGTGGTCGTTTCCACGTCAACCGTCTTCACTACCTCACCGCTGGCCAACGTCGTCGGGCGCGTTGTTGCCTTCACCGTCTTCGTCACGATGCTGCCGTCAGCTTCCTGAGACTCGAACACATCCGTCTGCACTGACTCGCCTGGAGCTGCGCCGGCCTCCACGGTCGAGCGGATCACACGAGCACCTGGCATGGACGTCGCGGTACGGCCAATTATCGTCGTCAGACTGCCTTCCTCCACGTCAGTCTCCTCGCGCGTCTCCGTCTCCACCGTAACGCTCTTCTCACCCGTAGTCGTCTCCGTCTCCGTGGTCGTTTCCACGTCAACCGTCTTCACTACCTCACCGCTGGCCAACGTCGTCGGGCGCGTTGTTGCCTTCACCGTCTTCGTCACGATGCTGCCGTCAGCTTCCTGAGACTCGAACACATCCGTCTGCACTGACTCGCCTGGAGCTGCGCCGGCCTCCACGGTCGAGCGGATCACACGAGCACCTGGCATGGACGTCGCGGTACGGCCAATTATCGTCGTCAGACTGCCTTCCTCCACGTCAGTCTCCTCGCGCGTCTCCGTCTCCACCGTAACGCTCTTCTCACCCGTAGTCGTCTCCGTCTCCGTGGTCGTTTCCACGTCAACCGTCTTCACTACCTCACCGCTGGCCAACGTCGTCGGGCGCGTTGTTGCCTTCACCGTCTTCGTCACGATGCTGCCGTCAGCTTCTTGAGACTCGAACACATCCGTCTGCACTGACTCGCCTGGAGCTGCGCCGGCCTCCACGGTCGAGCGGATCACACGAGCACCTGGCATGGACGTCGCGGTACGGCCAATTATCGTCGTCAGACTGCCTTCCTCCACGTCAGTCTCTTCGCGCGTCTCCGTCTCCACCGTAACGCTCTTCTCACCCGTAGTCGTCTCCGTCTCCGTGGTCGTTTCCACGTCAACCGTCTTCACTACCTCACCGCTGGCCAACGTCGAAGTGCGTGTCGTCGTCCGCACCGTCTTCGTCACGATGCTGCCGTCAGCATCCTGAGACTCGAACACATCCGTCTGCACTGACTCGCCTGGAGCTGCGCCGGCCTCCACGGTCGAGCGGATCACACGAGCACCTGGCATGGACGTCGCGGTACGGCCAATTATCGTCGTCAGACTGCCTTCCTCCACGTCAGTCTCTTCGCGCGTCTCCGTCTCCACCGTAACGCTCTTCTCACCCGTAGTCGTCTCCGTCTCCGTGGTCGTTTCCACGTCAACCGTCTTCACTACCTCACCGCTGGCCAACGTCGTCGGGCGCGTTGTTGCCTTCACCGTCTTCGTCACGATGCTGCCGTCAGCATCCTGAGACTCGAATACCTCCGTCTGCACTGACTCGCCTGGAGCTGCGCCGGCCTCCACGGTCGAGCGGATCACACGAGCACCTGGCATGGACGTCGCGGTACGGCCAATTATCGTCGTCAGACTGCCTTCCTCCACGTCAGTCTCTTCGCGCGTCTCCGTCTCCACCGTAACGCTCTTCTCACCCGTAGTCGTCTCCGTCTCCGTGGTCGTTTCCACGTCAACCGTCTTCACTACCTCACCGCTGGCCAACGTCGAAGTGCGTGTCGTCGTCCGCACCGTCTTCGTCACGATGCTGCCGTCAGCATCCTGAGACTCGAACACATCCGTCTGCACTGACTCGCCTGGAGCTGCGCCGGCCTCCACGGTCGAGCGGATCACACGAGCACCTGGCATGGACGTCGCGGTACGGCCAATTATCGTCGTCAGACTGCCTTCCTCCACGTCAGTCTCCTCGCGCGTCTCCGTCTCCACCGTAACGCTCTTCTCACCCGTAGTCGTCTCCGTCTCCGTGGTCGTTTCCACGTCAACCGTCTTCACTACCTCACCGCTGGCCAACGTCGTCGGGCGCGTTGTTGCCTTCACCGTCTTCGTCACGATGCTGCCGTCAGCATCCTGAGACTCGAACACATCCGTCTGCACTGACTCGCCTGGAGCTGCGCCGGCCTCCACGGTCGAGCGGATCACACGAGCACCTGGCATGGACGTCGCGGTACGGCCAATTATCGTCGTCAGACTGCCTTCCTCCACGTCAGTCTCTTCGCGCGTCTCCGTCTCCACCGTAACGCTCTTCTCACCCGTAGTCGTCTCCGTCTCCGTGGTCGTTTCCACGTCAACCGTCTTCACTACCTCACCGCTGGCCAACGTCGAAGTGCGTGTCGTCGTCCGCACCGTCTTCGTCACGATGCTGCCGTCAGCATCCTGAGACTCGAACACATCCGTCTGCACTGACTCGCCTGGAGCTGCGCCGGCCTCCACGGTCGAGCGGATCACACGAGCACCTGGCATGGACGTCGCGGTACGGCCAATTATCGTCGTCAGACTGCCTTCCTCCACGTCAGTCTCTTCGCGCGTCTCCGTCTCCACCGTAACGCTCTTCTCACCCGTAGTCGTCTCCGTCTCCGTGGTCGTTTCCACGTCAACCGTCTTCACTACCTCACCGCTGGCCAACGTCGAAGTGCGTGTCGTCGTCCGCACCGTCTTCGTCACGATGCTGCCGTCAGCATCCTGAGACTCGAACACATCCGTCTGCACTGACTCGCCTGGAGCTGCGCCGGCCTCCACGGTCGAGCGGATCACACGAGCACCTGGCATGGACGTCGCGGTACGGCCAATTATCGTCGTCAGACTGCCTTCCTCCACGTCAGTCTCTTCGCGCGTCTCCGTCTCCACCGTAACGCTCTTCTCACCCGTAGTCGTCTCCGTCTCCGTGGTCGTTTCCACGTCAACCGTCTTCACTACCTCACCGCTGGCCAACGTCGAAGTGCGTGTCGTCGTCCGCACCGTCTTCGTCACGATGCTGCCGTCAGCATCCTGAGACTCGAACACCTCCGTCTGCACTGACTCGCCTGGAGCTGCGCCGGCCTCCACGGTCGAGCGGATCACACGAGCACCTGGCATGGACGTCGCGGTACGGCCAATTATCGTCGTCAGACTGCCTTCCTCCACGTCAGTCTCCTCGCGCGTCTCCGTCTCCACCGTAACGCTCTTCTCACCCGTAGTCGTCTCCGTCTCCGTGGTCGTTTCCACGTCAACCGTCTTCACTACCTCACCGCTGGCCAACGTCGACGGGCGCGTTGTCGTCCTTCACCGTCTTCGTCACGATGCTGCCGTCAGCTTCTTGAGACTCGAACACCTCCGTCTGCACTGACTCGCCTGGAGCTGCGCCGGCCTCCACGGTCGAGCGGATCACACGAGCACCTGGCATGGACGTCGCGGTACGGCCAATTATCGTCGTCAGACTGCCTTCCTCCACGTCAGTCTCCTCGCGCGTCTCCGTCTCCACCGTAACGCTCTTCTCACCCGTAGTCGTCTCCGTCTCCGTGGTCGTTTCCACGTCAACCGTCTTCACTACCTCACCGCTGGCCAACGTCGAAGTGCGTGTCGTCGTCCGCACCGTCTTCGTCACGATGCTGCCGTCAGCATCCTGAGACTCGAACACATCCGTCTGCACTGACTCGCCTGGAGCTGCGCCGGCCTCCACGGTCGAGCGGATCACACGAGCACCTGGCATGGACGTCGCGGTACGGCCAATTATCGTCGTCAGACTGCCTTCCTCCACGTCAGTCTCTTCGCGCGTCTCCGTCTCCACCGTAACGCTCTTCTCACCCGTAGTCGTCTCCGTCTCCGTGGTCGTTTCCACGTCAACCGTCTTCACTACCTCACCGCTGGCCAACGTCGAAGTGCGTGTCGTCGTCCGCACCGTCTTCGTCACGATGCTGCCGTCAGCTTCTTGAGACTCGAACACCTCCGTCTGCACTGACTCGCCTGGAGCTGCGCCGGCCTCCACGGTCGAGCGGATCACACGAGCACCTGGCATGGACGTCGCGGTACGGCCAATTATCGTCGTCAGACTGCCTTCCTCCACGTCAGTCTCCTCGCGCGTCTCCATCTCCACCGTAACGCTCTTCTCACCCGTAGTCGTCTCCGTCTCCGTGGTCGTTTCCACGTCAACCGTCTTCACTACCTCACCGCTGGCCAACGTCGAAGTGCGTGTCGTCGTCCGCACCGTCTTCGTCACGATGCTGCCGTCAGCATCCTGAGACTCGAATACCTCCGTCTGCACTGACTCGCCCAAGATCGTGCCTGCCCTAGCGGCATTGTATCGAAGTTACCGTTTTAGTCACATCGTTGAACTGGTTTGTATTGTTGCCCGTATCGATGATGCGGCGTGCGCTCTCGCTTTCACTAGGTGACAACGTCTCATTACGCACTGAGGTTGTTTTGGATCCATCTGGACCTTCCGTTTCCGTGGTCGTCTCCACTTCAATAGTCTCGACAGGCTCCCCCGTAGCCGACTTTGTCGTGCGTCGTGTCGTCTTGACCGTCTTAATCTCCACGCACCCATCAAGCATCACTGTACGAAATATCTCAGTCTTGACGTTTTCAACATCGACCGTCACCTTGCTGGACTGGAGCGGCTCCGTCCTCGGTTCGTGGGACGCTTTGGCCTCCATGGCGGCGCTTTTCTTTTCGCTTTCAGCCTCAAAGTCCGTGACGTGCACGTCCTCTAAAGCCACAGCAGAGGTGGTCGCGTGCGTTGTCACGCCACTTGTCACGTCCTTCCCTTGTTTCTTAACAGCAGTCGGCTTGTCACCGGCCGCTTCCACCTTTCTCTGCTTAGGACTGACCTCGGCTGACTCGGCTCCACCCATGACCTGCTTCTTACGTGGTGTTCAAAAGCGTAGCACAGTCAACTCGCTGTGCGTGTAATGTGGCTTCGATTGCTCTAGCCTACGTACGAACTCGACTTGCTCTTGAGTGCGCAAAATCGAATGTGGGGAGGATATCTCAGAAGATCGCCAAGCTATCAAGGCTTTTTTATGCTTGATTGATCTACGAGAGTGTACCGTGGTGTGCAAACCGAATCGGTTATGAAAGGTTCGCAGTCGACAATCTGACCAGAACAAACGATGGTTTATTGATGGTACCACACGAAACGCAACACGCTTTACCCGTGATCGCACTTGGAGTATCCTTCGTGGACTAGAGGATACCAAAACACGTACGTATCCGAATCAACACGACGCAGTACAGTGCACTGATGGTTGCAGAGTCTATGTTGCACGGACTTTTCTTGCGCAGTCGAGAACGTTTCGGGAAAAGATATACTTGCCTCGTCTGATGGCTGGACTGAGACGCAGCTGAGTGGGTGGACCCCACGCTGAAAAGCATAGAATGAATGCTAACTCGGGCGAGAGTGTTGCTTGTAGTGAGTCGCTACGACACCGACTTTGGTGTCTTAGGTCTCCGGCAGTGTAGGCAGCTTGTTCGGGTCTTAGTGGGTACCCACATCGAGATCAGCAAAGGATGCAACATAAACTCGCGGGTCGCAATGTCGCGCCTTTCAAATTTTGCTCGGGGGCCATGTGGGCTCCGCAAAAAAGGGGGCGGCGGCTTCGTTAGAAATCGAGCTGAATAAAGAGGACGTGCATAAGCTACTAATCTGTGTGCTTGCTCTTGCTGGTTTTTTCGTCGGGAAGGTGCACTAGTGGCACTGTTGCTGTAGATGCACCATTTAGGATTAGAAGCGCATTGTCCTCTCTACTACAGGTTCAGTGCCAACGCTTGGTTCGGATTAACCGGCGCCCAACTTCTGAACCGCCCTGATTCAAGCGGCTCCCACGGATTGGCCATTATGACACTCACGCTTCGGCAAAAGATTTGCACACGTCGGGGCGCTCACTTTGGAGTTTGAGGTGTCTTGAGCAAGCGAGTGACTGAGTGTAGCAGTGAGTGAGTGCAGACCGCCGTGCGTACGAGCAACATCGATGGGAAACCCTAACAGCAAGGACAGCGATAGCCAAAACAAGGCGAGACCGAGCGGCGACGGCAGCTTTGACTCCACGAGCAGCCAAAAGGCTATCAACTCCGACGAGAGCGGAGAGCGCGCGCGCATTGACCTGATTGAGGATCACTATGCGACTACGAAAAATGACGGAGCGGTAGAAGAAAAAGAGAAAGAGGAGCCTAAGGAGGGCACAAGCGTGCAGACGAAGGTATATCGCTCCGAGCAGGCGGACGGCGGCATCATCACCAAGACGATACGTACCACGAGTACTACTACGTACTCGCGTTCGGGTGACCTGATCACGACCATCGAAGTACAGACCACGACGGAAAAGGAAGCAAAGGATGGCTCTAAGAGCACTTCGGTCGCCACGGAGACGAGAACGGAATCAGTGGCAGGCCTAGTCGAATCTGTCGCGGACGAACAGGGGCATCATGATGACGTTGAAACGCGGGTGTGTCGAACGACAGATAAGGACGGAAGCATCGTGACCAGCGCTGTATGTACTGACAGGAACAAGGGACTGTCGAACGACGATACCGCAACAACAGCTAGAGTGAAGCCAACCACGGAAGCCAAGACGAAGGATGGTACCGTGACCACCAACGTGTCACGACAAGTACGAGCAGGTGCTGCTGGATGGAGCAAGTCGCATGACGCCATTAGCGCAGGGACTGATCAAAAACCATCGTTGCAAATGGTAAGCGGAAAAACTATTTCCGACTCGCAGGAAACTGATGATGCGGACCGTCGCTCATTTAAGGATGGACATAAGCGAAGGTACGAGCAGTGGCATCCGAGGTTCGTCTCGTACATGAAACATCAGAACAAGCGTATTGAGGCACTCGCCACGACGGAATTGGTCGAGGATGCGCGCCAGTTTTGTGCTGAGAACTTTAAGGAGTTTCGTCCAGAATTGTTTGACTGTGGATCGACAGAGGCTGATAAGGAATGCTGGAAAAATGTGGCGCAGCTTGCTCGTTCCTACCCGATTGTGGCTGTGCAACTGCTTGCGCGGAAATTAGGAGACAAGAATGTGTTGATTGTGGACGAACTGTCGCAGGATTCTGATCGTGGCATTCTTACGCACGTAGCGATGAAAATGCTTAGGTGCTCGCAAACGGACGCTTGTGAATTTTGTGACGACCTTCTTGTTCTGAGAAATGGAGAAGTGATGTACGAATATTCTGGTAGGGAGATTGTGGAATACTTCAACGTCTCAGGCAATGTGGGTGCTTTGGGAAAGCCCGCGGCACACGATTCACTGGGCCTGACTGCTAAACAGGAAGATCGTTACCTTCCCACTGTTTCCACTGACGCTAAGCGGGATAATGGCTCTAAAAACATTGTCCGGAACATTGCTACGCTAATCAAATTCGCGGATGACACTGCTCTCCTCGCGAGTAATACTGGAACGGTAGTTCGTGACCTGCCATCCGAAACTCCCGAAAAATATTCAATTGCACTTCAAACGGACAGTGTCCCTACTCCGCTGCCTACTATAACTAAAACTGTCAACCATCTTCAGCAACCTAACACAGCACCAGGCAAGTCGGTGAAGACCGAGGTGTTCCGCTCGGAGAGACCGGACGGCAGCATCGTGACCAAGACGGTCCGCACGACGACTTGCACCACGAAGCCTGCGGACGGCGAGCTCGTGACGACGATCGAGGTGGAAACGACGACTGAAACGGAATCCCCGGACGGCACGACGAGCACTACAGTGGCGACGGAGACCTGCGAAGAGACGGAGACGGAGGAGAGCAGCCTCCCAATGACGCCCGCTACGGGTGGTACTGTTGTAAGTGTGACGGAGCAAGCTGACACTGTGCCAGGCAAGTCGGTGAAGACCGAGGTGTTCCGCTCGGAGAGACCGGACGGCAGCATCGTGAACAAGACGGTCCGCACGACGACTTGCACCACGAAGCCTGCGGACGGCGAGCTCGTGACGACGATCGAGGTGGAAACGACGACTGAAACGGAATCCCCGGACGGCACGACGAGCACTACAGTGGCGACGGAGACCTGCGAAGAGACGGAGACGGAGGAGAGCAGCCTCCCAATGACGCCCGCTACGGGTGGTACTGTTGTAAGTGTGACGGAGCAAGCTGACACTGTGCCAGGCAAGTCGGTGAAGACCGAGGTGTTCCGCTCGGAGAGACCGGACGGCAGCATCGTGACCAAGACGGTCCGCACGACGACTTGCACCACGAAGCCTGCGGACGGCGAGCTCGTGACGACGATCGAGGTGGAAACGACGACTGAAACGGAATCCCCGGACGGCACGACGAGCACTACAGTGGCGACGGAGACCTGCGAAGAGACGGAGACGGAGGAGAGCAGCCTCCCAATGACGCCCGCTACGGGTGGTACTGTTGTAAGTGTGACGGAGCAAGCTGACACTGTGCCAGGCAAGTCGGTGAAGACCGAGGTGTTCCGCTCGGAGAGACCGGACGGCAGCATCGTGACCAAGACGGTCCGCACGACGACTTGCACCACGAAGCCTGCGGACGGCGAGCTCGTGACGACGATCGAGGTGGAAACGACGACTGAAACGGAATCCCCGGACGGCACGACGAGCACTACAGTGGCGACGGAGACCTGCGAAGAGACGGAGACGGAGGAGAGCAGCCTCCCAATGACGCCCGCTACGGGTGGTACTGTTGTAAGTGTGACGGAGCAAGCTGACACTGTGCCAGGCAAGTCGGTGAAGACCGAGGTGTTCCGCTCGGAGAGACCGGACGGCAGCATCGTGACCAAGACGGTCCGCACGACGACTTGCACCACGAAGCCTGCGGACGGCGAGCTCGTGACGACGATCGAGGTGGAAACGACGACTGAAACGGAATCCCCGGACGGCACGACGAGCACTACAGTGGCGACGGAGACCTGCGAAGAGACGGAGACGGAGGAGAGCAGCCTCCCAATGACGCCCGCTACGGGTGGTACTGTTGTAAGTGTGACGGAGCAAGCTGACACTGTGCCAGGCAAGTCGGTGAAGACCGAGGTGTTCCGCTCGGAGAGACCGGACGGCAGCATCGTGACCAAGACGGTCCGCACGACGACTTGCACCACGAAGCCTGCGGACGGCGAGCTCGTGACGACGATCGAGGTGGAAACGACGACTGAAACGGAATCCCCGGACGGCACGACGAGCACTACAGTGGCGACGGAGACCTGCGAAGAGACGGAGACGGAGGAGAGCAGCCTCCCAATGACGCCCGCTACGGGTGGTACTGTTGTAAGTGTGACGGAGCAAGCTGACACTGTGCCAGGCAAGTCGGTGAAGACCGAGGTGTTCCGCTCGGAGAGACCGGACGGCAGCATCGTGACCAAGACGGTCCGCACGACGACTTGCACCACGAAGCCTGCGGACGGCGAGCTCGTGACGACGATCGAGGTGGAAACGACGACTGAAACGGAATCCCCGGACGGCACGACGAGCACTACAGTGGCGACGGAGACCTGCGAAGAGACGGAGACGGAGGAGAGCAGCCTCCCAATGACGCCCGCTACGGGTGGTACTGTTGTAAGTGTGACGGAGCAAGCTGACACTGTGCCAGGCAAGTCGGTGAAGACCGAGGTGTTCCGCTCGGAGAGACCGGACGGCAGCATCGTGACCAAGACGGTCCGCACGACGACTTGCACCACGAAGCCTGCGGACGGCGAGCTCGTGACGACGATCGAGGTGGAAACGACGACTGAAACGGAATCCCCGGACGGCACGACGAGCACTACAGTGGCGACGGAGACCTGCGAAGAGACGGAGACGGAGGAGAGCAGCCTCCCAATGACGCCCGCTACGGGTGGTACTGTTGTAAGTGTGACGGAGCAAGCTGACACTGTGCCAGGCAAGTCGGTGAAGACCGAGGTGTTCCGCTCGGAGAGACCGGACGGCAGCATCGTGACCAAGACGGTCCGCACGACGACTTGCACCACGAAGCCTGCGGACGGCGAGCTCGTGACGACGATCGAGGTGGAAACGACGACTGAAACGGAATCCCCGGACGGCACGACGAGAGCACTACAGTGGCGACGGAGACCTGCGAGGAGACGGAGACGGAGGAGAGCAGCCTCCCAATGACGCCCGCTACGGGTGGTACTGTTGTAAGTGTGACGGAGCAAGCTGACACTGTGCCAGGCAAGTCGGTGAAGACCGAGGTGTTCCGCTCGGAGAGACCGGACGGCAGCATCGTGACCAAGACGGTCCGCACGACGACTTGCACCACGAAGCCTGCGGACGGCGAGCTCGTGACGACGATCGAGGTGGAAACGACGACTGAAACGGAATCCCCGGACGGCACGACGAGCACTACAGTGGCGACGGAGACCTGCGAAGAGACGGAGACGGAGGAGAGCAGCCTCCCAATGACGCCCGCTACGGGTGGTACTGTTGTGAAGTGTGACGGAGCAAGCTGACACTGTGCCAGGCAAGTCGGTGAAGACCGAGGTGTTCCGCTCGGAGAGACCGGACGGCAGCATCGTGACCAAGACGGTCCGCACGACGACTTGCACCACGAAGCCTGCGGACGGCGAGCTCGTGACGACGATCGAGGTGGAAACGACGACTGAAACGGAATCCCCGGACGGCACGACGAGCACTACAGTGGCGACGGAGACCTGCGAAGAGACGGAGACGGAGGAGAGCAGCCTCCCAATGACGCCCGCTACGGGTGGTACTGTTGTAAGTGTGACGGAGCAAGCTGACACTGTGCCAGGCAAGTCGGTGAAGACCGAGGTGTTCCGCTCGGAGAGACCGGACGGCAGCATCGTGACCAAGACGGTCCGCACGACGACTTGCACCACGAAGCCTGCGGACGGCGAGCTCGTGACGACGATCGAGGTGGAAACGACGACTGAAACGGAATCCCCGGACGGCACGACGAGCACTACAGTGGCGACGGAGACCTGCGAAGAGACGGAGACGGAGGAGAGCAGCCTCCCAATGACGCCCGCTACGGGTGGTACTGTTGTAAGTGTGACGGAGCAAGCTGACACTGTGCCAGGCAAGTCGGTGAAGACCGAGGTGTTCCGCTCGGAGAGACCGGACGGCAGCATCGTGACCAAGACGGTCCGCACGACGACTTGCACCACGAAGCCTGCGGACGGCGAGCTCGTGACGACGATCGAGGTGGAAACGACGACTGAAACGGAATCCCCGGACGGCACGACGAGCACTACAGTGGCGACGGAGACCTGCGAGGAGACGGAGACGGAGGAGAGCAGCCTCCCAATGACGCCCGCTACGGGTGGTACTGTTGTAAGTGTGACGGAGCAAGCTGACACTGTGCCAGGCAAGTCGGTGAAGACCGAGGTGTTCCGCTCGGAGAGAGACCGGACGGCAGCATCGTGACCAAGACGGTCCGCACGACGACTTGCACCACGAAGCCTGCGGACGGCGAGCTCGTGACGACGATCGAGGTGGAAACGACGACTGAAACGGAATCCCCGGACGGCACGACGAGCACTACAGTGGCGACGGAGACCTGCGAAGAGACGGAGACGGAGGAGAGCAGCCTCCCAATGACGCCCGCTACGGGTGGTACTGTTGTAAGTGTGACGGAGCAAGCTGACACTGTGCCAGGCAAGTCGGTGAAGACCGAGGTGTTCCGCTCGGAGAGACCGGACGGCAGCATCGTGACCAAGACGGTCCGCACGACGACTTGCACCACGAAGCCTGCGGACGGCGAGCTCGTGACGACGATCGAGGTGGAAACGACGACTGAAACGGAATCCCCGGACGGCACGACGAGCACTACAGTGGCGACGGAGACCTGCGAAGAGACGGAGACGGAGGAGAGCAGCCTCCCAATGACGCCCGCTACGGGTGGTACTGTTGTAAGTGTGACGGAGCAAGCTGACACTGTGCCAGGCAAGTCGGTGAAGACCGAGGTGTTCCGCTCGGAGAGACCGGACGGCAGCATCGTGACCAAGACGGTCCGCACGACGACTTGCACCACGAAGCCTGCGGACGGCGAGCTCGTGACGACGATCGAGGTGGAAACGACGACTGAAACGGAATCCCCGGACGGCACGACGAGCACTACAGTGGCGACGGAGACCTGCGAAGAGACGGAGACGGAGGAGAGCAGCCTCCCAATGACGCCCGCTACGGGTGGTACTGTTGTAAGTGTGACGGAGCAAGCTGACACTGTGCCAGGCAAGTCGGTGAAGACCGAGGTGTTCCGCTCGGAGAGACCGGACGGCAGCATCGTGACCAAGACGGTCCGCACGACGACTTGCACCACGAAGCCTGCGGACGGCGAGCTCGTGACGACGATCGAGGTGGAAACGACGACTGAAACGGAATCCCCGGACGGCACGACGAGCACTACAGTGGCGACGGAGACCTGCGAAGAGACGGAGACGGAGGAGAGCAGCCTCCCAATGACGCCCGCTACGGGTGGTACTGTTGTAAGTGTGACGGAGCAAGCTGACACTGTGCCAGGCAAGTCGGTGAAGACCGAGGTGTTCCGCTCGGAGAGACCGGACGGCAGCATCGTGACCAAGACGGTCCGCACGACGACTTGCACCACGAAGCCTGCGGACGGCGAGCTCGTGACGACGATCGAGGTGGAAACGACGACTGAAACGGAATCCCCGGACGGCACGACGAGCACTACAGTGGCGACGGAGACCTGCGAAGAGACGGAGACGGAGGAGAGCAGCCTCCCAATGACGCCCGCTACGGGTGGTACTGTTGTAAGTGTGACGGAGCAAGCTGACACTGTGCCAGGCAAGTCGGTGAAGACCGAGGTGTTCCGCTCGGAGAGACCGGACGGCAGCATCGTGACCAAGACGGTCCGCACGACGACTTGCACCACGAAGCCTGCGGACGGCGAGCTCGTGACGACGATCGAGGTGGAAACGACGACTGAAACGGAATCCCCGGACGGCACGACGAGCACTACAGTGGCGACGGAGACCTGCGAAGAGACGGAGACGGAGGAGAGCAGCCTCCCAATGACGCCCGCTACGGGTGGTACTGTTGTAAGTGTGACGGAGCAAGCTGACACTGTGCCAGGCAAGTCGGTGAAGACCGAGGTGTTCCGCTCGGAGAGACCGGACGGCAGCATCGTGACCAAGACGGTCCGCACGACGACTTGCACCACGAAGCCTGCGGACGGCGAGCTCGTGACGACGATCGAGGTGGAAACGACGACTGAAACGGAATCCCCGGACGGCACGACGAGCACTACAGTGGCGACGGAGACCTGCGAGGAGACGGAGACGGAGGAGAGCAGCCTCCCAATGACGCCCGCTACGGGTGGTACTGTTGTAAGTGTGACGGAGCAAGCTGACACTGTGCCAGGCAAGTCGGTGAAGACCGAGGTGTTCCGCTCGGAGAGACCGGACGGCAGCATCGTGACCAAGACGGTCCGCACGACGACTTGCACCACGAAGCCTGCGGACGGCGAGCTCGTGACGACGATCGAGGTGGAAACGACGACTGAAACGGAATCCCCGGACGGCACGACGAGCACTACAGTGGCGACGGAGACCTGCGAAGAGACGGAGACGGAGGAGAGCAGCCTCCCAATGACGCCCGCTACGGGTGGTACTGTTGTAAGTGTGACGGAGCAAGCTGACACTGTGCCAGGCAAGTCGGTGAAGACCGAGGTGTTCCGCTCGGAGAGACCGGACGGCAGCATCGTGACCAAGACGGTCCGCACGACGACTTGCACCACGAAGCCTGCGGACGGCGAGCTCGTGACGACGATCGAGGTGGAAACGACGACTGAAACGGAATCCCCGGACGGCACGACGAGCACTACAGTGGCGACGGAGACCTGCGAAGAGACGGAGACGGAGGAGAGCAGCCTCCCAATGACGCCCGCTACGGGTGGTACTGTTGTAAGTGTGACGGAGCAAGCTGACACTGTGCCAGGCAAGTCGGTGAAGACCGAGGTGTTCCGCTCGGAGAGACCGGACGGCAGCATCGTGACCAAGACGGTCCGCACGACGACTTGCACCACGAAGCCTGCGGACGGCGAGCTCGTGACGACGATCGAGGTGGAAACGACGACTGAAACGGAATCCCCGGACGGCACGACGAGCACTACAGTGGCGACGGAGACCTGCGAAGAGACGGAGACGGAGGAGAGCAGCCTCCCAATGACGCCCGCTACGGGTGGTACTGTTGTAAGTGTGACGGAGCAAGCTGACACTGTGCCAGGCAAGTCGGTGAAGACCGAGGTGTTCCGCTCGGAGAGACCGGACGGCAGCATCGTGACCAAGACGGTCCGCACGACGACTTGCACCACGAAGCCTGCGGACGGCGAGCTCGTGACGACGATCGAGGTGGAAACGACGACTGAAACGGAATCCCCGGACGGCACGACGAGCACTACAGTGGCGACGGAGACCTGCGAAGAGACGGAGACGGAGGAGAGCAGCCTCCCAATGACGCCCGCTACGGGTGGTACTGTTGTAAGTGTGACGGAGCAAGCTGACACTGTGCCAGGCAAGTCGGTGAAGACCGAGGTGTTCCGCTCGGAGAGACCGGACGGCAGCATCGTGACCAAGACGGTCCGCACGACGACTTGCACCACGAAGCCTGCGGACGGCGAGCTCGTGACGACGATCGAGGTGGAAACGACGACTGAAACGGAATCCCCGGACGGCACGACGAGCACTACAGTGGCGACGGAGACCTGCGAAGAGACGGAGACGGAGGAGAGCAGCCTCCCAATGACGCCCGCTACGGGTGGTACTGTTGTAAGTGTGACGGAGCAAGCTGACACTGTGCCAGGCAAGTCGGTGAAGACCGAGGTGTTCCGCTCGGAGAGACCGGACGGCAGCATCGTGACCAAGACGGTCCGCACGACGACTTGCACCACGAAGCCTGCGGACGGCGAGCTCGTGACGACGATCGAGGTGGAAACGACGACTGAAACGGAATCCCCGGACGGCACGACGAGCACTACAGTGGCGACGGAGACCTGCGAAGAGACGGAGACGGAGGAGAGCAGCCTCCCAATGACGCCCGCTACGGGTGGTACTGTTGTAAGTGTGACGGAGCAAGCTGACACTGTGCCAGGCAAGTCGGTGAAGACCGAGGTGTTCCGCTCGGAGAGACCGGACGGCAGCATCGTGACCAAGACGGTCCGCACGACGACTTGCACCACGAAGCCTGCGGACGGCGAGCTCGTGACGACGATCGAGGTGGAAACGACGACTGAAACGGAATCCCCGGACGGCACGACGAGCACTACAGTGGCGACGGAGACCTGCGAAGAGACGGAGACGGAGGAGAGCAGCCTCCCAATGACGCCCGCTACGGGTGGTACTGTTGTAAGTGTGACGGAGCAAGCTGACACTGTGCCAGGCAAGTCGGTGAAGACCGAGGTGTTCCGCTCGGAGAGACCGGACGGCAGCATCGTGACCAAGACGGTCCGCACGACGACTTGCACCACGAAGCCTGCGGACGGCGAGCTCGTGACGACGATCGAGGTGGAAACGACGACTGAAACGGAATCCCCGGACGGCACGACGAGCACTACAGTGGCGACGGAGACCTGCGAAGAGACGGAGACGGAGGAGAGCAGCCTCCCAATGACGCCCGCTACGGGTGGTACTGTTGTAAGTGTGACGGAGCAAGCTGACACTGTGCCAGGCAAGTCGGTGAAGACCGAGGTGTTCCGCTCGGAGAGACCGGACGGCAGCATCGTGACCAAGACGGTCCGCACGACGACTTGCACCACGAAGCCTGCGGACGGCGAGCTCGTGACGACGATCGAGGTGGAAACGACGACTGAAACGGAATCCCCGGACGGCACGACGAGCACTACAGTGGCGACGGAGACCTGCGAAGAGACGGAGACGGAGGAGAGCAGCCTCCCAATGACGCCCGCTACGGGTGGTACTGTTGTAAGTGTGACGGAGCAAGCTGACACTGTGCCAGGCAAGTCGGTGAAGACCGAGGTGTTCCGCTCGGAGAGACCGGACGGCAGCATCGTGACCAAGACGGTCCGCACGACGACTTGCACCACGAAGCCTGCGGACGGCGAGCTCGTGACGACGATCGAGGTGGAAACGACGACTGAAACGGAATCCCCGGACGGCACGACGAGCACTACAGTGGCGACGGAGACCTGCGAGGAGACGGAGACGGAGGAGAGCAGCCTCCCAATGACGCCCGCTACGGGTGGTACTGTTGTAAGTGTGACGGAGCAAGCTGACACTGTGCCAGGCAAGTCGGTGAAGACCGAGGTGTTCCGCTCGGAGAGACCGGACGGCAGCATCGTGACCAAGACGGTCCGCACGACGACTTGCACCACGAAGCCTGCGGACGGCGAGCTCGTGACGACGATCGAGGTGGAAACGACGACTGAAACGGAATCCCCGGACGGCACGACGAGCACTACAGTGGCGACGGAGACCTGCGAAGAGACGGAGACGGAGGAGAGCAGCCTCCCAATGACGCCCGCTACGGGTGGTACTGTTGTAAGTGTGACGGAGCAAGCTGACACTGTGCCAGGCAAGTCGGTGAAGACCGAGGTGTTCCGCTCGGAGAGACCGGACGGCAGCATCGTGACCAAGACGGTCCGCACGACGACTTGCACCACGAAGCCTGCGGACGGCGAGCTCGTGACGACGATCGAGGTGGAAACGACGACTGAAACGGAATCCCCGGACGGCACGACGAGCACTACAGTGGCGACGGAGACCTGCGAAGAGACGGAGACGGAGGAGAGCAGCCTCCCAATGACGCCCGCTACGGGTGGTACTGTTGTAAGTGTGACGGAGCAAGCTGACACTGTGCCAGGCAAGTCGGTGAAGACCGAGGTGTTCCGCTCGGAGAGACCGGATGGCAGCATCGTGACCAAGACGGTCCGCACGACGACTTGCACCACGAAGCCTGCGGACGGCGAGCTCGTGACGACGATCGAGGTGGAAACGACGACTGAAACGGAATCCCCGGACGGCACGACGAGCACTACAGTGGCGACGGAGACCTGCGAAGAGACGGAGACGGAGGAGAGCAGCCTCCCAATGACGCCCGCTACGGGTGGTACTGTTGTAAGTGTGACGGAGCAAGCTGACACTGTGCCAGGCAAGTCGGTGAAGACCGAGGTGTTCCGCTCGGAGAGACCGGACGGCAGCATCGTGACCAAGACGGTCCGCACGACGACTTGCACCACGAAGCCTGCGGACGGCGAGCTCGTGACGACGATCGAGGTGGAAACGACGACTGAAACGGAATCCCCGGACGGCACGACGAGCACTACAGTGGCGACGGAGACCTGCGAAGAGACGGAGACGGAGGAGAGCAGCCTCCCAATGACGCCCGCTACGGGTGGTACTGTTGTAAGTGTGACGGAGCAAGCTGACACTGTGCCAGGCAAGTCGGTGAAGACCGAGGTGTTCCGCTCGGAGAGACCGGACGGCAGCATCGTGACCAAGACGGTCCGCACGACGACTTGCACCACGAAGCCTGCGGACGGCGAGCTCGTGACGACGATCGAGGTGGAAACGACGACTGAAACGGAATCCCCGGACGGCACGACGAGCACTACAGTGGCGACGGAGACCTGCGAAGAGACGGAGACGGAGGAGAGCAGCCTCCCAATGACGCCCGCTACGGGTGGTACTGTTGTAAGTGTGACGGAGCAAGCTGACACTGTGCCAGGCAAGTCGGTGAAGACCGAGGTGTTCCGCTCGGAGAGACCGGACGGCAGCATCGTGACCAAGACGGTCCGCACGACGACTTGCACCACGAAGCCTGCGGACGGCGAGCTCGTGACGACGATCGAGGTGGAAACGACGACTGAAACGGAATCCCCGGACGGCACGACGAGCACTACAGTGGCGACGGAGACCTGCGAAGAGACGGAGACGGAGGAGAGCAGCCTCCCAATGACGCCCGCTACGGGTGGTACTGTTGTAAGTGTGACGGAGCAAGCTGACACTGTGCCAGGCAAGTCGGTGAAGACCGAGGTGTTCCGCTCGGAGAGACCGGACGGCAGCATCGTGACCAAGACGGTCCGCACGACGACTTGCACCACGAAGCCTGCGGACGGCGAGCTCGTGACGACGATCGAGGTGGAAACGACGACTGAAACGGAATCCCCGGACGGCACGACGAGCACTACAGTGGCGACGGAGACCTGCGAAGAGACGGAGACGGAGGAGAGCAGCCTCCCAATGACGCCCGCTACGGGTGGTACTGTTGTAAGTGTGACGGAGCAAGCTGACACTGTGCCAGGCAAGTCGGTGAAGACCGAGGTGTTCCGCTCGGAGAGACCGGACGGCAGCATCGTGACCAAGACGGTCCGCACGACGACTTGCACCACGAAGCCTGCGGACGGCGAGCTCGTGACGACGATCGAGGTGGAAACGACGACTGAAACGGAATCCCCGGACGGCACGACGAGCACTACAGTGGCGACGGAGACCTGCGAGGAGACGGAGACGGAGGAGAGCAGCCTCCCAATGACGCCCGCTACGGGTGGTACTGTTGTAAGTGTGACGGAGCAAGCTGACACTGTGCCAGGCAAGTCGGTGAAGACCGAGGTGTTCCGCTCGGAGAGACCGGACGGCAGCATCGTGACCAAGACGGTCCGCACGACGACTTGCACCACGAAGCCTGCGGACGGCGAGCTCGTGACGACGATCGAGGTGGAAACGACGACTGAAACGGAATCCCCGGACGGCACGACGAGCACTACAGTGGCGACGGAGACCTGCGAAGAGACGGAGACGGAGGAGAGCAGCCTCCCAATGACGCCCGCTACGGGTGGTACTGTTGTAAGTGTGACGGAGCAAGCTGACACTGTGCCAGGCAAGTCGGTGAAGACCGAGGTGTTCCGCTCGGAGAGACCGGACGGCAGCATCGTGACCAAGACGGTCCGCACGACGACTTGCACCACGAAGCCTGCGGACGGCGAGCTCGTGACGACGATCGAGGTGGAAACGACGACTGAAACGGAATCCCCGGACGGCACGACGAGCACTACAGTGGCGACGGAGACCTGCGAGGAGACGGAGACGGAGGAGAGCAGCCTCCCAATGACGCCCGCTACGGGTGGTACTGTTGTAAGTGTGACGGAGCAAGCTGACACTGTGCCAGGCAAGTCGGTGAAGACCGAGGTGTTCCGCTCGGAGAGACCGGACGGCAGCATCGTGACCAAGACGGTCCGCACGACGACTTGCACCACGAAGCCTGCGGACGGCGAGCTCGTGACGACGATCGAGGTGGAAACGACGACTGAAACGGAATCCCCGGACGGCACGACGAGCACTACAGTGGCGACGGAGACCTGCGAAGAGACGGAGACGGAGGAGAGCAGCCTCCCAATGACGCCCGCTACGGGTGGTACTGTTGTAAGTGTGACGGAGCAAGCTGACACTGTGCCAGGCAAGTCGGTGAAGACCGAGGTGTTCCGCTCGGAGAGACCGGACGGCAGCATCGTGACCAAGACGGTCCGCACGACGACTTGCACCACGAAGCCTGCGGACGGCGAGCTCGTGACGACGATCGAGGTGGAAACGACGACTGAAACGGAATCCCCGGACGGCACGACGAGCACTACAGTGGCGACGGAGACCTGCGAAGAAGACGGAGACGGAGGAGAGCAGCCTCCCAATGACGCCCGCTACGGGTGGTACTGTTGTAAGTGTGACGGAGCAAGCTGACACTGTGCCAGGCAAGTCGGTGAAGACCGAGGTGTTCCGCTCGGAGAGACCGGACGGCAGCATCGTGACCAAGACGGTCCGCACGACGACTTGCACCACGAAGCCTGCGGACGGCGAGCTCGTGACGACGATCGAGGTGGAAACGACGACTGAAACGGAATCCCCGGACGGCACGACGAGCACTACAGTGGCGACGGAGACCTGCGAAGAGACGGAGACGGAGGAGAGCAGCCTCCCAATGACGCCCGCTACGGGTGGTACTGTTGTAAGTGTGACGGAGCAAGCTGACACTGTGCCAGGCAAGTCGGTGAAGACCGAGGTGTTCCGCTCGGAGAGACCGGACGGCAGCATCGTGACCAAGACGGTCCGCACGACGACTTGCACCACGAAGCCTGCGGACGGCGAGCTCGTGACGACGATCGAGGTGGAAACGACGACTGAAACGGAATCCCCGGACGGCACGACGAGGCACTACAGTGGCGACGGAGACCTGCGAAGAGACGGAGACGGAGGAGAGCAGCCTCCCAATGACGCCCGCTACGGGTGGTACTGTTGTAAGTGTGACGGAGCAAGCTGACACTGTGCCAGGCAAGTCGGTGAAGACCGAGGTGTTCCGCTCGGAGAGACCGGACGGCAGCATCGTGACCAAGACGGTCCGCACGACGACTTGCACCACGAAGCCTGCGGACGGCGAGCTCGTGACGACGATCGAGGTGGAAACGACGACTGAAACGGAATCCCCGGACGGCACGACGAGCACTACAGTGGCGACGGAGACCTGCGAAGAGACGGAGACGGAGGAGAGCAGCCTCCCAATGACGCCCGCTACGGGTGGTACTGTTGTAAGTGTGACGGAGCAAGCTGACACTGTGCCAGGCAAGTCGGTGAAGACCGAGGTGTTCCGCTCGGAGAGACCGGACGGCAGCATCGTGACCAAGACGGTCCGCACGACGACTTGCACCACGAAGCCTGCGGACGGCGAGCTCGTGACGACGATCGAGGTGGAAACGACGACTGAAACGGAATCCCCGGACGGCACGACGAGCACTACAGTGGCGACGGAGACCTGCGAAGAGACGGAGACGGAGGAGAGCAGCCTCCCAATGACGCCCGCTACGGGTGGTACTGTTGTAAGTGTGACGGAGCAAGCTGACACTGTGCCAGGCAAGTCGGTGAAGACCGAGGTGTTCCGCTCCGGAGAGACCGGACGGCAGCATCGTGACCAAGACGGTCCGCACGACGACTTGCACCACGAAGCCTGCGGACGGCGAGCTCGTGACGACGATCGAGGTGGAAACGACGACTGAAACGGAATCCCCGGACGGCACGACGAGCACTACAGTGGCGACGGAGACCTGCGAGGAGACGGAGACGGAGGAGAGCAGCCTCCCAATGACGCCCGCTACGGGTGGTACTGTTGTAAGTGTGACGGAGCAAGCTGACACTGTGCCAGGCAAGTCGGTGAAGACCGAGGTGTTCCGCTCGGAGAGACCGGACGGCAGCATCGTGACCAAGACGGTCCGCACGACGACTTGCACCACGAAGCCTGCGGACGGCGAGCTCGTGACGACGATCGAGGTGGAAACGACGACTGAAACGGAATCCCCGGACGGCACGACGAGCACTACAGTGGCGACGGAGACCTGCGAAGAGACGGAGACGGAGGAGAGCAGCCTCCCAATGACGCCCGCTACGGGTGGTACTGTTGTAAGTGTGACGGAGCAAGCTGACACTGTGCCAGGCAAGTCGGTGAAGACCGAGGTGTTCCGCTCGGAGAGACCGGACGGCAGCATCGTGAACAAGACGGTCCGCACGACGACTTGCACCACGAAGCCTGCGGACGGCGAGCTCGTGACGACGATCGAGGTGGAAACGACGACTGAAACGGAATCCCCGGACGGCACGACGAGCACTACAGTGGCGACGGAGACCTGCGAGGAGACGGAGACGGAGGAGAGCAGCCTCCCAATGACGCCCGCTACGGGTGGTACTGTTGTAAGTGTGACGGAGCAAGCTGACACTGTGCCAGGCAAGTCGGTGAAGACCGAGGTGTTCCGCTCGGAGAGACCGGACGGCAGCATCGTGACCAAGACGGTCCGCACGACGACTTGCACCACGAAGCCTGCGGACGGCGAGCTCGTGACGACGATCGAGGTGGAAACGACGACTGAAACGGAATCCCCGGACGGCACGACGAGCACTACAGTGGCGACGGAGACCTGCGAAGAGACGGAGACGGAGGAGAGCAGCCTCCCAATGACGCCCGCTACGGGTGGTACTGTTGTAAGTGTGACGGAGCAAGCTGACACTGTGCCAGGCAAGTCGGTGAAGACCGAGGTGTTCCGCTCGGAGAGACCGGACGGCAGCATCGTGAACAAGACGGTCCGCACGACGACTTGCACCACGAAGCCTGCGGACGGCGAGCTCGTGACGACGATCGAGGTGGAAACGACGACTGAAACGGAATCCCCGGACGGCACGACGAGCACTACAGTGGCGACGGAGACCTGCGGAGGAGACGGAGACGGAGGAGAGCAGCCTCCCAATGACGCCCGCTACGGGTGGTACTGTTGTAAGTGTGACGGAGCAAGCTGACACTGTGCCAGGCAAGTCGGTGAAGACCGAGGTGTTCCGCTCGGAGAGACCGGACGGCAGCATCGTGACCAAGACGGTCCGCACGACGACTTGCACCACGAAGCCTGCGGACGGCGAGCTCGTGACGACGATCGAGGTGGAAACGACGACTGAAACGGAATCCCCGGACGGCACGACGAGCACTACAGTGGCGACGGAGACCTGCGAAGAGACGGAGACGGAGGAGAGCAGCCTCCCAATGACGCCCGCTACGGGTGGTACTGTTGTAAGTGTGACGGAGCAAGCTGACACTGTGCCAGGCAAGTCGGTGAAGACCGAGGTGTTCCGCTCCGGAGAGACCGGACGGCAGCATCGTGACCAAGACGGTCCGCACGACGACTTGCACCACGAAGCCTGCGGACGGCGAGCTCGTGACGACGATCGAGGTGGAAACGACGACTGAAACGGAATCCCCGGACGGCACGACGAGCACTACAGTGGCGACGGAGACCTGCGAAGAGACGGAGACGGAGGAGAGCAGCCTCCCAATGACGCCCGCTACGGGTGGTACTGTTGTAAGTGTGACGGAGCAAGCTGACACTGTGCCAGGCAAGTCGGTGAAGACCGAGGTGTTCCGCTCGGAGAGACCGGACGGCAGCATCGTGACCAAGACGGTCCGCACGACGACTTGCACCACGAAGCCTGCGGACGGCGAGCTCGTGACGACGATCGAGGTGGAAACGACGACTGAAACGGAATCCCCGGACGGCACGACGAGCACTACAGTGGCGACGGAGACCTGCGAAGAGACGGAGACGGAGGAGAGCAGCCTCCCAATGACGCCCGCTACGGGTGGTACTGTTGTAAGTGTGACGGAGCAAGCTGACACTGTGCCAGGCAAGTCGGTGAAGACCGAGGTGTTCCGCTCGGAGAGACCGGACGGCAGCATCGTGACCAAGACGGTCCGCACGACGACTTGCACCACGAAGCCTGCGGACGGCGAGCTCGTGACGACGATCGAGGTGGAAACGACGACTGAAACGGAATCCCCGGACGGCACGACGAGCACTACAGTGGCGACGGAGACCTGCGAAGAGACGGAGACGGAGGAGAGCAGCCTCCCAATGACGCCCGCTACGGGTGGTACTGTTGTAAGTGTGACGGAGCAAGCTGACACTGTGCCAGGCAAGTCGGTGAAGACCGAGGTGTTCCGCTCGGAGAGACCGGACGGCAGCATCGTGACCAAGACGGTCCGCACGACGACTTGCACCACGAAGCCTGCGGACGGCGAGCTCGTGACGACGATCGAGGTGGAAACGACGACTGAAACGGAATCCCCGGACGGCACGACGAGCACTACAGTGGCGACGGAGACCTGCGAGGAGACGGAGACGGAGGAGAGCAGCCTCCCAATGACGCCCGCTACGGGTGGTACTGTTGTAAGTGTGACGGAGCAAGCTGACACTGTGCCAGGCAAGTCGGTGAAGACCGAGGTGTTCCGCTCGGAGAGACCGGACGGCAGCATCGTGACCAAGACGGTCCGCACGACGACTTGCACCACGAAGCCTGCGGACGGCGAGCTCGTGACGACGATCGAGGTGGAAACGACGACTGAAACGGAATCCCCGGACGGCACGACGAGCACTACAGTGGCGACGGAGACCTGCGAAGAGACGGAGACGGAGGAGAGCAGCCTCCCAATGACGCCCGCTACGGGTGGTACTGTTTGTAAGTGTGACGGAGCAAGCTGACACTGTGCCAGGCAAGTCGGTGAAGACCGAGGTGTTCCGCTCGGAGAGACCGGACGGCAGCATCGTGACCAAGACGGTCCGCACGACGACTTGCACCACGAAGCCTGCGGACGGCGAGCTCGTGACGACGATCGAGGTGGAAACGACGACTGAAACGGAATCCCCGGACGGCACGACGAGCACTACAGTGGCGACGGAGACCTGCGAAGAGACGGAGACGGAGGAGAGAGCAGCCTCCCAATGACGCCCGCTACGGGTGGTACTGTTGTAAGTGTGACGGAGCAAGCTGACACTGTGCCAGGCAAGTCGGTGAAGACCGAGGTGTTCCGCTCCGGAGAGACCGGACGGCAGCATCGTGACCAAGACGGTCCGCACGACGACTTGCACCACGAAGCCTGCGGACGGCGAGCTCGTGACGACGATCGAGGTGGAAACGACGACTGAAACGGAATCCCCGGACGGCACGACGAGCACTACAGTGGCGACGGAGACCTGCGAAGAGACGGAGACGGAGGAGAGCAGCCTCCCAATGACGCCCGCTACGGGTGGTACTGTTGTAAGTGTGACGGAGCAAGCTGACACTGTGCCAGGCAAGTCGGTGAAGACCGAGGTGTTCCGCTCGGAGAGACCGGACGGCAGCATCGTGACCAAGACGGTCCGCACGACGACTTGCACCACGAAGCCTGCGGACGGCGAGCTCGTGACGACGATCGAGGTGGAAACGACGACTGAAACGGAATCCCCGGACGGCACGACGAGCACTACAGTGGCGACGGAGACCTGCGAAGAGACGGAGACGGAGGAGAGCAGCCTCCCAATGACGCCCGCTACGGGTGGTACTGTTGTAAGTGTGACGGAGCAAGCTGACACTGTGCCAGGCAAGTCGGTGAAGACCGAGGTGTTCCGCTCGGAGAGACCGGACGGCAGCATCGTGACCAAGACGGTCCGCACGACGACTTGCACCACGAAGCCTGCGGACGGCGAGCTCGTGACGACGATCGAGGTGGAAACGACGACTGAAACGGAATCCCCGGACGGCACGACGAGCACTACAGTGGCGACGGAGACCTGCGAAGAGACGGAGACGGAGGAGAGCAGCCTCCCAATGACGCCCGCTACGGGTGGTACTGTTGTAAGTGTGACGGAGCAAGCTGACACTGTGCCAGGCAAGTCGGTGAAGACCGAGGTGTTCCGCTCGGAGAGACCGGACGGCAGCATCGTGACCAAGACGGTCCGCACGACGACTTGCACCACGAAGCCTGCGGACGGCGAGCTCGTGACGACGATCGAGGTGGAAACGACGACTGAAACGGAATCCCCGGACGGCACGACGAGCACTACAGTGGCGACGGAGACCTGCGAAGAGACGGAGACGGAGGAGAGCAGCCTCCCAATGACGCCCGCTACGGGTGGTACTGTTGTAAGTGTGACGGAGCAAGCTGACACTGTGCCAGGCAAGTCGGTGAAGACCGAGGTGTTCCGCTCGGAGAGACCGGACGGCAGCATCGTGACCAAGACGGTCCGCACGACGACTTGCACCACGAAGCCTGCGGACGGCGAGCTCGTGACGACGATCGAGGTGGAAACGACGACTGAAACGGAATCCCCGGACGGCACGACGAGCACTACAGTGGCGACGGAGACCTGCGAAGAGACGGAGACGGAGGAGAGCAGCCTCCCAATGACGCCCGCTACGGGTGGTACTGTTGTAAGTGTGACGGAGCAAGCTGACACTGTGCCAGGCAAGTCGGTGAAGACCGAGGTGTTCCGCTCGGAGAGACCGGACGGCAGCATCGTGACCAAGACGGTCCGCACGACGACTTGCACCACGAAGCCTGCGGACGGCGAGCTCGTGACGACGATCGAGGTGGAAACGACGACTGAAACGGAATCCCCGGACGGCACGACGAGCACTACAGTGGCGACGGAGACCTGCGAAGAGACGGAGACGGAGGAGAGCAGCCTCCCAATGACGCCCGCTACGGGTGGTACTGTTGTAAGTGTGACGGAGCAAGCTGACACTGTGCCAGGCAAGTCGGTGAAGACCGAGGTGTTCCGCTCGGAGAGACCGGACGGCAGCATCGTGACCAAGACGGTCCGGACGACGACTTGCACCACGAAGCCTGCGGACGGCGAGCTCGTGACGACGATCGAGGTGGAAACGACGACTGAAACGGAATCCCCGGACGGCACGACGAGCACTACAGTGGCGACGGAGACCTGCGAAGAGACGGAGACGGAGGAGAGCAGCCTCCCAATGACGCCCGCTACGGGTGGTACCTTCAAGAAGACGCCCGAGACGACGGAGGTGGATGAGACGGAGGAGACCACGACCATCACGACGGAGACGTATGAGACGATTGAGGAGGTGCCAACCTTCAAGAAGACGCCCGAAACGACGGAGGTGGATGAGACGGAGGAGACCACGACCTTCACGACGGAGACGTATGAGACGGTTGAGGAGGTGCCAACCTTCAAGAAGACGCCCGAGACGACGGAGGTGGATGAGACGGAGGAGACCACGACCATCACGACGGAGACGTATGAGACGATTGAGGAGGTGCCAACCTTCAAGAAGACGCCCGAAACGACGGAGGTGGATGAAACGGAGGAGACCACGACGTTCACGATGGAGACGTATGAGACGATTGAGGAGGTGCCAACCTTCAAAAAGACGCCCAAAACGACGGAGGTGGATGAGACGGAGGAGACCACGACCATCACGACGGAGACGTATGAGACGATTGAGGAGGTGCCAACCTTCAAGAAGACGCCCGAGACGACGGAGGTGGATGAGACGGAGGAGACCACGACGTTCACGACGGAGACGTATGAGACGATTGAGGAGGTGCCAACCTTCAAGAAGACGCCCGAGACGACGGAGGTGGATGAGACAGAGGAGACCACGACGTTCACGACGGAGAACGTATGAGACGATTGAGGAGGTGCCAACCTTCAAGAAGACGCCCGAGACGACGGAGGTGGATGAGACGGAGGAGACCACGACGTTCACGACGGAGACGTATGAGACGATTGAGGAGAGTGCCAACCTTCAAGAAGACGCCCGAGACGACGGAGGTGGATGAGACGGAGGAGACCACGACGTTCACGACAGAGACGTATGAGAACGATTGAGGAGGTGCCAACCTTCAAGAAGACGCCCGAGACGACGGAGGTGGATGAGACGGAGGAGACCACGACGTTCACGACAGAGACGTATGAGACGGTTGAGGAGGTGCCAACCTTCAAGAAGACGCCCGAGACGACGGAGGTGGATGAGACGGAGGAGACCACGACGTTCACGACAGAGACGTATGAGACGATTGAGGAGGTGCCAACCTTCAAGAAGACGCCCGAGACGACGGAGGTGGATGAGACGGAGGAGACCACGACGTTCACGACAGAGACGTATGAGAACGGTGAGGAGGTGCCAACCTTCAAGAAGACGCCCGAGACGACGGAGGTGGATGAGACGGAGGAGACCACGACGTTCACGACGGAGACGTATGAGACGATTGAGGAGGTGCCAACCTTCAAGAAAGACGCCCGAGACGACGGAGGTGGATGAGACGGAGGAGACCACGACGTTCACGACAGAGACGTATGAGACGATTGAGGAGGTGCCAACCTTCAAGAAGACGCCCGAGACGACGGAGGTGGATGAGACGGAGGAGACCACGACGTTCACGACGGAGACGTATGAGACGATTGAGGAGGTGCCAACCTTCAAGAAGACGCCCGAGACGACGGAGGTGGATGAGACGGAGGAGACCACGACGTTCACGACGGAGACGTATGAGACGATTGAGGAGGTGCCAACCTTCAAGAAGACGCCCGAGACGACGGAGGTGGATGAGACGGAGGAGACCACGACGTTCACGACGGAGACGTATGAGACGATTGAGGAGGTGCCAACCTTCAAGAAGACGCCCGAGACGACGGAGAGTGGATGAGACGGAGGAGACCACGACGTTCACGACAGAGACGTATGAGACGATTGAGGAGGTGCCAACCTTCAAGAAGACGCCCGAGACGACGGAGGTGGATGAGACGGAGGAGACCACGACGTTCACGACAGAGACGTATGAGACGATTGAGGAGGTGCCAACCTTCAAGAAGACGCCCGAGACGACGGAGGTGGATGAGACGGAGGAGACCACGACGTTCACGACAGAGACGTATGAGAACGATGAGGAGGTGCCAACCTTCAAGAAGACGCCCGAGACGACGGAGGTGGATGAGACGGAGGAGACCACGACGTTCACGACGGAGACGTATGAGAACGATTGAGGAGGTGCCAACCTTCAAGAAGACGCCCGAGACGACGGAGGTGGATGAGACGGAGGAGACCACGACGTTCACGACGGAGACGTATGAGACGTATGAGGAGGTGCCAACCTTCAAGAAGACGCCCGAGACGACGGAGGTGGATGAGACGGAGGAGACCACGACGTTCACGACGGAGACGTATGAGACGATTGAGGAGGTGCCAACCTTCAAGAAGACGCCCGAGACGACGGAGGTGGATGAGACGGAGGAGACCACGACGTTCACGACGGAGACGTATGAGACGATTGAGGAGGTGCCAACCTTCAAGAAGACGCCCGAGACGACGGAGGTGGATGAGACGGAGGAGACCACGACGTTCACGACGGAGACGTATGAGACGATTGAGGAGGTGCCAACCTTCAAGAAGACGCCCGAGACGACGGAGGTGGATGAGACGGAGGAGACCACGACGTTCACGACGGAGACGTATGAGACGATTGAGGAGGTGCCAACCTTCAAGAAGACGCCCGAGACGACGGAGGTGGATGAGACGGAGGAGACCACGACGTTCACGACGGAGACGTATGAGACGATTGAGGAGGTGCCAACCTTCAAGAAGACGCCCGAGACGACGGAGGTGGATGAGACGGAGGAGACCACGACGTTCACGACAGAGACGTATGAGACGATTGAGGAGGTGCCAACCTTCAAGAAGACGCCCGAGACGACGGAGGTGGATGAGACGGAGGAGACCACGACGTTCACGACGGAGACGTATGAGACGATTGAGGAGGTGCCAACCTTCAAGAAGACGCCCGAGACGACGGAGGTGGATGAGACGGAGGAGACCACGACGTTCACGACGGAGACGTATGAGACGATTGAGGAGGTGCCAACCTTCAAGAAGACGCCCGAGACGACGGAGGTGGATGAGACGGAGGAGACCACGACGTTCACGACGGAGACGTATGAGACGATTGAGGAGGTGCCAACCTTCAAGAAGACGCCCGAGACGACGGAGGTGGATGAGACGGAGGAGACCACGACGTTCACGACGGAGACGTATGAGACGATTGAGGAGGTGCCAACCTTCAAGAAGACGCCCGAGACGACGGAGGTGGATGAGACGGAGGAGACCACGACGTTCACGACGGAGACGTATGAGACGATTGAGGAGGTGCCAACCTTCAAGAAGACGCCCGAGACGACGGAGGTGGATGAGACGGAGGAGACCACGACGTTCACGACGGAGACGTATGAGACGATTGAGAGAGGTGCCAACCTTCAAGAAGACGCCCGAGACGACGGAGGTGGATGAGACGGAGGAGACCACGACGTTCACGACGGAGACGTATGAGACGATTGAGGAGGTGCCAACCTTCAAGAAGACGCCCGAGACGACGGAGGTGGATGAGACGGAGGAGACCACGACGTTCACGACGGAGACGTATGAGACGATTGAGGAGGTGCCAACCTTCAAGAAGACGCCCGAGACGACGGAGGTGGATGAGACGGAGGAGACCACGACGTTCACGACGGAGACGTATGAGACGATTGAGGAGGTGCCAACCTTCAAGAAGACGCCCGAGACGACGGAGGTGGATGAGACGGAGGAGACCACGACGTTCACGACGGAGACGTATGAGACGATTGAGGAGGTGCCAACCTTCAAGAAGACGCCCGAGACGACGGAGGTGGATGAGACGGAGGAGACCACGACGTTCACGACGGAGACGTATGAGACGATTGAGGAGGTGCCAACCTTCAAGAAGACGCCCGAGACGACGGAGGTGGATGAGACGGAGGAGACCACGACGTTCACGACGGAGACGTATGAGACGATTGAGGAGGTGCCAACCTTCAAGAAGACGCCCGAGACGACGGAGGTGGATGAGACGGAGGAGACCACGACGTTCACGACGGAGACGTATGAGACGATTGAGGAGGTGCCAACCTTCAAGAAGACGCCCGAGACGACGGAGGTGGATGAGACGGAGGAGACCACGACGTTCACGACGGAGACGTATGAGACGATTGAGGAGGTGCCAACCTTCAAGAAGACGCCCGAGACGACGGAGGTGGATGAGACGGAGGAGACCACGACGTTCACGACGGAGACGTATGAGACGATTGAGGAGGTGCCAACCTTCAAGAAGACGCCCGAGACGACGGAGGTGGATGAGACGGAGGAGACCACGACGTTCACGACGGAGACGTATGAGACGATTGAGGAGGTGCCAACCTTCAAGAAGACGCCCGAGACGACGGAGGTGGATGAGACGGAGGAGACCACGACGTTCACGACGGAGACGTATGAGACGATTGAGGAGGTGCCAACCTTCAAGAAGACGCCCGAGACGACGGAGGTGGATGAGACGGAGGAGACCACGACGTTCACGACGGAGACGTATGAGACGATTGAGGAGGTGCCAACCTTCAAGAAGACGCCCGAGACGACGGAGGTGGATGAGACGGAGGAGACCACGACGTTCACGACGGAGACGTATGAGACGATTGAGGAGGTGCCAACCTTCAAGAAGACGCCCGAGACGACGGAGGTGGATGAGACGGAGGAGACCACGACGTTCACGACGGAGACGTATGAGACGATTGAGGAGGTGCCAACCTTCAAGAAGACGCCCGAGACGACGGAGGTGGATGAGACGGAGGAGACCACGACGTTCACGACGGAGACGTATGAGACGATTGAGGAGGTGCCAACCTTCAAGAAGACGCCCGAGACGACGGAGGTGGATGAGACGGAGGAGACCACGACGTTCACGACGGAGACGTATGAGACGATTGAGGAGGTGCCAACCTTCAAGAAGACGCCCGAGACGACGGAGGTGGATGAGACGGAGGAGACCACGACGTTCACGACGGAGACGTATGAGACGATTGAGGAGGTGCCAACCTTCAAGAAGACGCCCGAGACGACGGAGGTGGATGAGACGGAGGAGACCACGACGTTCACGACGGAGACGTATGAGACGATTGAGGAGGTGCCAACCTTCAAGAAGACGCCCGAGACGACGGAGGTGGATGAGACGGAGGAGACCACGACGTTCACGACGGAGACGTATGAGACGATTGAGGAGGTGCCAACCTTCAAGAAGACGCCCGAGACGACGGAGGTGGATGAGACGGAGGAGACCACGACGTTCACGACGGAGACGTATGAGACGATTGAGGAGGTGCCAACCTTCAAGAAGACGCCCGAGACGACGGAGGTGGATGAGACGGAGGAGACCACGACGTTCACGACGGAGACGTATGAGACGATTGAGGAGGTGCCAACCTTCAAGAAGACGCCCGAGACGACGGAGGTGGATGAGACGGAGGAGACCACGACGTTCACGACGGAGACGTATGAGACGATTGAGGAGGTGCCAACCTTCAAGAAGACGCCCGAGACGACGGAGGTGGATGAGACGGAGGAGACCACGACGTTCACGACGGAGACGTATGAGACGATTGAGGAGGGTGCCAACCTTCAAGAAGACGCCCGAGACGACGGAGGTGGATGAGACGGAGGAGACCACGACGTTCACGACGGAGACGTATGAGACGATTGAGGAGGTGCCAACCTTCAAGAAGACGCCCGAGACGACGGAGGTGGATGAGACGGAGGAGACCACGACGTTCACGACGGAGACGTATGAGACGATTGAGGAGGTGCCAACCTTCAAGAAGACGCCCGAGACGACGGAGGTGGATGAGACGGAGGAGACCACGACGTTCACGACGGAGACGTATGAGACGATTGAGGAGGTGCCAACCTTCAAGAAGACGCCCGAGACGACGGAGGTGGATGAGACGGAGGAGACCACGACGTTCACGACGGAGACGTATGAGACGATTGAGGAGGTGCCAACCTTCAAGAAGACGCCCGAGACGACGGAGGTGGATGAGACGGAGGAGACCACGACGTTCACGACGGAGACGTATGAGACGATTGAGGAGGTGCCAACCTTCAAGAAGACGCCCGAGACGACGGAGGTGGATGAGACGGAGGAGACCACGACGTTCACGACGGAGACGTATGAGACGATTGAGGAGGTGCCAACCTTCAAGAAGACGCCCGAGACGACGGAGGTGGATGAGACGGAGGAGACCACGACGTTCACGACGGAGACGTATGAGACGATTGAGGAGGTGCCAACCTTCAAGAAGACGCCCGAGACGACGGAGGTGGATGAGACGGAGGAGACCACGACGTTCACGACGGAGACGTATGAGACGATTGAGGAGGTGCCAACCTTCAAGAAGACGCCCGAGACGACGGAGGTGGATGAGACGGAGGAGACCACGACGTTCACGACGGAGACGTATGAGACGATTGAGGAGGTGCCAACCTTCAAGAAGACGCCCGAGACGACGGAGGTGGATGAGACGGAGGAGACCACGACGTTCACGACGGAGACGTATGAGACGATTGAGGAGGTGCCAACCTTCAAGAAGACGCCCGAGACGACGGAGGTGGATGAGACGGAGGAGACCACGACGTTCACGACGGAGACGTATGAGACGATTGAGGAGGTGCCAACCTTCAAGAAGACGCCCGAGACGACGGAGGTGGATGAGACGGAGGAGACCACGACGTTCACGACGGAGACGTATGAGACGATTGAGGAGGTGCCAACCTTCAAGAAGACGCCCGAGACGACGGAGGTGGATGAGACGGAGGAGACCACGACGTTCACGACGGAGACGTATGAGACGATTGAGGAGGTGCCAACCTTCAAGAAGACGCCCGAGACGACGGAGGTGGATGAGACGGAGGAGACCACGACGTTCACGACGGAGACGTATGAGACGATTGAGGAGGTGCCAACCTTCAAGAAGACGCCCGAGACGACGGAGGTGGATGAGACGGAGGAGACCACGACGTTCACGACGGAGACGTATGAGACGATTGAGGAGGTGCCAACCTTCAAGAAGACGCCCGAGACGACGGAGGTGGATGAGACGGAGGAGACCACGACGTTCACGACGGAGACGTATGAGACGATTGAGGAGGTGCCAACCTTCAAGAAGACGCCCGAGACGACGGAGGTGGATGAGACGGAGGAGACCACGACGTTCACGACGGAGACGTATGAGACGATTGAGGAGGTGCCAACCTTCAAGAAGACGCCCGAGACGACGGAGGTGGATGAGACGGAGGAGACCACGACGTTCACGACGGAGACGTATGAGACGATTGAGGAGGTGCCAACCTTCAAGAAGACGCCCGAGACGACGGAGGTGGATGAGACGGAGGAGACCACGACGTTCACGACGGAGACGTATGAGACGATTGAGGAGGTGCCAACCTTCAAGAAGACGCCCGAGACGACGGAGGTGGATGAGACGGAGGAGACCACGACGTTCACGACGGAGACGTATGAGACGATTGAGGAGGTGCCAACCTTCAAGAAGACGCCCGAGACGACGGAGGTGGATGAGACGGAGGAGACCACGACGTTCACGACGGAGACGTATGAGACGATTGAGGAGGTGCCAACCTTCAAGAAGACGCCCGAGACGACGGAGGTGGATGAGACGGAGGAGACCACGACGTTCACGACGGAGACGTATGAGACGATTGAGGAGGTGCCAACCTTCAAGAAGACGCCCGAGACGACGGAGGTGGATGAGACGGAGGAGACCACGACGTTCACGACGGAGACGTATGAGACGATTGAGGAGGTGCCAACCTTCAAGAAGACGCCCGAGACGACGGAGGTGGATGAGACGGAGGAGACCACGACGTTCACGACGGAGACGTATGAGACGATTGAGGAGGTGCCAACCTTCAAGAAGACGCCCGAGACGACGGAGGTGGATGAGACGGAGGAGACCACGACGTTCACGACGGAGACGTATGAGACGATTGAGGAGGTGCCAACCTTCAAGAAGACGCCCGAGACGACGGAGGTGGATGAGACGGAGGAGACCACGACGTTCACGACGGAGACGTATGAGACGATTGAGGAGGTGCCAACCTTCAAGAAGACGCCCGAGACGACGGAGGTGGATGAGACGGAGGAGACCACGACGTTCACGACGGAGACGTATGAGACGATTGAGGAGGTGCCAACCTTCAAGAAGACGCCCGAGACGACGGAGGTGGATGAGACGGAGGAGACCACGACGTTCACGACGGAGACGTATGAGACGATTGAGGAGGTGCCAACCTTCAAGAAGACGCCCGAGACGACGGAGGTGGATGAGACGGAGGAGACCACGACGTTCACGACGGAGACGTATGAGACGATTGAGGAGGTGCCAACCTTCAAGAAGACGCCCGAGACGACGGAGGTGGATGAGACGGAGGAGACCACGACGTTCACGACGGAGACGTATGAGACGATTGAGGAGGTGCCAACCTTCAAGAAGACGCCCGAGACGACGGAGGTGGATGAGACGGAGGAGACCACGACGTTCACGACGGAGACGTATGAGACGATTGAGGAGGTGCCAACCTTCAAGAAGACGCCCGAGACGACGGAGGTGGATGAGACGGAGGAGACCACGACGTTCACGACGGAGACGTATGAGACGATTGAGGAGGTGCCAACCTTCAAGAAGACGCCCGAGACGACGGAGGTGGATGAGACGGAGGAGACCACGACGTTCACGACGGAGACGTATGAGACGATTGAGGAGGTGCCAACCTTCAAGAAGACGCCCGAGACGACGGAGGTGGATGAGACGGAGGAGACCACGACGTTCACGACGGAGACGTATGAGACGATTGAGGAGGTGCCAACCTTCAAGAAGACGCCCGAGACGACGGAGGTGGATGAGACGGAGGAGACCACGACGTTCACGACGGAGACGTATGAGACGATTGAGGAGGTGCCAACCTTCAAGAAGACGCCCGAGACGACGGAGGTGGATGAGACGGAGGAGACCACGACGTTCACGACGGAGACGTATGAGACGATTGAGGAGGTGCCAACCTTCAAGAAGACGCCCGAGACGACGGAGGTGGATGAGACGGAGGAGACCACGACGTTCACGACGGAGACGTATGAGACGATTGAGGAGGTGCCAACCTTCAAGAAGACGCCCGAGACGACGGAGGTGGATGAGACGGAGGAGACCACGACGTTCACGACGGAGACGTATGAGACGATTGAGGAGGTGCCAACCTTCAAGAAGACGCCCGAGACGACGGAGGTGGATGAGACGGAGGAGACCACGACGTTCACGACGGAGACGTATGAGACGATTGAGGAGGTGCCAACCTTCAAGAAGACGCCCGAGACGACGGAGGTGGATGAGACGGAGGAGACCACGACGTTCACGACGGAGACGTATGAGACGATTGAGGAGGTGCCAACCTTCAAGAAGACGCCCGAGACGACGGAGGTGGATGAGACGGAGGAGACCACGACGTTCACGACGGAGACGTATGAGACGATTGAGGAGGTGCCAACCTTCAAGAAGACGCCCGAGACGACGGAGGTGGATGAGACGGAGGAGACCACGACGTTCACGACGGAGACGTATGAGACGATTGAGGAGGTGCCAACCTTCAAGAAGACGCCCGAGACGACGGAGGTGGATGAGACGGAGGAGACCACGACGTTCACGACGGAGACGTATGAGACGATTGAGGAGGTGCCAACCTTCAAGAAGACGCCCGAGACGACGGAGGTGGATGAGACGGAGGAGACCACGACGTTCACGACGGAGACGTATGAGACGATTGAGGAGGTGCCAACCTTCAAGAAGACGCCCGAGACGACGGAGGTGGATGAGACGGAGGAGACCACGACGTTCACGACGGAGACGTATGAGACGATTGAGGAGGTGCCAACCTTCAAGAAGACGCCCGAGACGACGGAGGTGGATGAGACGGAGGAGACCACGACGTTCACGACGGAGACGTATGAGACGATTGAGGAGGTGCCAACCTTCAAGAAGACGCCCGAGACGACGGAGGTGGATGAGACGGAGGAGACCACGACGTTCACGACGGAGACGTATGAGACGATTGAGGAGGTGCCAACCTTCAAGAAGACGCCCGAGACGACGGAGGTGGATGAGACGGAGGAGACCACGACGTTCACGACGGAGACGTATGAGACGATTGAGGAGGTGCCAACCTTCAAGAAGACGCCCGAGACGACGGAGGTGGATGAGACGGAGGAGACCACGACGTTCACGACGGAGACGTATGAGACGATTGAGGAGGTGCCAACCTTCAAGAAGACGCCCGAGACGACGGAGGTGGATGAGACGGAGGAGACCACGACGTTCACGACGGAGACGTATGAGACGATTGAGGAGGTGCCAACCTTCAAGAAGACGCCCGAGACGACGGAGGTGGATGAGACGGAGGAGACCACGACGTTCACGACGGAGACGTATGAGACGATTGAGGAGGTGCCAACCTTCAAGAAGACGCCCGAGACGACGGAGGTGGATGAGACGGAGGAGACCACGACGTTCACGACGGAGACGTATGAGACGATTGAGGAGGTGCCAACCTTCAAGAAGACGCCCGAGACGACGGAGGTGGATGAGACGGAGGAGACCACGACGTTCACGACGGAGACGTATGAGACGATTGAGGAGGTGCCAACCTTCAAGAAGACGCCCGAGACGACGGAGGTGGATGAGACGGAGGAGACCACGACGTTCACGACGGAGACGTATGAGACGATTGAGGAGGTGCCAACCTTCAAGAAGACGCCCGAGACGACGGAGGTGGATGAGACGGAGGAGACCACGACGTTCACGACGGAGACGTATGAGACGATTGAGGAGGTGCCAACCTTCAAGAAGACGCCCGAGACGACGGAGGTGGATGAGACGGAGGAGACCACGACGTTCACGACGGAGACGTATGAGACGATTGAGGAGGTGCCAACCTTCAAGAAGACGCCCGAGACGACGGAGGTGGATGAGACGGAGGAGACCACGACGTTCACGACGGAGACGTATGAGACGATTGAGGAGGTGCCAACCTTCAAGAAGACGCCCGAGACGACGGAGGTGGATGAGACGGAGGAGACCACGACGTTCACGACGGAGACGTATGAGACGATTGAGGAGGTGCCAACCTTCAAGAAGACGCCCGAGACGACGGAGGTGGATGAGACGGAGGAGACCACGACGTTCACGACGGAGACGTATGAGACGATTGAGGAGGTGCCAACCTTCAAGAAGACGCCCGAGACGACGGAGGTGGATGAGACGGAGGAGACCACGACGTTCACGACGGAGACGTATGAGACGATTGAGGAGGTGCCAACCTTCAAGAAGACGCCCGAGACGACGGAGGTGGATGAGACGGAGGAGACCACGACGTTCACGACGGAGACGTATGAGACGATTGAGGAGGTGCCAACCTTCAAGAAGACGCCCGAGACGACGGAGGTGGATGAGACGGAGGAGACCACGACGTTCACGACGGAGACGTATGAGACGATTGAGGAGGTGCCAACCTTCAAGAAGACGCCCGAGACGACGGAGGTGGATGAGACGGAGGAGACCACGACGTTCACGACGGAGACGTATGAGACGATTGAGGAGGTGCCAACCTTCAAGAAGACGCCCGAGACGACGGAGGTGGATGAGACGGAGGAGACCACGACGTTCACGACGGAGACGTATGAGACGATTGAGGAGGTGCCAACCTTCAAGAAGACGCCCGAGACGACGGAGGTGGATGAGACGGAGGAGACCACGACGTTCACGACGGAGACGTATGAGACGATTGAGGAGGTGCCAACCTTCAAGAAGACGCCCGAGACGACGGAGGTGGATGAGACGGAGGAGACCACGACGTTCACGACGAAGAGACGTATGAGACGATTGAGGAGGTGCCAACCTTCAAGAAGACGCCCGAGACGACGGAGGTGGATGAGACGGAGGAGACCACGACGTTCACGACGGAGACGTATGAGACGATTGAGGAGGTGCCACAAAAAACAAGAGGGGGAGGAGACACGACGTTCACGACGGAGACGTATGAGACGATTGAGGAGGTGCCAACCTTCAAGAAGACGCCCGAGACGACGGAGGTGGATGAGACGGAGGAGACCACGACGTTCACGACGGAGACGTATGAGACGATTGAGGAGGTGCCAACCTTCAAGAAGACGCCCGAGACGACGGAGGTGGATGAGACGGAGGAGACCACGACGTTCACGACGGAGACGTATGAGACGATTGAGGAGGTGCCAACCTTCAAGAAGACGCCCGAGACGACGGAGGTGGATGAGACGGAGGAGACCACGACGTTCACGACGGAGACGTATGAGACGATTGAGGAGGTGCCAACCTTCAAGAAGAAGACGCCCGAGACGACGGAGGTGGATGAGACGGAGGAGACCACGACGTTCACGACGGAGACGTATGAGACGATTTGAGGAGGTGCCAACCTTCAAGAAGACGCCCGAGACGACGGAGGTGGATGAGACGGAGGAGACCACGACGTTCACGACGGAGACGTATGAGACGATTGAGGGAGGTGCCAACCTTCAAGAAGACGCCCGAGACGACGGAGGTGGATGAGACGGAGGAGACCACGACGTTCACGACGGAGACGTATGAGACGATTGAGGAGGTGCCAACCTTCAAAAAGACGCCCGAGACGACGGAGGTGGATGAGACGGAGGAGACCACGACGTTCACGACGGAGACGTATGAGACGATTGAGGAGGTGCCAACCTTCAAAAAGACGCCCGAGACGACGGAGGTGGATGAGACGGAGGAGACCACGACGTTCACGACGGAGACGTATGAGACGATTGAGGAGGTGCCAACCTTCAAGAAGAACGCCCGAGACGACGGAGGTGGATGAGACGGAGGAGACCACGACGACTTCACGACGGAGACGTATGAGACGATTGAGGAGGTGCCAACCTTCAAGAAGACGCCCGAGACGACGGAGGTGGATGAGACGGAGGAGACCACGACGTTCACGACGGAGACGTATGAGACGATTGAGGAGGTGCCAACCTTCAAGAAGACGCCCGAGACGACGGAGGTGGATGAGACGGAGGAGACCACGACGTTCACGACGGAGACGTATGAGACGATTGAGGGAGGTGCCAACCTTCAAGAAGACGCCCGAGACGACGGAGGGTGGATGAGACGGAGGAGACCACGACGTTCACGACGGAGACGTATGAGACGATTGAGGAGGTGCCAACCTTCAAGAAGACGCCCGAGACGACGGAGGTGGATGAGACGGAGGAGACCACGACGACGTTCACGACGGAGACGTATGAGACGATTGAGGAGGTGCCAACCTTCAAGAAAGACGCCCGAGACGACGGAGGTGGATGAGACGGAGGAGACCACGACGTTCACGACGGAGACGTATGAGACGATTGAGGAGGTGCCAACCTTCAAGAAGACGCCCGAGACGACGGAGGTGGATGAGACGGAGGAGACCACGACGTTCACGACGGAGACGTATGAGACGATTGAGGAGGTGCCAACCTTCAAGAAGACGCCCGAGACGACGGAGGTGGATGAGACGGAGGAGACCACGACGTTCACGACGGAGACGTATGAGACGATTGAGGAGGTGCCAACCTTCAAGAAGACGCCCGAGACGACGGAGGTGGATGAGACGGAGGAGACCACGACGTTCACGACGGAGACGTATGAGACGATTGAGGAGGTGCCAACCTTCAAAGAAGACGCCCGAGACGACGGAGGTGGATGAGACGGAGGAGACCACGACGTTCACGACGGAGACGTATGAGACGATTGAGGAGGTGCCAACCTTCAAGAAGACGCCCGAGACGACGGAGGTGGATGAGACGGAGGAGACCACGACGTTCACGACGGAGACGTATGAGACGATTGAGGAGGTGCCAACCTTCAAGAAAGACGCCCGAGACGACGGAGGTGGATGAGACGGAGGAGACCACGACGTTCACGACGGAGACGTATGAGACGATTGAGGAGGTGCCAACCTTCAAGAAGACGCCCGAGACGACGGAGGTGGATGAGACGGAGGAGACCACGACGTTCACGACGGAGACGTATGAGACGATTGAGGAGGTGCCAACCTTCAAGAAGACGCCCGAGACGACGGAGGTGGATGAGACGGAGGAGACCACGACGTTCACGACGGAGACGTATGAGACGATTGAGGAGGTGCCAACCTTCAAGAAGACGCCCGAGACGACGGAGGTGGATGAGACGGAGGAGACCACGACGTTCACGACGGAGACGTATGAGACGATTGAGGAGGTGCCAACCTTCAAGAAGACGCCCGAGACGACGGAGGGTGGATGAGACGGAGGAGACCACGACGTTCACGACGGAGACGTATGAGACGATTGAGGAGGTGCCAACCTTCAAGAAGACGCCCGAGACGACGGAGGTGGATGAGACGGAGGAGACCACGACGTTCACGACGGAGACGTATGAGACGATTGAGGAGGTGCCAACCTTCAAGAAGACGCCCGAGACGACGGAGGTGGATGAGACGGAGGAGACCACGACGTTCACGACGGAGACGTATGAGACGATTGAGGAGGTGCCAACCTTCAAGAAGACGCCCGAGACGACGGAGGTGGATGAGACGGAGGAGACCACAGACGTTCACGACGGAGACGTATGAGACGATTGAGGAGGTGCCAACCACCTTCAAGAAGACGCCCGAGACGACGGAGGTGGATGAGACGGAGGAGACCACGACGTTCACGACGGAGACGTATGAGACGATTGAGGAGGTGCCAACCTTCAAGAAGACGCCCGAGACGACGGAGGTGGATGAGACGGAGGAGACCACGACGTTCACGACGGAGACGTATGAGACGATTGAGGAGGTGCCAACCTTCAAGAAGACGCCCGAGACGACGGAGGTGGATGAGACGGAGGAGACCACGACGTTCACGACGGAGACGTATGAGACGATTGAGGAGGTGCCAACCTTCAAGAAGACGCCCGAGACGACGGAGGTGGATGAGACGGAGGAGACCACGACGTTCACGACGGAGACGTATGAGACGATTGAGGAGGTGCCAACCTTCAAGAAGACGCCCGAGACGACGGAGGTGGATGAGACGGAGGAGACCACGACGTTCACGACGGAGACGTATGAGACGATTGAGGAGGTGCCAACCTTCAAGAAGACGCCCGAGACGACGGAGGTGGATGAGACGGAGGAGACCACGACGTTCACGACGGAGACGTATGAGACGATTGAGGAGGTGCCAACCTTCAAGAAGACGCCCGAGACGACGGAGGTGGATGAGACGGAGGAGACCACGACGTTCACGACGGAGACGTATGAGACGATTGAGGAGGTGCCAACCTTCAAGAAGACGCCCGAGACGACGGAGGTGGATGAGACGGAGGAGACCACGACGTTCACGACGGAGACGTATGAGACGATTGAGGAGGTGCCAACCTTCAAGAAGACGCCCAAGACGACGGAGGTGGATGAGACGGAGGAGACCACGACGTTCACGACGGAGACGTATGAGACGATTGAGAGGGTGCCAACCTTCAAGAAGACGCCCGAGACGACGGAGGTGGATGAGACGGAGGAGACCACGACGTTCACGACGGAGACGTATGAGACGATTGAGGAGGTGCCAACCTTCAAGAAGACGCCCGAGACGACGGAGGTGGATGAGACGGAGGAGACCACGACGTTCACGACGGAGACGTATGAGACGATTGAGGAGGTGCCAACCTTCAAGAAGACGCCCGAGACGACGGAGGTGGATGAGACGGAGGAGACCACGACGTTCACGACGGAGACGTATGAGACGATTGAGGAGGTGCCAACCTTCAAGAAGACGCCCAAGACGACGGAGGTGGATGAGACGGAGGAGACCACGACGTTCACGACGGAGACGTATGAGACGATTGAGGAGGTGCCAACCTTCAAGAAGACGCCCGAGACGACGGAGGTGGATGAGACGGAGAGAGACCACGACGTTCACGACGGAGACGTATGAGACGATTGAGGAGGTGCCAACCTTCAAGAAGACGCCCGAGACGACGGAGGTGGATGAGACGGAGGAGACCACGACGTTCACGACGGAGACGTATGAGACGATTGAGGAGGTGCCAACCTTCAAGAAGACGCCCGAGACGACGGAGGTGGATGAGACGGAGGAGAGACCACGACGTTCACGACGGAGACGTATGAGACGATTGAGGAGGTGCCAACCTTCAAGAAGACGCCCGAGACGACGGAGGTGGATGAGACGGAGGAGACCACGACGTTCACGACGGAGACGTATGAGACGATTGAGGAGGTGCCAACCTTCAAGAAGACGCCCGAGACGACGGAGGTGGATGAGACGGAGGAGACCACGACGTTCACGACGGAGACGTATGAGACGATTGAGGAGGAGGTGCCAACCTTCAAGAAGACGCCCGAGACGACGGAGGTGGATGAGACGGAGGAGACCACGACGTTCACGACGGAGACGTATGAGACGATTGAGGAGGTGCCAACCTTCAAGAAGACGCCCGAGACGACGGAGGTGGATGAGACGGAGGAGACCACGACGTTCACGACGGAGACGTATGAGACGATTGAGGAGGTGCCAACCTTCAAGAAGACGCCCGAGACGACGGAGGTGGATGAGACGGAGGAGACCACGACGTTCACGACGGAGACGTATGAGACGATTGAGGAGGTGCCAACCTTCAAGAAGACGCCCGAGACGACGGAGGTGGATGAGACGGAGGAGACCACGACGTTCACGACGGAGACGTATGAGACGATTGAGGAGGTGCCAACCTTCAAGAAGACGCCCGAGACGACGGAGGTGGATGAGACGGAGGAGACCACGACGTTCACGACGGAGACGTATGAGACGATTGAGGAGGTGCCAACCTTCAAGAAGACGCCCGAGACGACGGAGGTGGATGAGACGGAGGAGACCACGACGTTCACGACGGAGACGTATGAGACGATTGAGGAGGTGCCAACCTTCAAGAAGACGCCCGAGACGACGGAGGTGGATGACACGGAGGAGACCACGACGTTCACGACGGAGACGTATGAGACGATTGAGGAGGTGCCAACCTTCAAGAAGACGCCCGAGACGACGGAGGTGGATGAGACGGAGGAGACAACGACGTTCACGACGGAGACGTATGAGACGTATGAGGAGGTGCCAACCTTCAAGAAGACGCCCGAGACGACGGAGGTGGATGAGACGGAGGAGACCACGACGTTCACGACGGAGACGTATGAGACGATTGAGGAGGTGCCAACCTTCAAGAAGACGCCCGAGACGACGGAGGTGGATGAGACGGAGGAGACCACGACGTTCACGACGGAGACGTATGAGACGTTTGAAGAGGTGCCAACCTTCAAGAAGACGCCCGAGACGACGGAGGTGGATGAGACGGAGGAGACCACGACGTTCACGGCGGAGACGTATGAGACGATTGAGGAGGTGCCAACCTTCAAGAAGACGCCCGAGACGACGGAGGTGGATGAGACGGAGGAGACCACGACGTTCACGACGGAGACGTATGAGACGATTGAGGAGGTGCCAACCTTCAAGAAGACGCCCGAGACGACGGAGGTGGATGACACGGAGGAGACCACGACGTTCACGACGGAGACGTATGAGACGATTGAGGAGGTGCCAACCTTCAAGAAGACGCCCAAGACGACGGAGGTGGATGAGACGGAGGAGACCACGACGTTCACGACGGAGACGTATGAGACGATTGAGGAGGTGCCAACCTTCAAGAAGACGCCCGAGACGACGGAGGTGGATGAGACGGAGGAGACAACGACGTTCACGACGGAGACGTATGAGACGATTGAGGAGGTGCCAACCTTCAAGAAGACGCCCGAGACGACGGAGGTGGATGAGACGGAGGAGACCACGACGTTCACGACGGAGACGTATGAGACGATTGAGGAGGTGCCAACCTTCAAGAAGACGCCCGAGACGACGGAGGTGGATGAGACGGAGGAGACCACGACGTTCACGACGGAGACGTATGAGACGATTGAGGAGGTGCCAACCTTCAAGAAGACGCCCAAGACGACGGAGGTGGATGAGACGGAGGAGACCACGACGTTCACGACGGAGACGTATGAGACGATTGAGGAGGTGCCAACCTTCAAAAAGACGCCCGAGACGACGGAGGTGGATGAGACGGAGGAGACCACGACGTTCACGACGGAGACGTATGAGACGATTGAGGAGGTGCCAACCTTCAAAAAGACGCCCGAGACGACGGAGGTGGATGAGACGGAGGAGACCACGACGTTCACGACGGAGACGTATGAGACGTATGAGGAGGTGCCAACCTTCAAGAAGACGCCCGAGACGACGGAGGTGGATGAGACGGAGGAGACCACGACGTTCACGACGGAGACGTATGAGACGATTGAGGAGGTGCCAACCTTCAAGAAGACGCCCGAGACGACGGAGGTGGATGAGACGGAGGAGACCACGACGTTCACGACGGAGACGTATGAGACGTTTGAAGAGGTGCCAACCTTCAAGAAGACGCCCGAGACGACGGAGGTGGATGAGACGGAGGAGACCACGACGTTCACGGCGGAGACGTATGAGACGATTGAGGAGGTGCCAACCTTCAAGAAGACACCCGAGACGACGGAGGTGGATGAGACGGAGGAGACCACGACGTTCACGGCGGAGACGTATGAGACGATTGAGGAGGTGCCAACCTTCAAGAAGACACCCGAGACGACGGAGGTGGATGAGACGGAGGAGACCACGACGTTCACGACGGAGACGTATGAGACGTTTGAAGAGGTGCCAACCTTCAAGAAGACGCCCGAGGCGACGGAGGTGGATGAGACGGAGGAGACCACGACGTTCACGACGGAGACGTATGAGACGTTTGAAGAGGTGCCAACCTTCAAGAAGACGCCCGAGACGACGGAGGTGGATGAGACGGAGGAGACCACGACGTTCACGGCGGAGACGTATGAGACGATTGAGGAGGTGCCAACCTTCAAGAAGACGCCCGAGACGACGGAGGTGGATGACACGGAGAAGACCACGACGTTCACGACGGAGACGTATGAGACGATTGAGGAGGTGCCAACCTTCAAGAAGACCCCCGAGACGACGGAGGTGGATGACACGGAGGAGACCACGACGTTCACGACGGAGACGTATGAGACGATTGAGGAGGTGCCAACCTTCAAGAAGACGCCCAAGACGACGGAGGTGGATGAGACGGAGGAGACCACGACGTTCACGACGGAGACGTATGAGACGATTGAGGAGGTGCCAACCTTCAAGAAGACGCCCAAGACGACGGAGGTGGATGAGACGGAGGAGACCACGACGTTCACGACGGAGACGTATGAGACGATTGAGGAGGTGCCAACCGTCAAGAAGACGCCCAAAACGACGGAGGTGGATGAGACGGAGGAGACCACGACGTTCACGACGGAGACGTATGAGACGATTGAGGAGGTGCCAACCTTCAAGAAGACGCCCGAGACGACGGAGGTGGATGAGACGGAGGAGACCACGACGTTCACGACGGAGACGTATGAGACGTATGAGGAGGTGCCAACCTTCAAGAAGACGCCCGAGACGACGGAGGTGGATGAGACGGAGGAGACCACGACGTTCACGACGGAGACGTATGAGACGTATGAGGAGGTGCCAACCTTCAAGAAGACGCCCGAGGCGACGGAGGTGGATGAGACGGAGGAGACCACGACGTTCACGACGGAGACGTATGAGACGATTGAGGAGGTGCCAACCTTCAAGAAGACGCCCGAGACGACGGAGGTGGATGAGACGGAGGAGACCACGACGTTCACGACGGAGACGTATGAGACGATTGAGGAGGTGCCAACCTTCAAGAAGACGCCCGAGACGACGGAGGTGGATGAGACGGAGGAGACAACGACGTTCACGACGGAGACGTATGAGACGATTGAGGAGGTGTTAACCTTCAAGAAGACGCCCGAGACGACGGAGGTGGATGAGACGGAGGAGACCACGACGTTCACGACGGAGACGTATGAGACGATTGAGGAGGTGCCAACCGTCAAAAAGACGCCCGAGACGACGGAGGTGGATGAGACGGAGGAGACCACGACGTTCACGACGGAGACGTATGAGACGATTGAGGAGGTGCCAACCTTCAAGAAGACGCCCGAGACGACGGAGGTGGATGAGACGGAGGAGACCACGACGTTCACGACGGAGACGTATGAGACGATTGAGGAGGTGCCAACCTTCAAGAAGACGCCCAAGACGACGGAGGTGGATGAGACGGAAGAGACCACGACGTTCACGACGGAGACGTATGAGACGATTGAGGAGGTGCCAACCTTCAAGAAGACGCCCGAGACGACGGAGGTGGATGAGACGGAGGAGACCACGACGTTCACGACGGAGACGTATGGGACGTATGAGGAGGTGCCAACCTTCAAGAATACGCCCGAGACGACGGAGGTGGATGAAACGGAGGAGACCACGACGTTCACGACGGAGACGTATGAGACGATTGAGGAGGTGCCAACCGTCAAGAAGACGCCCACGACGATCGAGGTGGAAACGACGACCGAAACGGAATCCCCGGACGGCACGACGAGCACTACAGTGGCGACGGAGACCTGCGAAGAGACGGAGACGGAGGAGAGCAGCCTCCCAATGACGCCCGCTACGGGTGGTACTGTTGTAAGTGTGACGGAGCAAGCTGACACTGTGCCAGGCAAGTCGGTGAAGACCGAGGTGTTCCGCTCGGAGAGACCGGACGGCAGCATCGTGACCAAGACGGTCCGCACGACGACTTGCACCACGAAGCCTGCGGACGGCGAGCTCGTGACGACGATCGAGGTGGAAACGACGACTGAAACGGAATCCCCGGACGGCACGACGAGCACTACAGTGGCGACGGAGACCTGCAAAGATGCGAATGTGAAAACAAAGATGCTACTATTGGAGAAGGTGACCTCGTCCGAGACGCCTGAAGTTCTTGAAGGAGAGAAGTCTGTGACGCTCACGACTTGTTCGGCGTTTGACGATGTGTCTTTAATTAATGAGGCGAATACGTTGGGGGAGATCGCGACAGAATCGCTGAGTCACAGAGGTACCGTCGATGCTGTCGTTGTTAGTAGCATGTCTTCTACCGGTGAATCGATAACTATCGGAAGGCCGCAAGCTTTTGGTGACTTCCAAACGGGCGCTATCCGCCAGAAAATGAAAAGGAAGAGCAAAGTGATGTCAGCCCAGGATACCGTTGGCTTGCCAGTAGAGACATTTGAGGAGACACAAAGTACGCATGTTGCTGCTGCTTGGGGGGAAGTCACCGGTAATCTGCACACGGAATATGACCACGTGAGTAAATGCACCCAGATACTTATGGTGCGCCACGGGCATTCGCTCCGATTGGCGTTCGATGACATATCGTGCGTTGGGCAAGTAGATGAACGAGCCAAGAAGTCAACTGTTGTGGTGAAACATGCTACAGGATTTGCGGAGTCAGGAGCGTTGACCGCGGTAGTTGGAGCCGGTCGAATCGGCAAATTTGCTCTTCTAAGTGCCTTAGCTGGAGAAGAGGATCCGACGGTAGGCTCGATATTCCACAACGGAATCGCAGCGAGTGCTGTAGTAAGACGCCGTGCTACAGGCTTCTGTTGGTTCGGTGATGGGCATTCCGACTGGTACGGAACGACTACAGTACGTGAAGCTCTGTGCTTCAGTGCCTATCTTCGTCGAGGTGACGATGTTCCCGACCTTCAGAAGCTCGAAACAATTGAGTCTTGTCTTGAGCTCTTGGGATTGTCAAAGATCGCTGAACAGTACGTCAGCTCGTGCTCTGTGGTGGAGGCCCGTCTCGTCGCAATTGGGGTGGAGCTTGCATTTGCTCCAAGCATACTCGTTTTGGATGAACCTACGAGCGACCTCGATACGATTAGTGCGCAGAGAATTATCCACGTGCTCAAGCAAGTCGCATGTACTGGTCGTACAGTCGTCTGCAGTATCGCCGACTCAGCATCTTCCGCTGAGCTTCGGGCATTCGATCGCCTCCTATTGCTATCGAGTGGTGGCGAGACAATTTACCATGGCGAAACTCGCTGTCTAGTGCCGTACCTCGAGGCTATTCCCGGTGTAAAGAAAATGGGCAGTAGTAAGTGCGTAACTGCATGGGCGCTTGAGAGTGTGGGCGAGAAGCCCCCGGTATCTCACATGGCAACAATGACGACGACCACCACAACAACCAGAGGAAGCAAGGGCCGCACAAACGCAAAGAAGAAACGGCATTCACGCGCTGAATCATCGTGGACTGGCTCCGAGATCGCAACCATCGAAGAAACCAAGTTTGTGCAGCTGTTCAAGCGCAGTGAGTTCAAACAGACGCTGTCAACGCAAATGCAGCAAGCAGGTTACTTGCAACCACACTCGAAAGAGTCGCAAGAATCTACAGTGATTGCAGCGTACAAGAGCGGAAAGCTGGGATTGCGGGCATCTTCGTTGCGCACGCAGATGGCTTTCCTTGTTCGACGCGTGGTTCGCTCTTACTGGCGCAGCTTGCGCTTGGATCGAACAGTGGCAAAGACGGCATCATCATCACTGCACCGTTTTGGAGTGATGGGAGTAGTGTTCCTGGGTTTTGCGTGGCTCTTACTCGCAACGAGGAGCACTGAGTATGATACGTTCGATGGCGTGCACCATGGGGTATCACTCATTGCATGGTCAACTCTGATGCTTGGAGCGAGTTTCACACTCGGTGCTGTCGCGAGGGCTTGTCACGATAATGCTTGGAGAGAGAATGCGTGCTGGCACCGTGAGCAGGCGTGGCAAGCGTACCCTGCGGTGGCTTACCACGTCTCTTCCAGCATTGTGGAACTCGTGTTCGTGCTCTTGATCACGTTTGTGGCTGCGGTGTTGACGTTCACCCTGTTCGGGTTTTGGTCGATCACGAGAAGTGGCACCTTCACACTTGCCTGGTTCACTCTCACAATCTTTGCTCTTGGACAGATGTACCTCGGTCAGTGGCTCGTACGGATAGCTCCAAATGGAGGCGTTGCTGCGGTGGCAGGTGTTGGCATCAATCTACTTCCGCTGTTGACGCTCTGGAGGGGCAGTGCTGTAAGCACGATAATGTCGCTGGTGGTATCAGTAACTCCGCAACACTCGGCACTTCAGGTACTACAAGCACTTGTCTTTGGTGCTACTGCTGACTCTTGCGTCTACGACAACAACGACGTTGATCAGTTTCCATGCTGCGAGCTGCGATTGATATCATCGGGTGAACGTCGCCGCTACAGGGGGAAACTCACGGTGCACACATACGTGGAGACCGAGTACGGTGCCCAACGCGATGGTGTGGCGGTTCACCTTGTCAAGCTGGCAATTTTCCTCGTTGTGCTTCGCTTCCTCGTGATTATGGCGTTGAAGAAGCGACAAGTGTGAGCATGATATGGTAGGCTGCAGTGACGCACATCAGAAGTCAAGGATGCTCAAGAGTCCAGCGGGTAGAATTGAGATGTGAATGTACAAGACAACAATGGCTGCCAATAAATCTAGACACCATGTCGTTCATTTTCTTTACGCTCTTTTTCTCGATACTTGCCCTGTACACATGTACTGAGTACCGCAAATGCCAAGAAGGAACGACAATGGATCTGCTCATGCAATTGTCGACCAAAAAAATGCCTTGCAGAAAGATCCACAGCAGTGTCCTGGCTTACAGCCATTTGACCATCAGTGATGCGTTCTCAAGCTTACCATCTTGAATGGACAATGTGTCGTTGTACGCCACGACGCTGGGTGGGAATGCAGTGCGCAGCTCAAATGCGCGTTCCCGAGCCTCCGGTACCTGATCCTTCACGAACGACCATACCATAGCAAGCGGATCGGTCTTGACAAAGCGCCGCGTTAAGCGGGAACCGTCGGGCACGCGGATTTGTACTCGAGTAGTGCCAGGTGCTCCGGCTTGATAAGCAAACAAGCGACATCAGACTGTCAGCAAAAGGGAAGGATTGTAGAGAACGGTCGACAAAGCTGTACCATCGGGTTCCGGTGTCAAGGTCACGACCGACTCTTGTGCAGTCTCCGTCCCGTATTTCTCCTCTTGGTCTATGACGTCTTCGACTTGCTCCATCTCATCTTCATCGCTGGCATCATTGTTGCCCTCCATCGAAGCAGCGATTGCTGCTGCCAGTTGATCGTCTTCAGATGCGTCCATGATGGTAGTATGAATCTCCTGCAATGACCCAAGCAAAAAGCTGTCGGTTAGTTTGGTTAGCTCGGCGACAGCCACGTCAGTCATACCTTCTTTTCTTCAGCCAACGATTCATCCCGCGTTTCCATACAGCAGAAATCAGACACTGCATGGACCAAGCTATATTAAAACAAAGCCAACAACGAACAGTTCGCAGTCAACACCGTACACTTTTCTATCATGTCCTGTGGCTTGAGAGAATCCGACAGCCGATGCCGAATTTCTCCTGTCCGCGGATCAATAATCACGACGATCGGAAGCGAGTTGCGGTCGATTTGGTAAAGGCTACAAAACTTTTTGCCATGCTCGGACGCCCAGTAATTCTATGCAATCGCAACAGTCACAACGTTGTAAGCACCGGCATCATTCCTACAAGTCTGTAAAAGCACTCGCGCGATGTACCTGCCAGAACACAAAGCCGCTTGCCACTAGATTTTGCACGACATCGTTACTCCACGTGTCTCGGTTGAGTATATGACTTGCGAATACAATCTCGTCTTGAATGTTCACCAAGAGCCACTTTCCCTCTTTTTTTGCGTGATTGCGAGCCTAGAGTCGCCATAACAGAGCAAAGACATTATGCACGGACATGCACAACCACAAAACACGATCAATGGGACACAGATACGTACATCAGCATAAGTCCCCTGGAACATTATCGCTGTCGGTGGCTGGAACAGCGTGCTCAGATCACGAACGCGCTCATTACCACCACCGTTGGAGCCATTCATTGCTTCATCAAACGCCACTGCACCGGACCCTCCAAAAGCCGTAGCAATACTACCGCCTGTGATTGCTGCGATGCTCTCTGCTGCAAAGTCGCGATGTTGGTCGCGCAGGTGGCGCAGTGGCCTCACTGCCATCACACGCAACAAGAACATATTAAAAAGGGCACCAGCCAACCATTGAAAACCAATGCACGCACCAAGGTCCATTTCTGTACCCACAAGACGCTGGCGCTTCGACGGGTCGGGCGCACGAATAGCGCTCTCACTGCAGCAGGAAATGAGAATATCAGAAAAGTGCAGTCAACTGACTCGTCAGTACATCAAACACCACACGCTATTCGCGCTCACGTACTCGGCCCCGTAGGCAGCTGCAATAGCGGCAGCTGTAGCTGCATCCATATCGGTAGTTGAAGCCATTGGCGACTCAAAAGTGGCGCTGGCACTTGCTGAATTTGGACGTGGCGCTGCAAATTCTGTGCTGGCGCTTTGGCCTCCGCTCTCCATGTACAGATTGACCTGCAAGCACCACACAAAACAACAAGAGCAAAGGTTTGTACGAGCGCATTTGATCAACACACAAACAAGAGAAACGTACGGCTTCGTCGAGCTTCCAGTTGGTGAGCTGTCAATTGAGTGGCAAAATTGACATTGTGACGATAAATTAGCCAATCAAAAGAGAGGAACGCAGAAATATGACAATAACCTCCAAATATTGCATCGCACTGCCGGAGTCGGCGCCAGTGATGTTCATGAATCTATGGACGAAAATGGAAGAGGAGTGGAGTTAAGTTGGATGTTACTACGAGCGTAGAGAGAAGGAAGGGAGGACGTACGAGGCCAGTGCGGTGGGGGCGTCCATCCTTGACTCAGAGTATCTGCAGGATTCGGCGGCGTTTTGTCTTGACGATGTGATCGTTTGATTGGCCAAAAAGACCATGAAATTGATCCACTTGATGTGATTTTCTGGCGAGTGGTCAATTTGTTTCGGAAACCGTAGGAAGCAAGTTTGAAGTTGCCACTCGGGATCAAATGAACGGTGCACTGTGCCATAAATAAGTTTTCAGCTATAATTGATACTGGCGAGAAGACCTTCATTGTCAACTCTTTTGTAGGAACACGCATTCTGCTTTATTACAGAGTCGATGCTAGTTAGCCAAACCGAATACTTTAATCGACATCTCTGGACAGCTCAGCTCACAACCATTTTTCCGCTGAACCTTAACGAAAAGAGAACGGATGAGTGAAGCGAAACGCCGTTTCGAGCCAACCATCGATGTCTTTATTTGACGCACATCATAGCCACGAGGCTTGTGTTTACACACACATGGAGTACTCCGAACAGGTTTTAGTTGTATTAGTCCTGTCTGGATTCTCAATACTAAAGTACTACGAGCCAGTATTCAGGGTCCAGTAGTTAACTTCCTACAACCAGAACAGTGGAGACACAGCTATGGACTTCATGGCGAGCGGAGCTTTTCCTTCTGTTTGTTACTTGGTCGCACGACTACGAACAGCTTGATGGGAGCATTCGTCTGCCGTTTTATCATCTGCTTTATTGAGAACTTGCGGTATCGTTCCTGAGCATGTCGTAGCCATAAATGTTCGTCCATCTCCTCAGGGTCAAACCCAAAGACTTTCTTCGGAATGTCATCTGGGTGATACTTCTTCTCCAGGAACCACCGCTTGAACTGCACCTTTTCGAGCTTCGCGCCAATTGAGCGTGTCTCCCGTGACTCATTCGCCAGTGCGAGGATCATAGCCGCCTGTTTCTCCTTGTGAACGCTCTCGAGAACGTCAAACATCGCAGCGTACGGATCCTGCGGGTTCAACATGGTGGCATGCTCAGTCCAGCGCTTGAATTCTCGACTCTTAAAGTACTCGACGACCAGCTTTTTCACAGAATATCCAGATTTGCGGTCCAACAGGGACTTCAGCCTCAGGACCTCGTAGGCGCCGCCGAGAGACTCTTCGGGTGCCGGGAAATTACTTTTCACGTCAAAGAATTCTTTGTAGCGTCTGTATATACTTTCTATTCGACGGTATCGAGGCAGATGCGGTTTTCGGATGTCAAGGATTCTCATCAGAATATAATCGGGCTCGTATCCCTGCGAGAACCACCACTCGAATTGCGCCATCTCCAGCTTCTTGCCAATCGAGCGTGTCTTCAATGAACCCTTCGCCAGTATGATGAGAGTAGCCACATTTTTCTCGTTGAAGGTAGCCTGCAGAACGTCAAACATTGCAGCGTAACAATCCTGCTTGTTTGTCCTAGCAGCATGTTTGGCCCAGCGCTCGAATTTGCGACTCGAGAAGAACTCGACCACCAAGTGTGTTCGGATGATTTCATCTCGGCTGATCGGCATGGACTTGAGCCCTAAGGTCTCGAAGGCTTCTTTCAATGACTCATCGATCCGAGGTAGTCCTTGTGGCTGCTCGAACCACGTTGGTACCAATCGTTCTGCGACCTTGACAAGACTGGACGCTTTCGCGAAAAAGCCTCGATCTTCTTGTTCTTGATCAGTGGAAGCGTTGGTCGACTGCTGTCCCATGGAACTGTTGTACTCCAGCTCCAGTGTTGTTTTTTCCTTAGATGCCTCGATTTCCAACGCAGGATCAGCACGTGCACGCAGCATGACGACAACGAGGAAGAGGGCAAAGAGGTAGAAGAATCTCATAACGGGATGGGTGGCGTTTCCTGTCGGATGTGCTGGTGGTAAGGCGCAAATCGGTCAATGAGCCGATACCACGGCGGGAAGAGGTATACATGCAGTTCTACAAGCTCGGACTTCATCCGCGACACTTTCCAAAAGACCAGTTCGGTAATCACTGGGTAGCTCTGATTTAGTGAAGCAGCTAATCGCCTCCTACATCTCCCTAAGGGAGCAGTTGCTGCAGTCGATAGAAGACCCTCATTTTTACTCAGGAATGGACGTTTTCACTACACACGTGTCACACGACGGTCCCGTTGAATAATTGGTAAGCTGGGCGCAGCACGATAGTGGCAGATTCTAGATTGCTATTATTGACACTTTCATTCGCGGCTTGGATTTTCACGAGGTAAAGCTGTCAATTCGTGAAGAGAGGAGCTGAGATTGGCGCATGTAAACAGGCTGTCGCGTATCTGGATCAGATCATTCGATGTCGCGCCAAGTTGTGGTGATAGTGGTGGTCAAATAGGTAAACAATCCATGCAAGTGAATTGTTCACCTTTTACGTACGAGATCTCTCGTAGGTCCTGAGCCAAGATATTAACTCCGGGAAATGTCGTGCCAAGTACCACGACGTTGCTCGTCTATCACGCCACGACGGACTTTCAACAATACGGCGCAAACAGATTTATTAGGTCGTTTCTATTGCTCATGCCGTATGCTTTCGAGTTCAAGGAGGGAAAAAGTAATAGTATCACTCACATGAGCTTTACCGCCACGGCATCTTGTCGTGTCAACAAATATACCCAACGCCATGATGTAACAGCTGTAAAGCATGCGGGACATGTGCATAAACGCTAAAAGAGCGAGTCTTTTTCCGTGGTAAGGTAGGGACTAGATCGCAGCCAGCGAAAAAACTATTATGCAGCCGGTGAGCAGCTCCAACACAAATCGCATAATGAAGCCTGAGTAGGCGTTTGATGCGCGACTGCCGACCACAGACGGTCGGTCATTACCACATGTGGCGAATGCGATCGAATGGTACATTCGGTCTGACCGCCAATCCCCGCTCACCTGCCACGTCTCCGATCATTAAGTCCATGCGGTCGTCTGTAGCTATTGTTAAATGTGAAATACACGTACTCAAATTTCCGCAGTCACGCTCGAGTCACATCCGGCCTCTTAATGAGGCATCCAGCGAGAACCCTCCCTTGCAGGAGCCAGAGTTGGAGGGGCTGTCTCGGGCATGCTTCACGCGCAGGAGTAGGCACGAAGAGGTTAGCAATCGTCGGCAACCCTATGCTACGCGTCACTACTTGGGTAAACACATACGTCAGATCACGGGATCATGGTCTATCGTGGACAGTTACCGAGACCGACAGAGTCCCCGTTGCCACGCATTGCTGCTTCGGTGGTCGCGCACTCCTAGTCTGATAAGGTGCGCAAGCGGCCATGGATGGCAAGATCATTCAGTCCGAGGCGTTCTCCGCGCCACTGTCATCGCTTTGGCGATCGTGGCCACACCAGAGACTTCCTCCGCGTGCAGTGACATGCTTCGGACGTGTGACGTCGCTTCGGCTTCGCGCACTTAAAGTCGGCTGACCACGCTTGCGGTCACCGATTCGATCGGGCGTCTCTCGAAGCGCTTTGTCATCTCTGCTGCATAGGGCACTGATGCACTGAGAGCACTTGAAAGGTAAGCTCGAACTTGGCTTGGATCGCATAGTCTTTGACCTTCGCTACCCTCGCTCATAGCTCCTCGCAGCACTCACGTCGTAGAACCGATTTTTAGGCTGCGCGACCTGGCACCTCAGTCGATTGTTGATCGCATTAATAGATGAACTTGACACTCTCTGTAAACGAAATAAACGCCAAGCGGTCGGGACGAAGTTGATCACTTTGTTGTAAACACTCTTCGATCTCTTACGGATCTAACTCCAATTGATGTTCTTCGTTTACATCGTTGAGTAGCAGAACATCCTTGATGGACACTTCGAAGATAGGTACTCCATCGTATCGTGAGACCACTCCGCCTAGCGGTAAAATGTCCGAGAGGTAGAGGAACACACGGATATGTATGGGAAGTGACGAAGATGTGGATGCACACACAAACAGAAAGGGCATGTGTGTTGCGAAAGGACTTTGTGATAGCAAATTGGAGACTAGAGGGTGCTGCGGGCTAGATTCGTTACTCTCTTTGTCCGATGCAGCTTGACTTCCACTGCTTCGTTTCGACACATAGTCATCAAGCGTTTGAAATTTGCCTGGAACTGATGGTAAGCGCTGCCCAAATCAGTGAATATCTGTGTCCGGCAGTCGCGCATAAATCACCTAGCTAGGCTCAATGGTGCGATTTGTGTTGTGGCTGCATCACCTGCTGCATAGTAATTTTGACTGGTTGCATCTAGCCCCTCACCCGTGGTAAGGCATCGTCGCGAGTCTGCACGTAAGGCATTTACCCACGTTTTGTATGGAAGATGATGAGGAATCATCAAATGTGTCTGAAATGCGATGGATGACGTCGGAAATGGACACACACGTTTCCACTTTCATGCGCTACCATGTTACAGTTCCTCGTAGACGCTGTTCTTTTGATACCCTTACACGATTGCTGCGAAATCGGCGTGTAGGAAGGTCATAGTGTAAGCTTATGATCAGTAGATCGGCGGATGAAATCAATGCTAAAGCTTGGCTGCTGAAATCTCGAACGAGACATACTGCGTCTATGGGTGAACGGCAAGCTATTTCTGAATGATACGCTGAAGTCGATGGTGGCAATGACCGGCACATCGTTGAGTGATGATTCTAGATCAGCCAACTAACGCAACGACGCACGCGGAATCGGGAAAGCTACCTACCAACAGCAGCATGACTTTTTTGAGAGAGCGTCATGGATCATCGAGCATTTAAGTGCAGTGTTCACGCAACAATATGCCGCGTAAGTATCGCAAATGCGGTACACGACCGCTTTCTCAATACTTTCGCATTCGTTGAAGTGGGGGTACTCGAAGGAGGCTTATTACATGCTGTCCTCGGTGACGCAGCTTTATCGATCAGCCGCGTGGCAAGTGCAAAAGAAGACACCCTCTGATGAAAAGGATGTAGCTAATTTTGCAATGCTTGTGTTATCTGCAATGCTCTATGGCACTGCGGTGGGGTGCGGTGCGTACAGATCTTGCTCCTTGTATTCCGAGCTTGCACTTGCAGGTCCTGCTTCGCTATTGGAATACATCCATTCTACGCACGAAGGCTGTGCCAACCCACGCCGCCCTTACACGTTTTGTGCACCAACTCAGTCATCACCCGCGACACGTGAGAGCTTTGCATCTAGCAGCATAAACAGGGTCTGAAGTACCTGACGGTGGTAAGGACGCCAAAGATGCCGTTGCCGTCACATAGAGACGGTACGTCCATCGTCTGGAATGGCGACTTCATTCCAGGCGATGGACGTACCGCCTCTATGACGCGAAATACTTTACGAGCCAGAGCAACGGAAGGCGTCTTGGGCAATTCAGCAACAGCGGATGTGCTCTGAGATAAAACAAACTCAGTCTGTGTAGAGACTGGGGCGGAGGCAACCGTGTCTACATGACCTCCAGAGGATGTGGACGTCTGAGAACTTCCAAGTCTTAGTTCGGGACACTGGCCCTTCGTATGAGTCCGGTGGTTGTACGGGGCTTGTCACCTGAGGTGACGGCTCTCTGGGTTGTCTGTGTTTTGTTTTCAATTTGACACACCCTCAGACGTGCTCCGTACATTTTCGTGTCCGCTCGTCGATACTCTCGCTTCTCTACAGCTCGAAGCTGCTCATGCCTGTTGTCCAAAATTCCGTGACGCTGCCTTCGATGGTGAGTTCCGCGTATAGGGACATGACGTTTAATTCCTGGTACTTACAAGCTCGTACATCATACAAACGCTGCTCTGTAAATGCCATAGTCGCGCCTTTGTTTTCGCGTATTCCTGCGACTCGTCAGGATGATCACAAAGTATGTTTCTCTTGACCACATCTCTCGGGCCGCAGTGGTTTTTCTACTTTGTCATCCCCGGCTGCTAGTTCGACGACGAAGTCGGATACTATTCTGTTTGTGTGTCGCATTGATTTGTAAGTAGATCCGTTGATGGCATTCCGACCCAGACAAGCACAAGTAAACTGGTACGTCCCTTCGATTGAGGATGCTAATAAGGAAGCGATCGTTGTGCAAACTTTGTCGGGTTGATAAACATGAATGCGACCACAAGACGAACCGATTACTATACTGACGAGATTCATGTGTCGCTGCTTAGGTCTCAGGCAGATTCCATGTTGAACGGACTTGTTCGATAGCCGTTCGAAGCTTCGAGGAGGGCGAGGGTGATCCATGCCTTCACTGACTGTAAAGATACTAAGGCGTGACCGGGTTAATGGCGTGTGTGTTTTTTGGTATGGGCTTTACTATGTCGTAGCGACTCTTGCGAAGACACACCCGCATACACTAGGACCTAAGGTGACCGTGCAACTTACACAAATTAATTACAAATGCAAACTCTGGTATAATGTTACGTACAGGATGTGGCTTGGTGCACCACCTTCTTTTGTTCAGCAAGTCATTGTCAACTAGATTGAATGCAAGATAAACCAAGCAATAGGCTGTCCTGAAGATGGTTGCGATGAACGTACCTATGTGCTCCTCAGACATGTGTCAACGATTACGCAGTCCTCAAAGTATGTAAAATGACACCGAACTTCTAATACGCGTCGGGCTTGTGTAATGTGGCCGACCACCACCAATGATACATGCGAGGTTTTAATCGAGGAGAATCAGTGTAGCGGAGTCTGGCACGAGCTAAAGAATGTGAGCGCCGTCGTGTCCAGAATGAATTGCCACATCTTGGAACGGCTTGTCCGACACATTCTGTCTACTTTTTGCTGTAAGTCAAGCGCGTCACAATAAAATACAAGGTGAAGCTTTGGAAGAAATACCATCTAAAGCTGTGTGCTACTTGCGCTAAACACATAGCAGTTTATCCTAGAATCAAACAGTGTCCATGGATACTAAAAACGCACCTTGACTGCTTTCAATGCCATCATCCCTGCGATCGCTCCCCCCGCACAATCAGAATACAGAATAGTCAGCTTCTGCTCGTCTTCATGCAGATACGTTCACTAGAAGTGATCGTATCCTTGGTCCACAAGAATGAACAACCCCAGAAGGCCGTCGCACGATCATCTTTAGGTATAGAAGTCAAATCCATCGATCACATACGACCTAGTAGATCTATCACTACACAACAGCGTCAACTCTTCTGGCGATGGCGTACGGAACCTCTTCTCCTTCCTATCAAAGCACAGATCGGATCGATGCAATAGAAACGCACAAACGTCAAATACTTGGATGCACTGCATTCCCAATCACCAGGTACTACATACACCGCTTAACAGACGTCAACAGGGCCTCTTTTGCCTCCCTCGCTCCTACCTGACTACCTTCTACTTCAAACGAGGGAGGACTGGACGCCACTCGACCAAACAGTCTGCTTTGCAATCACTTGTGCTGCTCGAGTTCCAGTCGAGCCAAATGCAAGGAACTCACAAGGCCAATAGCCGAGTGGAACGATGCTCGAATGTACTTGTCCACGGGCGGCTGTTGGCCGTACTGGTTGACCCGCGCGACGAACTTTTCCCGGATCAAGTGGAACAACTTCTCTCGACGAGCAATGCCCCCACCAATAACAATCACGTCCGGAGACGTAAGGAACGTCACATTGAGACACAAATTGGCCAAGTAATGAGCGATTGTGTCCCATACGGGATCGTCGTCCGTGATCGAGGCCAGATCGCGCCGGTCGACGCCCGTGCGCGCTGCAATGGAGCCCGAGGCCACCATGCCTTCGACACAGTTGCCGTGGAAGGGACACACGCCTTTGAAGTCCGTCTCAATGTCTTGTGGAGCAGGAGGTACAATGATGTGACCCCCTTCAGGGTGCATGAAGCCGTGGATGGCGTTGCCATTCGTGCACACGCCGACACCGACGCCAGTGCCCACTGTGATGTACACGGCGCTGCTAATGTCTCCGTGGCCGCCGTACGCGACTTCGTAAAGTGCGGGAGCGTTCACGTCCGTGTCAAAGCCAATAGGGACACCAGGGAACGCGCGCTCGAACGCGCCGACAACTTCCGTGTTCCCCCAATTGGGCTTGGGCGTACTCGTAATGTAGCCGTACGTCGGGGACTTTTTGTTCAGGTCCACAGGTCCGAACGACGCAATCCCAATCGCGTCGAACGTGCGCTCCTTGAGCCAATCGATGATGGCGCCCATAGTCGCATCAGGTGTCGTCGTGTCGACCTCGAACTTCTCCAGGATGTTCTCCGGATGATCTTCAGCAATGGCCGCTACCCACGTCGTGCCGCCAACTTCGACGCCTGCGTATCGAGTCATTTGGTTATTGGATTGAGCGATGGAGATTGAGAGAGAGAGAGCCGGCGACTTGTTGGGTCTGTGGAAAATTTCAAAGTGAGCGAGTCAAGGGCTCGTGAGGATAGTGGAGCTCGTGGGGCTGCTTGGTCCGGTTGGTATTGGGGATGGTATCTACGGTTAGAAAGACGCGAGTGCAAGTCATCCCTCCTCGGTCCCTGCTTGGGACAACATCAACCAGCTGGTATACTCAGTGAGCTCTTCGTGCGGCTAAGATGGGAGTGTCAGCTGAAGGTAGCAAGGACATGCCGGGACAACAGGGCGACTGCAACTAGGCTGCTTCCACGTCTGCGATCTACAATAGAGCGACTGCAACTCCGATCGCTCGCGATGATACGGTACGCAGCTTTTTTGAAGTTCCGGCCTCGAGGGCTGGCTTGACTGGTTCGCAGACCCCTTGAAGTTCACGCAGTTCGAAACTCCCGTCGCGCGAGTGGATCAGGTTGCACCAGCTAGAGAGATCTCCTTCTGTATCGAGCGAGACAGAGTCGAGGTGCGTACACTACGTCACGCTTTGATTCGATGCACTTACGAGCTGACACTCTCGAGTTCGGTACGAAGGACATCCACGATCCGATGTGACAAATGCGTGAACACGTCCTCGATCGGGCTATAGCTACTAGCTCTATCAATGCTTGCTACGCCTCTCTATCGCTTGATGCAGAGCTAGCAAAAGGAAGACATGGTGCAATCTATTGGCTGTCCCTGCAGTATACGCGTCAGCGTTTCATCATGTCCATCCATATCGGGTATTGCCTGGATGCGCATGCTTGTCACTTTTGCACGGTCTTTTCCTATTGAAGTTACGACCGGTTCAGGAGTGCATCGAAACGCCGCCAGTGCGCGCGAGGATCCTTCGAAACTCACGGTACAAAAAACAGACTGATCCAGTCAGATGGACGATATCTAACAACCTGAACAACAGAATGACTGAGCTGTACCGTAACTCGGGAGGTCAGCACGCCCACCAAGAAAACATGGCGTATACGTATACTGAAGGACATACCCCCGACGATCAGCTCGGGGGCTGGAATGATACGTACTTTCGATACATAGTGCAGTAGAAAAAGTCCGATCACTTGATGGTTGGCTGGCTGTACTTGCGAATGGATCGTCATCCGTCTGCTCTTGTCCACGTTCTGGTTGTACTTGTGAATGACAACGAATTGCATTCCAACGACAGCTCGTGGATGCTCACAGCACATGCATCGTCACCTCTATAGCAAGTATACCATGTTGCTCTTCAGAACAGCTCGCACGATAGAGGAACCAATTGATCGCAGCCCAGTGCTCTCCAAGCCCGATCCTTTAGTAACTCTAACTCAGTCTTGTCGGCTCTATGCAGCAACAATCCACCACTTGCAGTTGAAGCTGCACCAAAAGCTCCACGACTGCAGATGTTCTGCATCTCCTCATTGAAGTTCGTAATAGAGTCGGATCAGCTTCAGCAGACAAGGCCGGGACATGTTCAGGTGGAGACTCATGGCAACGAGGCACTTCTACCCTCTGTTGCATATCCAAGAGACGCAATGAGTCCATCATCGATTCGAAGGCAAAGCACGGACATCGGTCTCCTTACCTGATGTGCAGCAGCAAATTTACGCCTTTCACTGGTTTCAAAAGTGCAGTCTCAACGGCTCAAGGGTGTGCAAAATCTGCTCTTGCCTCCGGTAATGTACCGGTCGGTATTCCTTGTACTCCCAGCGGCATTAGTGCTTCGCTCATCATAGAAAAAAGACTGTCGACGACGATGCAGCAAGGGCATCGTCGGGTACTCTACAGGTAGAAAAGAACTCAGTTTGAACTCGCATCGGGTTCTCCGCACCCCTCGTTGCACCATAGCACTTTCGGCAAGTAGGACTTCCAGCCCACTCCATTATCACATACCCAACTACAACGGGCGGATCGACATGTGATCCTGCGACTCGTAGTCGCCAGTTGCATTGGTAGCAACACGCAGCTCAAAGCTTCAGCAATCGCAGCACTTCCTTGTCAAAGCACGACTTGAGCAGCGTGTCGCCGTTAATGATCTTTGTCGTCGCCACAATAATGTCGTACGGGCCTGTTCATCCAAATCACATGTAAGCATAGTCGACATCGATGAACCATAGCGTACCATGGCACAATCTTGGCACGGCCAACAACGTACAGTCAGGTTGGCGGGAGACATGGCGCAACGCAGCGATCTCCATAAAGGTCACACCGCCGAGGTAATACACCAGCAGGACCTTGCGTTCTTCACTGCCAAAGTTATCCAGCTTGGAAGCGGCAGTAGAAGCCACAGGATCATCACGTGGAATCTTGCTCGTCGTCTGTGAGACTTCCCCCGAGGGCCCGGGCAGCTGCCGCAGACCTTCCTGCACAGCACTCCACCCACGCGGCTTGATTGCGCTTTCAACGATACGAACTGAGAGCGGCGCGTACCCAGCCGCGTGACTTCGACTAACATAGGCACAGTCGCGCGGGTTGCGTGGGTCCACGTCCTCGTTAAGCAGGCGGAACGATTTGCACGCGAGACCGAACCCGCTCGCATCGTTCCATAGCGTATCCCGCTTACTCAGTAGTCCTGCTTTTTCCAAATTGCTCAGTGCCAGCATCATCTCAAAGCCATACGTCTGCACAAGCTCTCGACTGAGATGCGTGTAGTTTTTGGTCTTGATGCCGCCTGCAGCCACAGACTGAAGACACAACTGGCGCAAGACACCAAGTACTGGCTCTTGGAACCCAATGCGCTCTTCCAGCTGCTCGAAGATCGTCTCGCCAGTGAGCACTAGATTTTCCGCATCTTTAAGATCACGAAAACTCTTCGAGTCCGTGGTCTTTTTGATCAGCTCGGCCAAGTTAATGTGTTGCTGCAGCGACTGGTAGCTTTGCTTGAGCCCTGGAATGCGCTTGACAAATTCCCGAATCTCGCTGATCGAAGCGTCTCGATTCTTACGAAACTCGTCGTATCGCTCGCGAATCTCACGTGCCTGTTGCTGGAGGTTCATGCCAAGCCTTTCGACATGGTAGTCCCGCACTTCCGCGTACAACTTGTCGTTCGAGTTGAGCGGCACCGACACTTGTGCCGGTCGAGTACCATTACTCGAACTCGGTCCTTCTTCATCAGCAATGAGCTCGGCCTCGACTGTAATAAAGCCGTGCGTGATCCCCAGCGTCTCATCCAGCAGTCCTTCATACGTCATTGGACTGCACATGGGCGTCACAAGATCAACATTGCGGTCAAGCAGCACAAGTGTATCAATCTCTGGATCCAGCACGCCAATGGGGTTCCCCGCCACCTCCTGTTCGCGACGAAAGTGCGCCATCATCTGGTAAATCACTTTGGCCATCGTGCCTTTGTACTTCACATGCGGGATCATGCCAAACACCGTCTGCAGCTTGATCAGCGAAGCCGCGACAGTGTGCAAATTCGTTTTATCGCCATCCACGTAAAACTCGCGGAAACACGCGTCGAGCTCGAGCGTCAAGACGTCGTCATCAAATGGAATAAGGTCGAGTTTGTACTCGCCGACGCTCACGCTGCCGAAAACGCCTTCTTTCTTGAGCACTTCGTCACACACGAGGGTACGGCGACTGACGTAGTAGAGAAAAAAGCGCTTTTTCAAGGCCTTGTCCCCGCCGAGGTCCCGAATGTACTTGGCCACGTACCGCGTCGCTCGAACCGAAGGCCGCACAAGAAAAAGGACGAGCTCACACGTCGTCTGGACCGTCTTCCCGAACGCGTGAAAGTCCTTCACGCCGTGGTCCTTCAGCACGGCCGTGCCATCGACAAGCACGTGGTTCAGCGGCCCGTTCAGCTCAGGGTCCAAGACAAAGCAAATGTCTTTCCCAATGGCGTCCAGGATGGAAAAGAGCTCGCGGCGCGAGTCTTCACGGAGCACAGCGAGGTTCAACACGCCGTTCTCGAGGGTACACGCTTTGGACATGATGCGTGAATGGAGCGAGGGCGGGCTTGAAACGGGCGGGGTCGATATCGGGCCTCTCTTAGTTGATATCGATACCTCCGAGCATCTGGCATTTGATTGGGAGGGGGGATACATTTGTGTGCGAGAGGTAGCTTAAAATAGGAGAACATTGCTGGACTCGGAATTTAGGAAGCGTACTTGAATGTGTGCTGCACCTTAAATTAGAACGAATGATCGAACGGGTCGTCCGTGGGGTTTTGACATGCTTGGGACAAAAACGAGCGGACAGCGCTGTCGAGCGTTATGTGCGACACGACTGGTACGCACCCCAACTGTTGGTGTGGATCCGGACACGGACAAGCATGCCATCTTGACACGCGAGTTTATCTACGCTTCACTATACGCGAAAGCGTCGGGCTACTTTACGACAAAGGACCGGCACGTCGTGCACGTGCCTGCTCGAGGGATTGACTTCAACAACTTATGGGGCGCCGGGGAGTACCGGAAAGCCGTTGCGGAGCTCTATCAAGACAGCAACGAAGCGTGGTTGACGCCTGTCGAGGTGTTTGCCCCCCACTATTCCGAGGCACTGGCCCGGTATATACTGACCTCGCCGTTTTTCCGAAAACACAAGCTCGATATTTATGAAATTGGGGGCGGCTCTGGGTCCAATGCGCTGCATATTCTGAATTATCTGGAAAAAGAGGTGCCGGAAGTGTATACCAAGACCAAGTATACGCTGATTGAAATCAGTCCCGTGCTGGCGGAACAACAGCGCAAGCGGGTAGCTGCCGTGCATCCCCAGCAGTGCACGGTATTGAACCAGGACATCTTGACATTTGCAGATGGGTACAAGGCCGTGACGACGCCGTGTTTCTTTATAGCGTTAGAAGTGCTGGACAATCTACCGCACGATAAGGTGACGCTGTATAATAACAAGTGGTACGAGACCATTATTGTCCAGAACTCGAGCAACGTTGATGCAGTACTGGCACATCACTCGGGGCTAGAAGAAGCGAAACGGCCTGTTCAAGACCTGCTGATTCGTGAGACACTCCGCCACTTTGGCTGTGATTTGCCGCTACGTGTAACGTACAAGCACAATGGCCGTCTGGCGCAGCGTATACGGTGTATACTTGGAAATCACGAGCCGGAGTTGACCTCAGCGTTCATCCCTACAGGCGCTATGCAGCTGCTGAATACGCTGCGGACGGCGTTCCCTAAGCATCACTTGATTGCTGCGGATTTTGACTCGCTGCCAGCACCAGATTTAGGAAGCGAGTCGCCGATCAAGGCGATTAATCACAAATTGAGCTCCACTGCGACGTCGTCTGGAACGCTCTTTGCGGGCAATGCACCACTTGTTGCATCCAAGGTGACAGGTACGAGAACAGCTTGGTATACTTGGAGCTTGTTGGATGGAACGAAGTAACGGACTGTCGTTGGTGCAGGTGTGACGAAGGACCACGACACGTATCTGGTGAAAGGTGGAATCGCGGACATTTTCTTTGCCACGGACTTTGCAAGATTCAAGAAAGCATACTGCTCCTCGCTCCAACGTCATCCCGATGAGGTGACCTTGGTCTTGTGATTGGATCTCGTCAATTCATGCAGCTGATAACCTATCGCTTGGTGCATACAGGTGTCAATCACGAAATCGTCTGCATTTCTGAAGGAGTTTGCCGACACGCAGAAAACTAATACGATTACCCGGTGCGTAACTGCAAGTTGTAAGCCATCGTTGCAAAAAGCTGACAACCTGTTTGGCTTTGTGGCATGTAGGTACAACCCACTGCTAGAAGACTACTCCAACACAAGCTTCATCTTGTCGTGATGAATGCTTGCAAAGTCTATACGATGTGATTTTCTTGTAAGAAAAACTTGCTTCGCATTTGGCCTAGAGTTTGTGAATATGTCTTCGTATGAAGACCGTCTCAAGCACGGTATGCTACTCATCACTGTTTGCCAGTACGTCGTCGTACGAGCTTGGCATAAAGCTCTGGCCCAATCTTCTTTTGCTTGACGGCATCTTGAGCTTGCTGATGGCACCTGGGACACATCACGTACGTCGCTGTAGCAATGTCTCTTGTAGCGTGGCCAAGTCTTCGTACGTCTTTTGGCAAGTGAGCCTTCGTAGCAGACAGAATGGAGTTTTAGTGCGTTTAGCTTCAACGTCAACAGCAGCAACTAACGGAGTAGAGCGTGACGACCTACCTCGCAATACGATGTCACGCAGAAACGACAAGCGTACGGAGCAATGTCACCGCAATCCTGACAGCGATGGCGCGGGCACACCCACGTCTTGCCCTCTGGCACCCTGTAGCCCAAGCAGTCTTCAATTGCAAGACAACAGCAAAAAAACAAGGGTCAGTCGAAGCGCTTTCTTCTACCACGTTGTCCCTGAAGCCCTCACCTTCATGGTAGACTTTCGGGCATCGCGCCAACGCGCCATTCAGCCCTTTCCAATCGCACTCGATCACGTTTCCGCCATCCTTGCAGCAAAAGCACACATCTTCCGACTCGTCAAACTCGTCGTGGATCTCACGCTTCAGAATGAACTTGAAATACGTCACAGCATAGTCGATTGGCTTCATGCTCGACCCCGGGTGGCTTGGTCTCATCAAGTCTAGCCGATCCTTATCTGCTGTGCTGTCTCCTTCAACCTCACTGCATCGCTTCCGCTTCTTCTGCTTTGCTGCTGCCTTGGATCCCGCCCCTTTTCCGTCTTTACCAGCAAGTAGGTTGGTCGTATCGGTAGTGCAGTGCGGACACAGCCACTTCTTCGTCTGCCACACAGTAGCTGCCTGCGCCTTACCAATCAACTTGTCGATACAAAGGACGCAGTACACGCGTGTGCAAATGGTATGTGCACATGCTTTCGTCGCCTTGGCCGACAACTTGTCAGTCGGCTGGGCACAGAGTCCACAGAAATTGTCCTCTCGACTCTTCTTTCCTACTGCCTGCGTCGCCAACCGCAGCTGCAATACCCTCTGCAAACACACTTTGCAGATGTGCACGACTTCCCCCTTACCATCCTGTTCAGCAGCTCAAGTCACGTCAAGTCAAGTCAAGTCAACCCCTTGCTGCACAAGAGCCTCTTCCGATCCAGCAAATGCACTCACCTTCAGCACGAACGGATGCTTGGGAAACTCCGGTGCATCCAGCGACCTCGGCACGCGACACAACACGCAGCGCATTGTACGGGGCAGCGGCACCGCCACCACCTTTGTCTTCTTCTTTTCCAGCCTCCTCCTCTTCACCTCGTCCTCCTGCTCCCTCCTCTTCACCTCGTCCTTCTCCTCTTCTTCTCTTCGCTTCACCCGACGCTGCTGGGCTCGCTTCACAGCTGCTTGAAGACGCCTCGCTTCCTCTCGTCTCCACTTCTTGTCCTCGAACGCGATGGCCATCTCCAGCACCACAGAGCTTTGCAACAGCGCGTACTGCTGCACCCGTTTGAGTGCTGCCAACGTGCTTAGAAACAGCTCGTAGTCAAACGCCGAGCCAAAGTGGAAGCAATAGCAGCACCGCGTATCTGGCTTCGCACCAGCTGCTTGGACGTTCCCTTCCGAGCCCGTAACACCGGTCCATAGTATCGACTGTTCGCCAGCTTGAGGCGCGACTGTCGCCAATCGTGCGACCTGGACAAGGTCACGGCTCGAGGTGTCACTGACCTCGAGCTTTTGCTGGCTCCACTTGTTCAGGAACGACTTGGCCAGTGGCGATGCAGGAGGTGGGGGGAGTGTCAGCTCGGCTTTGGGGACGACGACTTGAAACTTGCTGTCGTGGCTCGTGGCTTCGTTGAGCTTGAGTAGGACCCCACGGAACGTCATTGAAGTCGCTGCGAGATGGCAGGAGAAGGAGTGACGCGAACAGGTGCGAAGACGACGGACAAAGCGTGGGGCACAGGGGACTGACGGAAGGAAGGAAGGAAGGAGGATATGGATGAATGAATGAATGGATGGATGGAAAGAGTCGGGTTTGCTCGGGATTGACTGCTGACATGGTCTTCCGGTTACTCGACTGATGGAGCTGTGACCCCCTTTGGTTCCTCGTTTTTTGCCACTGCTTGAGCTGGTGCTTGTTTTGCCACGATGGCAAGAGTACAGCAGTGCGGGAGCGTGGAAACCAGTAGAGCTTGACGCGGATCATGCAGAGCTTCGAGCAGACTGGGACGTATCAACTGCTGCTCTGCATGCTGTTTGCCACGCATATCACCCGAGAACCCACGTCTGTGCATCCAGGCAAACGGACACTATGACCAACACGCTATTGAGTGCTGCTGCTTCAACCTCCAGCAACCCCATCGTTACGGGGTAAGGCCGTCCGTCGCTAGGTCCATCGGCATGGTATGCGCTACTCCCGCTTTCATCTCGGCTGTCGACGCTCGCACACGCTCAAACGACAGAACCTTCATGTCTTCGCTATTGCCATGGCTACTCCTCTCTGTGTGCATCATTTCAAACGTTGCTACTAGCGGCCGGTGGTCCGACACGAGCCGCCAGTAGTCCACAAGCTGCTCTTCGTCTCTTAGCAGCTCCGGAGACTGCACATGTTGCCAGTCGTGGCCAAACTGCGGCCGCTTTAGCCGTACCACATCCGGTAGTCGCCTTGGCACGAGATGACAATCCACGGGCTGCAGCTGCAGTCTCACCTCATCTCTTTCACGCTCGTCATCGTCACTCAGCGTCAGTGCTGCCTGCCGCAGCAACGCTGATGTAGCACCAGTGCCACTACCTTCTCCATTCATCGGTATCCCCGCAGCAGCTGCGATTCCCGCTGAAGGACTCTGGAGTCTCGCGCCAAAGATAAAGTCGACCCCGACTTCCCTGTTATTGTGATTACAGTGCGTGATCCTAGCTTCTCGCCCGTGTCGATGAGCAAACATGCTCACGAATCCGTGCTTCGTCACGAGTCGATACACTGGATCATCATAGTCATTAAAGTCGCCGCAAAGAAGCACCGGCACATCATGGAGCTCCTCCCGGGCAACGTACTTGCGCACTGCAGCAAGCACGCGGTCAATCTGATTGAGCCGGAGACTCGCGTACACGTGACTGTGCGGGAACGTCAGGTGGGAGTTCACCACAATAAACGAGCGCTGCGGGAGTCCCACGCTCGCGCGGTTCCACTTGGTCGCCACGTGCATGAGCAGCGCCACGCGGTCTCCGGCTTCGCCCACCAGGTCCACGTTTTCCACATAGTGGAGCTCAAACTTGCGCTTGTCCACAAACACAGCGAGTCCGTCCTCCTTGTCATTCGGCCGCTTGGCCGTGTGAAGGTAATGCGTCGCCTGGAACGCGCCCCGGAACGCGCGCTGGTACTCGCGATTGAACCAGAACTCCTGGAGACACACGACGTCGCACTGTTCGCGCTGGATCGCGCGGATCGCGGCCTGCGCGCGGGATAGAAAAGCCGTCTGGTCGTCGCTCTCGAGGCGTCCGCCGTGGCGGAAGTAACAGGGCGCCAGTAGATTGAACGTCATGAGCGACAGCGAGCGCTGCTGCCGACGGAGCGTCTCGAGGAGCATGACGATTGGAAAGTGTCGTCGACGGGAAGAGGAAGGACATGATGGGGAAAAAGAGGGGACTTTTAGCCAATGAGAGACTTGGGAGGTGCTACACGCGCTGTTGTGATTGGTGTGTGCTTGTGTGTGTGTGTTTTTGTGTTCCGGTGGATTAGTAGGGGAATGATTAGACTGACGAGAGGGGTGGAATGTTACGGCTGGGGGTGATTTGGACTGGCATAACGCAATGTGAAGCGTGGCGCGTAGTGACTGACTGTGTGTTACTCACGCAGTTTTTCTTTATTTATTAAATGAGAAGATCCCACGTTTCTGTCTCGTTAAAACGAGCGAATTGGCCTGGAGCTCTCCTCTGAGCAGCAAGCGCGTTCAGTATCAGCAATAACATCGTTGGACCGCTGAGGGGGACACGTTACGTGTCAAGACAGCTACCGGCAATCGAAAATGCGTGGGCCTCCCTCTCGACCCACTTTTTGCCACTTGCAACCGCGCGGTGCGTATAATCACTGTGGCGATTTTCGAACAACGACGTGGGGCATCAACTCGTCCTGGTATTCAAGATGGTAGAGGTACAATCAGCCGACGCCACGGCAATTTCACAACGTGCGACTGTCTTGAAGCTCTTGATCTTATCCATGGGCGACTAAGAATGACCTCACGGAGCTGCTGAATTTATAGCAACACGTCTGCTCTCACTGAGCTTAGTTGCCAGCAGCAGCGACAATCGAACAGACCCCCGTCCCCCTCGAACATGATCTGATTGTACTACCCTTCAGTCGCGCTTGACTTGTCAAGTGTTTCACTACTACAGTACGACCGACCGATTGATTGATGTCACGTGAACACCGCAAGGGCGAACGTCTCTTGCGTCCTTGCTACGTGAGACTTGCAAGACGACGTGACGAGAACAACGTTCTGCGCGCCTTCTTCTTCGAGCGTTTCAGTCGAAACTAGGCCTTGCGACATTGCAAACAGTACGAAATCGACGCGTTGTTGTGAAGCCAAGGGGGCGGACTACAACGTGCGTACGTCGAGCGTTTTCGGAATGAGCGGGGCGATATCGCAACGAGGAAGCGACTAACATCATTGACGCATCGATGGCGCTTAAGTCGGTCACTATGGCCCATCAGGTTTCGTACGTCACGACCGAGAAGGACAGTGCATAGCGGCGGAAGGGGCCAGTTGAGACGTGGCAAGCCATTTCGCACGCGGTGTGCGAGCTCCGATCCAGCCAACGTTTGGACGACGTCCAATATCGCGTAACTGTCGCGAGATGCGGTAGTTGTAATAAGTCGCAGCCTGAGCTCCTCGGGCCCGTCTGTCGTCTGCACGGGCGCGAATGAAACCTTCGCAATCGGCGGACCGTTGCCACACGGTAAGCTTAGTCGGACCGACCACACAAAGCATAGAAACATCAAGTCAATACCTGCACCGGCTTTTCACACTTGAGCTTTGAAGACGGAGAGCCGGAGAACATGCGCACATGTAATCAGTCCGACCTGGCTTCAAGCGTTTAGGTAAAGAACACGGTCAATTACTTGGCTCCGTCCCTCAGCCTTTCGAGCTGTTTGCGGACGGCTCTGCCTTCACGAAGTAGTGTACGTCTGTCGAATCAAGCCATCTAGAACGCGATCCGTCCACAGCTCACAGCCAAGGAAAAACGGGTGAATGGGTGACAAGGACTGACGCCGCCTTGTTGACATCTGTGCTCGATGCTCGACTTTGCAACGATTGGACCTGCGCTGTCGTGATCACGTCTCGGGCAGAGGTGGTACTGCAATGCAGTGGTGAGCTCGACACTTTCCTTTGTTGACGAGCTGCGTGAATAAGCTCTCGTGCGCGAGATACGAAGCGGTATAGAGTGCCAAACAAAAGCGACTTAATAGGGTACTCACTCACGCCTGGAGACTTATCGACCGTTTCGCAGCCCTTTCCCTGCTCTTTTTGCGTGTTTCTGTAGACCGTCCGGTCTCTGCACTCTCAATGCTCAAGCGTTTTCCGTTCAGTTGGTACCCCCACCCCAGCCAGACCCCCTGCCTAGCATGCGCTTGCCACCTGCTGCAACGCACTTGCCACTTTCGCGTGTGGTAGTTAACCAGCAGCTTCCACTCGGCAGCACGCACTCGCTTCACTTCCTCACTCGGCGTCAGCAAACTCCACTCGTTCCTCGTCTCAAGCGTGCAGTCTGCATCAGGGTTTCGCTCTCTGCTCTTCCAGCATTTGATTAGCAGCTGCAGCAAAGAGTAGCGCGTTCTCATTTTCCACACGTGCATGCACTCCTCATCTGACCGCGAGCAGCTTGACACAGGACTGCAGCCGGACAGCGTCGACCGAGGCAGCGAGCTCCACCGCCAGCGCCGTCTCAAGCGCAGCCACCAGCTGATGACCGACCAGGATGATGGCTTCGCCTCTTCTCACGTCGAGCAACAACAACAGCAGCAGCAGCAGCTTCTGTGCAAATACAAGTCCGGCAAGTGTTCAAACCCGCGCGCTACAAAGCGGAATGGGCAGCTCCATACGCTCTGTCACTTCCACCGGGATCGCCAGAACGAGCATCAGCGCAAGAGCGACCGCAAGCACCGCATGGTGAGTGTCACACGGCGCGCCAAACTCGGCAGCATCGGCGTCGGTAGCGAGAGCACTCGTCGCCACAGTCTCCACTCCATCACGTCGTTGGAGGCCGCTTTTCCAAGTGCAGCTTCAAGTTCGCCGTTGGATCGATTCGGGTACGATGGAAACGCACCAGACACTTTCAGGAACGTGCAGTATACCGCAGGGAATGTACCCATTAGAGCACCAGGAGGAAGAGGAGACGGACCAGCACCGCCACTGCCACCACCTGCAGGAACAACACGCTTACCTCCCATTAGATTCCTCATGCCTGGAAAACTCGATGGCTACCGCGCTTCCAGTACATCCGCACTCGGTCCACCCTCCGGTACTTTTCTATCCGATAGCCTCAACGATGACGCGGACCGATCAGCGTGATCGAGCGATATTTAGTGACACGGTGCCGTCTATTGACGACCCCTGACCCAGCTTGCAACACCTGACGCTGCCTTGGTTTGAGCCTCGCAGCCCGCTCGTCGAATGCAAGCTACTGCCTGCGATGGGACAACGTGTGCCATACCTGTTTAAACGAACTACTCGCATTCTTGCTGTTATTTAACTAATCGGTTCACGCGTGCACGCCCAATCTCAAATACACGCTCTACGCTGGGGTTTACACTCCATCGTCCCCTGCTACCACGTTGCTTGAATCTCATTTGCTGCAATTGACGACAACAACAACAACAATCACACCCGAGCGTCTTGAGTTTTGTATGCTGAACCAGAATGCGTCAGACCAAGGCAAACCCTCCACGGTATCAAATCATCCAGCGATGGCGCTGACGTAACAACGAGGCACTGCTCGAGCTGACTGGAGCCAAGTGAAGGACGCGCCGTTCTTGTTTGCACAGAGCCGGACAGCGGTCTTGCGCCAGCAGCCACTTTTTTGCTTCTCCGTTAGCTCCTCGTCCAGCGATGGACGAATCGATACATGCAACAATTCGAAGAGCTGCGTCAATAAACGTGCGTCTGTTCCTTTTGGCTCGGTTCGACGGATGAATTGTCGCAGCAACGGGGCCATCCATGCTTTGGGTAGCTACTGGAGAGCGATGAGCCCAAATGTGGTACAGTGTGTGCCGATAAACCATGAAATGGTGACTTCAGCTGGTATCATTTCTAAATTGACCATTTAGAAATAGGCAAACGCCTGAGGTTATAGAAATGACCCTTTTCACGGTTTCGTGGCACGGGCTGACGTCGCTATTTCGACGTTTGGGTTCTCGTCGTCAAACGAACAGTTGCCCGGATTAGTCGTGCTTCCGTTGCTCGTTGAGCAGTCGAGGGTGCTACGCGCAACATTCGCGCAACTGAACAGAGGGAGGATTTTTCGCAACCAAACAACGACAAGTCGAGTGAGCCGACCACGCAAGCAGAGAAGAGCAAGCGAGAGCAAGAGGCGACGCTCATTTCTTCGGCTCGACGACACAGAGACGTAGCGTTGGACTAGAGACGACACTCGTGATCCGAAGCTGCCGCAGGTAAGCAGTCGATTCTCTTGTACGCAAGTGCGACCTGTAGGTGCTCGTTCGGTGCATCGACCACGTCGCGCTTTCCTGCCGCGGGAAGGAGGCAGTCCATCAGGGTCGCATTCTATATAGTGCGGTGCTCGCTTGAGTTGCTCGAAGTCAATGCACTGCCTTTCTTGTTACGGGCAGAGAGAGTGAAGGTCGTGTGCGCGTGATCGAAAAAAAAGAAAGAACAGAAACGACCATCATTCCGCATTCCGCATTCTGGATTTCGTTCTTGTTTATTAACCAACTTGTCGCCTTGTCTTGATGTTTGTATGGCACGCAACTGCTCCTTCAGGAACTTTAGCCTATCGATGCTGCAATGAGCGCCGACCAGTCTCCGCAGAACAACCCGCAGCAGCCCCAGCCCCAGCATGACGACGACGACGACATTCTCGTGACGTCGCCCACCTCGTATGCCCTCCGCGAGTCTATTCGTCGCACGTCGTCCTCCACCTCGGCCGAGATGAATCCATCGTCGCTGCACTCGGCGCAGAGCGGAGACCAGGGCCGCTTACCGCGCTCCTCGTCTCGCAGCAGCATATTTAGCCGGGCGCCACCTCCGCCGCCGCCTCCGTACGCGCCACTGGTTTCTCCCGTCCCTCAGAGCGTTGCCAGTTCGCAGCGAATGCCTCGCCCGTTGTCGAACCCGAACATGGAGAGCCCACAGGAGCAGAGTCTGGAAGGCAGCGGCTGCTCGGGCCACTCGCTCGGGCCCAACTCGATGCAAGTTGGAAGTAATCAGCAGTTTGCTACTACATTGGGAGTGCCTTTTGCAGCCACAAGCACTGGCAGCAGCTTTAATCCTGCTGCTTCAACTGGTTTTGGAGGCGGCACAGATTTTAGCCAAACTGCACCGGTGAATAGCCATGCGGGAAGTCGTCGCTCGGTCTCGAGACGCAGCATCTTTAGCCGGGAGACGTTCATGCTCACGCGTGGCGAGAAGGAGTCCCGCATGACGGTGCCAGAAGGAACGCCGACGGAGATTCGATGTGAGGGCTATTTGACGAAACGGGGACATTTATTCACGAACTGGAAGACGCGCTACTTTACGTTGCGTGGCAACGTGTTGGAGTATTACTCGGGAGAAGAGAAGAGCAAGAAGTACGGCGCCGTGACGGTGGAAAAGGTAGCGACGTGGTCGGGCGAAGCTCATGGATTTATGTTTTACACCACGAAACAGATTCCGTACTACGTGTATGCGTCATCCGAGTCTGAGCGCTCGCGGTGGCTGCGTGCGCTGAAGGATTTCATGGTGGAGACGGAGGAAGTGAGCTGTGAAGGGTATCTTACGAAGCGTGGCCACCTAGTTCCAAGCCAGCGCATGGCGTATTATGTGTTGAACGGTACATCGTTGCGCCACTATGCGGACCAGCAAGCATATCGCGAGAATCAGTCAGCGATGGCTGAGGTAGAAATACGATCAGTTGCGCCATGGGAGGGTGAGACAAATGGTCTGATGTTCATGACTGTTACGGGCAACGTGTTTTACGTGATTGCGGATACTGTTGGCGAGCAGCAGAAGTGGCTAGCCACTGTAAAGAAATCGACAGCCAGCGTTCCAGAGCCTGTCTCATGTGCCGGGTATCTGACGAAGCAGGGTCATAAGCGCAAAAGCTGGAAGAAGCGCTATTTTATTTTGCGAGGGAATTTGATCTCGTACTACTCTGATTATGATATGGCAAATAACACAAAGGGGAGACCCCTTGCTGAAGTGCTGGTCGAGGACGTGCAGAGTTGGGACGGTGAACCGTTCGGTTTCATGTTTATGACCAACGAGCAGGTGCCATACTACGTGTATGCCGACAACGATCGCGAGCGTAACAAGTGGATGAATGCATTGAACAAGTTGAACGCTGTGGAGGAGGAACCCCAAGTTGACAAGAAGCGTTGCTCGAATTGCAACGCAGTTCTTACGGGGTCTCGCTTCTGCGGAGCATGTGGCTTCAATTTGCGCGGAACTACGCTGGGTGAGCAATCGGCGCATGCACAGAATCGTAATGACGACGGAGATGACGACATTGATGGACGCGACATGGATGAGGAAACAACACCCTTCGATGAGCTGGAAGCACTATCTGAGGGTGCAAGAACGCTGTTGCTTGCTGTTATGCAGACCCCGGACGGCGTAGATATTGGTGAAAGAGAAAACACGCATACCAACTGGATGACGAGGGGCCCCTCGCAGCCTAGCGGTAGCAATAACTCGGCCAGGTTTGATCAGGATATCGCGGATGCTTCCAGTGAAGCAGGCACTGATCCAAAGGTGGAGGGTAGTTCAGACGACGAAGACGTCAGTGCTGACCCGAATGAGTTAACGCCGACGCCTCATTCACCCGTGCGACGACCTGTCGAAGAGTCAGGCAGTGGTGCTGCATCTCCGGCCTCGTCACCACGTACGTATCGTGAAACTCCATCAGCAGCCGTGGCTCCACCGACGCCCCCAAAAGCTAAGAAGGATACGCTGAAGCCTAACTTTGGCATTGTAGAGTCTGAACCCAAGAGGAGTAGCTTCACTTCGTTTAGTGACTCTGAAGAAGAGTGCAAGGCAGAGCCACAGTCTGCTCCTCGGCCATCCCGCACTTCTTCACGTTCTTCAGCAGGCTTGCTCATGGCTGGTATGGGCCGCCGCAAAACAATTGCAATGCTGGCAATGGAGTCGAGTAGTAGTGATGAGAGCGGGGATGATTCTCAGCTTCCGACGAAGCCGCCTCCTGGCGTGGATGGGAAGGATGAGAACGAACAGAAGGATCACAGCGGGGACGAGGAGAAGGCGGTGGCCGACGAAGAGGCAGGCACCGAGCGCAAGAGTTCTGCTGACTCGTTAGAGCTGGACACTCGTGGGATTTCAGCCTTCGACGAGCCCGTACAGGTGCCAAAGCTGAAGCATCCCGCAAACGTGTCCATCCGGACAAGTGAGCGCACTGATAAGAAGGATATTTACAACTTTATGGAGCGAGAGCTTGATTTCACGCCGCAATTTGTGCCATCGGCCGATTCTCCAGTGCGTTGCCGGTTTTATAGTTCGATGGCGTACACGACAGCAAAGAAAGTCATTGTGTTTCTTTCTGATTCCGGCCCTCTTGGCCTTTGGAAGCAAGACCCGGAGAATGCAAAGCTGACGGTTGACCACAAGTGGTCAATGATACCGTACTTCAGCCGTGCGCAAGAAGAAGGCTTTGGAATTGTGGTATGTAACCCGTTCTCTAACTCAGCTGTCGTGTATGAGGCGGGAGGATTTGAGCGTGAGGTCCCGATTCCGAACTCTTCATCGCCGAAGGAGCATGTCCTTTTCGTGTGGGACCAATTTATTACGAAATGCAAAGGTCAAGTGTCAATAATCGCGTATGCACGCGGTGGTGCGCTTGTGAAGTCCATTTTGGAAACGTACGAGCTCAGCGCGCGTGAAAAGATTCATCGCGTTGCGTTGATTGAGTCGAAGCATGAAATTGACCACAGTGAATCCCCTGGTGTGTTGGAGCTTCTCGGTCGCCGATCGATTAATTGGGAGGCATCATACGAGCCGCTTGGTGCTCAGATTGTGGATTCCCAAGCGCGAGTGAACTGCGTGTGTCTGTCACTGGGGTTTATGCCGTCTCAGGAAGCAGACAACACACCGAAGACGCTGGAGAAGGCGGAAGATCCCGCATTCGTATTCATCGCCGCGAACCCAAGCCAACCTGGCATGACTGCTGTTGTCAAGCACGTACGGTCGGAACTGCGCAGACTAAAGACAGCTCCGAAGCCTACTGGTCGCGCACCGAAGTCTAACATCATTGTGATTGGTGAAACGGATGGCAATGGGCCGAGCGATGTGTCAGGCAGTGCTGATGAAGGAAAGAGTGGGAACAAGATTAGCGATAGTAATGATGATGATGAAAGCAAGATCAAGGCCACATACTATCTGCCGAAACCGGTACCGAAGCCCAAGCGTAACTCTGGATCGAGCGCTGTAGCTAGTGACACGCATCAGCGTCCGATTTCTGACAAGGACTTCGAGCTGATGAAAGTTGTTGGTCAAGGTGGGTTTGGTAAGGTCTTTTTGTGTCGAAAGGTCACACCTCCACGTCTGGGCGAGCATTACGCCATGAAGGTGTTGAAGAAGCAACAGGTCGTTTCGTCGGGCCTCGTTAACACGACGATGGCTGAACGTAAGATCCTGACGGATATCTCCCACCCGTTTGTCGTAAAGCTCCACTACGCCTTCCAGAGTGAATCAAAGCTGTACCTCGTGATGGACTACCTCAGTGGTGGGTCTCTGGCCACGCATTTGCGGCGCCGGCGTAAATTTCCGGAGGAGTGGGCTCGCTTTTACGCCGCCGAAGTTGCTGCTGCCATTGCACACCTCCACAGTGCGAACATCATTTACCGTGACGCAAAGTTGGAAAATGTTTTAATGGACCACGACGGCCATGTGCGCATCACTGACTTCGGTCTGTCGAAAGTTGGCGTCTCTGGCTTGAAGGGCGCTACGACCTTTTGTGGTACAGCTGCTTACATTGCGCCTGAGCTATTGAAAGGCAGGGCATACGGCAAAGCTGCTGACTGGTGGTCATTTGGCATTTTGCTGTACGAGATGATAGGTGGGAAACCACCTTACTATCACCGCAACCGAGACATTATGTTCCAGACTATTCTGAAGCAGGATTGGGTCACTTTTTCTCCCAGCTTCTCGGACGCTGCAATTTCGCTGATTAACGGGGTAGGTTGCCGCGCTGTTATTTCTTGCTTCCGTGCCGCATGTTGCTAATGTGCTGTTCTGTCACTGTTTTGGTGATTGTAGCTGCTAACACGCGACCCAATGATGCGTCTCGGTAGTGGCCCGCGGGGTGCCGACGAGGTGTTGACGCACCCTTTCTTTGACAGCATTGATTGGCCAGAGCTGCTGGAGCGCCAGGTACAACCTCCGTTTAACCCGGGTGTTGGGAAGATGGATACGCATTATGCGCCTCGCAACATGAACGAGATTACAGCGCGTGATCGTGCACCGAGTGTGATGATGGCAAAAACTGATCGTCCGAACGACTTTGACGGGTTTAGCTTTGTCGGACGGCCATCCTCGCTGTCGAATGTGTGATACGTCACAAGCTGTGAAGCAGGATACTGTTGTGGTGTTGCAATGCTGCGCATGGTGACAACAAAATGAAACAAAATACGAAGGAATAGTGAGTGAGTGGGTCGAGGGCACTGCGACGGCCTCTTAGAACGCGGGCCAGGTGCAAGACCAAGCGGCCGCAAGTCTGTCTTGTGCTCGAGGCGCCGGCGTACCAGGAACAAGTGAATATGTTAAAATTGGAGTTACGCATCAGCTTGTTCTATTGATCGTTGTGCCTGTGATGTGGTGTGTTTCTTGTGCTATGGAGATGCAGCTCGTTGCAAGGAGACGAACGAACAGCTGTGGTGTATATGTAGGTGCGGCTTAGCTTGACACTACGCATCGTTGACCATGGCTCACACATCAAGGCGTCTACAACCGAGTGGCGATACGTGAGAAGCACTAGCTCCAGCTTTCAAAACGTCCACAATGACGATGTTCTCGAGAGATGGCATGTTTTGAGCAAGCCTGGCCTGAATACGCGATGGCCAGAATTTTATGGCGCTCCGAAGCAGCAGTCCGAAGCAAGAGTTGTCGGTCGACGATCCCAGCTCACCTTCGAACATGCGTTAGCGCTAGCAGAGTTAGCGGAGCCATCTGTGCTCAGTATTGCTGGTACTTGCACTGCCAAATAAGGTTCTGCTGTCACCTGACAGCAAAATTGCGTGCGTGCGATCACCATCTTGCTCCCGAATGTACAGAAATGACAATGACTGGGCGCGCGCACCGAGTCAATGTTAACTTGAGCGTCCAAGAGTTAATTCTTATAGCTGCCAGTCGTAACCTGCCAGTTGTAACCTGCCAGTCACGAGTTGGAGCTTCCGTTGGTCCTGTCAACACAAAGAAGTGGCTGGATCTAGCGTTGCTGACCTCATATCGAGAACACGAAGGCGCACAACTGCTGCTGCCAGGGGCGCTGTGTGCATCTCGCTTGACTTCTGCATCCGCGCAGCTGCTACTGCTGCCGAACCAAGCGCAAGGATGGAGACTGGTCACACGATTAAGCACGGATATCGACGAAAAAAAAGACCACACACGGTTTGAAGTCCAAAGCTCATAGCCAAACGTGGTTCGTCAACGCATCTGCGCAGCACATCTAGAAATGCGTGGCCAAAAATCCTTCATGGCACAGCTGGCCACTCGATGCCATTGTATTCGCTTACACTTCATTTGCCAAGAAGGAAGATACCAAGCTAGTCAGCTGCTGTCTTTGCCAGCGCTAGTATAGTGAAACGCATCTCGTTCTCATCACGAGCCATAAATTTCTTGATGACCTTACAAGCATCCTTGGATTCATCAAACAGAAAAAATGTACAGAGCTGCGGTTACTCGAGAGAGACTAGCGGGGAAGAATAGATCCACGTACCTGTAGAATAGTATCCTGGCTCGAGGGTCCGTGGTTAATAGGACTCTTCTTCCGGCCATCGAGTTCGTACAGCGTGCCGTCCACGCAGCTATTGATGGAGATACATACACGTTACGTCGTGCTCCAAAAAGGTAATAGGGGCAATAATCACACTCACGTGAAGCACACGAAGTGCGTGTTGATCGGGTCGTCCACGCTTTGCAGTTGCTGCAAACGAGAGAAGGAAACTCAGTGTCTGCAAACGTGACAAAAAGCTGCATAGTTTGCTTACCTCCGACTGACCAGCTTCCGCTGCACCTTCGTGAGTTTTTTCCAGCTAGATTCATTGTGTAATAAACACCCACAAGTAAACCATCACACACAATTGACGACAGCCTAAAACTCGACTAAACAGCTCAAACCTCATCATCTTCCTCCAGATACTGTGCGATTTCTTGCGGCGTCTTGGTCTTGGTCGTATCGAAAAACTTGTCCAAATAGCTCCCAGGAGCTACAACCCATACAACCAGCACTAACGTCACGACAAAGCACAAACTCAAGATCGAAAAAAAGTGATACCCACCAAGCTGGACGAAGTGACGCATGTTACCAACGGCGTGCAAGATGCCTACTGTGCCGCACGCGTTACCTACCACAAAAAAAACGATTTCATACTTTTAACCACTTTTTGCCAGCTACACACTTGAACTGGCAATAAAAAGTATGCCGTACCAACAGTTTGACGCATGTAGTAGACATTGGGAGATACTGTCTGTCCCTCTTTCTCGATTCTCAGAGCTTCCTGCTTGTCGGCCTCCTCCGTCTACCTCAATAAAAAACCATTCTCCTTAGTGTTTTATCGGTAAAACACGCGAAACCCTTTTTATAATTTAGGTTAAAACTCGTACGTGAGGTTTAATTGGGAAAAGCATCAGAACCGCCACAACAGGCGTCGGCACCATACCGAGCGCCCACTCCTCCGTGCTCAGCACATCACAGAAGCTGAATTGGCTCGTGGGAAAGCCCATTTTCTTCACGTATGCGTTCATGACGTCCGGATTAGACTCCAGCGGGAACCAGCGCTTGCGTTTGCCTTCGTCGCTCATGACTGCGAGAAGAAGAAGAAAAAAGCCGAAATGACGACCAAACGGACGATGCTGATTGGTTGATCGAGAAAAAAAATTATAGATTGCTAATCGTGATTGCGAGTCCGAAAGGTGACGCCTAGTTGAATGCCGAACTTTTCTAAGCGTACTTATCGGTGTGTGTCGGTAAATAGCGCGGTTAGGTGTATCTTGCTCGTGCCAAGTACGATCAAGCCTGTCCCCTTCTCATAGGTATTTAGATGTATGCAAAAACACTCTTTGGCCAGGTCACTTTTATAAAGCACAGACGTGATTGGCTTAAAATTGACCAAAAGTGAATGTGATTACATTAGCAAATGCTAGACGCTCATCAGCACAGGCCGATCGTGCTGCCCTGGTCTTCTATACCAGGTCAATACGAACATTGACATCGTCTTACTCCTTCTTGAGTGACTGCTACTGTTGTACAGTGTTTTGTAACTTGATTCAGTTCTGTGAACTGGATGACTTAGATCAAAGGGCGAGCTCCAGAGCGCGCTCCCCTATCTTATGGACAAGTTACAGGTGGGGTATGGCCTACGAGATGGGCGTGTGACGAATGGGCATCTGCTGCATCACAATTGGGTTAGTGTTGTTAAGCCTTAAAGAAGCCATTTATTTTCCAGCTTGGTCGTCCGTGGTGCGTTGTCTACACGAGCGACCATGACCACCATCACTTGATCTATAAGAAATAGGTCTAAGATGCATCACTGACCAAGGTGTGTGCAGACTTGCGTCTCTGTCTCCGAGGCCTGTAAATGTCAGGCGATTTCTCATTGCCGTCTCAAACCTGCACTAATCATGGGTCGAGCGTACAGTTTATTTGTAGAGAATCGAATTCTTGGAATTCGTCTAACTCAGCAGTTTATGCAGAAGAAGTTCGACAATGTCCTTCCATCATATGTGAGCATTTACCGTAAACCGTTGTCGAGGTTGTATCAACAGTTACTGAGCTGAAAAGGAGGAGACCGTTACTAGAGGATGATGGAAGGGGATCATGTTCAATGGCTGACCGAACATGATGAGTCTTGGTGGCTCAAATCACATGAAAATCGATAGTCATCGATACAGACGTCAACACATCATCAAGTGGTTTGGACGCGATTTAGCGTCGCGCTACGAAAGTGTAGAGCAAGAAGCCCGATTCAACAGGTTGACAAACGAATCTAGCATACTAGATCGCCACCACTGGCGATATTGCTGCTGAGGATAGAATCGATCCACGCGCGGCCGTTTGACACGCGAGAGTACACACCGTAATAGCCTTCCCTCCCGCAAGTATCATCCTTGCTCCAACTAACTAGCCCAATGAGAACGTCCTCCACCATACCATTGATGCCAGTTTTCTCTACCACCAGTGGCCCTCCCGAGTCTCCGAAGCACGCGTCACGATTTAACTCTCCTCCGGCGCAAACCATACTCGAATCAATAAGGACGTGAGCCGCACACGTCTCATCACTTGTCAACTGAACGTCCACACGCTGCAGCTCGTAGGAGTAGGTTCCATTCGCTTCTGCATTCATTCCCCATCCCATAGTCGTCGCCCACGCGCCCGCCTTGAAGTCCGAGTCGTCAGCTGCAGCCAGCTTCACAGGTTGATACTTACTAGGCCTCTCCAGCTTGAGTATCGCAAAATCATTGGCGTACTTTATCCCGTCCGAGTAATTCGGGTGGTTCATGATGGCTACAACCTTGATCTGCTCACCGTCAATAGTGCCATTGCGATAGTGCGTGCCAATGGAGACCCAGCGAAGGTCGAAGGTGACACAGTGAGAAGTAGTGAGCACATGAGTCGAGGAGATCAGGTTGCCGCTGCAGACATTATCGATGCCGGGGCTTAGCCGAAGACCAGTGGTATACGTTTTCATGCCGCTGGGCACAACTTGTCCACTCATAATAAGATGACGTTGAGAGTTCTGGCCTCCGTAAGCTGTCTCGCAAGAGACCACGAGGGCGAAAACCGATAGAGTTAACGTCACAAGAAGCATTCTAGCGCTGCGGAGAATGTCAAGTCCTGACATGTCTTCTTGGTAGCTAAACGCGAACTGCTTTGACCTTCGACTCAGCTGTAGTCAGAGTAAATGCAAGCTGTTGGCATAATGATGATGGCGCTAAGGCTGTTGCCATAATGGTGATGGCGCTAAGGCAGTCGATGTTGCAGTTGCACAGACGATACAAGACTTCCATAGCACCTGCAAGTCGCGCATGAGAGTTGACCTGGCTGCAGAACGTCATTGGAGAATTTTTGAATGGAAATCAGTCCCACTGCCGCTGACGCGAGCATCGACTCGTGACATCCTTTAGGGTTGATGCGAGATGCAGTTGCGCTCGACGAACTCAATTCCCTGGGCTGATTTGTGGTTGGTTTGCGTCATCATATCCAACAAGTGGATACCCGCAGGCATCCTGTCCATTAACATGGCTCTTGACACTGAACATACCGAGAAGAAGCACCAGAAGAGACGGCGACTGCATTTTGTTGGCACTAGACGAACAAATGAGTTGAGCTACGCCATTTCGCCAGATTCCCAAACGGACGGGGCTCCATTTCAAAAGCGCCGATATCAGCACGTACTAAAAGTTCTGACTGCGGTGCTATTTCCACCAAGACTAGTACGGTGACACAATACATGCTATGGCCTGGTTATTACTACATACATGCATCTACCAGACTGAGATTATGGGCGCGATCAAACCTTGTCTTCATAGAAGAGCTCCGAACTCTTTGCCTGTGCACCATTCAAGTGGAAAATGTCATGATGCAGTGATTAGGCGAGGGTTCAAGATCCATGACAGTAATTACAGCCTCAGCCAGATCAGTTCTCCATGATGCCTCCTGCCCAGGGAAGAATCGAACAGATGTCAGTGAAGTCCGTGGACTGCTTTTACTTCAACACCATCTACATGCCACTATCTAGGCTACTTGGATCACACGATTTGCCGACTTGCGCCATCACCTTTGCACATTGTGGTGCCATCCCTACTCATGTCAGTCCGTGCGTAGGTAAAGCGTCACAACCCGATTCATTTCCTCATTGGCGTCTTCACCCGTCCTTAGACATGAAAGGGTTTCATCTGCACCTTTTTACTAGTGTCTGTGCTGTATGGGCTTCTCAGTCCTTTGCTCAGACTGACACGAGGGACTCAGTCAACCTCATTGAACACACTGACACGGACGACAATTCCATCACTGGCGCCGATGCGATCTCGATGCAAAACGCTCGTAACGACTCACTGGATCATCCAAAAGTTCCTGCTAGTGACGTGGCAGTAACCAACGCCTCGAACGTCACAACGCAGACCTTTGATGGGAAAACAAGCGTGGTCCCAATCGGGACAAAAACGTACGTTGTAGGACTTCGCTCGAAACCGGAGGGCAACAGCACGTGCATTGCTTCGCTCATCACTCCCACTCACCTTCTTGCTGGCACACGCTGTGCTTGGAGCGACGTTCGCTGGGCCTCGATTGGTTCGCACTATCGAAACGGAACCCAAGACGGTGAGCAGATCAGGATCGTGGCGATCCTGAACAATCCAGAAAGCTCCGCTTTCACCTTTACAAAGGACTTTGCTATTCTCGTACTGGAAAGACCCAGTACATACCCGCCAGTGGCCTTCGCAACTTCAAATGATCCCAGTGTCGAGGAGGGTGAATGGCTGGTCAAGGTAGGCTGGGATGACACCGGAGGTGCTTTCGGTACCCTGGCGTACGAGTTGATGCGGGCTGACGTGCAGGTGATCAGTAACTCTGCGTGCATGGAACAAACGACCATAGATGACTCCATGCTATGCTCCCGGAGTTCTACGAGCGAGGCTGCATGCACAGGTCACTATGGTGGTCCTGTCATTCGAGAGCAGCCGAGCGGCGACGTGGTCGTCGCCCTCGTTAGCTGGGGTCCCGACTGTGGAGAGCTCGGCTATCCTAGTTATTATCAGCGCGTGTCGAGTGCTCTCGCTTGGATCGAATCGATCGTCGGTCGTAAGTGCATCAAAGAGCCCTAACGTCGGTATGAATGACGCGGCGTCGATGAAATATATGCACGACAAGAGTATTACGATTAAAAGGCGCTTGATTTTGCATGGCAGCTTGTCCTTATTAATTGCGAGCCCGAAGGGTGAAGCTATCAGTGATTGTGCGCAAGGTTGAGTGCCGAACTTTTCAAAGCGTACTTATCTGCGTGTCTGTGAATAACGCGGTTAAAGTGTATCTAATCTGAACTAAGTGCGATCTAGCCGGTCCCCTTCTCGTGGGTACGTAGGTATTTTCAAGGCAAATGCTAAACGGCTGGGTTTATTTTTTATTCGGCTGGATTATTTAAAAATTCTCAGAAGTAGCTCAAAAGTAACTCAGAAGCACGCCTAATTTTATTAGATACCATCTACTCACACTACTAACACTTTTGCTCACATGTCCATTTTCAAAGTTTATGATGACGAGAAAGTTGCAAGACTGGCGAATACCCTGTTCCAGCCGTTTCTTTTGCTGTTAGCGTTCCAATCCGAAACACATGTCGCTATTTGATACCATCATGGCTACACAGTCAATAAGTCCACCAAACATGATGCGTCCGCGCGATCGCGAATGCTTATAGTGGGCGGTATGTCTCGCCTAGAAATATTGTTAGTGGCGCGGTCTTTTATGCTTGTAACTACAATCGGTATCCCGAGATATTTACACCGTTTCAATTGCTACAGTTGCCCGCAAGCAGCCGATTTGCAATGTAAATTGGACGCGGATGTATTCGTAGTTGAGTCGTAAATATACAAACCAAGCTAACTTGCCTTGTTCTTGTTTAAGTTTATCCAAGCTGATTTCTCCAGCCAAAGCTGAACGTAGCTACTCAATAACAGGGTCTAAGTCGTAGGCCGCTGTCTCAATGGCCCTTTCATGCCTCTTTAAGTGTGCTCCTAACTAGTGTGAAGCGTCACTCTTTAATCTGCGACGCAGCGATCACTTGTGATCACAAAGGAGTACAAACAAGACACGCTCGGTCATACGACTGCCTGACCCAGTGGATATGCCCCCTCCTCACCTGCCCCCGATTCCGGGGGGGAGCGGGCGACGAGGGGGACTCACCAGATAGGGCTGCTGTCTCACAGCAGTCACTTTCACCAGATCCGGCCATTGTACGGCAAGATCCAAACCTACCAGCGACGACTGATGACGCAATACCGACACCCCAGAGCCCCTCCGGGGGTGACTGTGGGGGTACTCAAGGACCACGTTCAGCGCCACTACGATCCACGTTGGAATAGATGTTTGCGGCGCTGGTAGCGGAAATGAAGGACTCGCCAGACATTGGACAGGTCGAGGCATGGAGATCTACGGTGCGGGAATTATTCTCGGAGGTCTTCGCTAGTGTACCGGTGAAACACGAGACTTTACCGCTGGCTCGGCAGAGGTATCCAGCTCTCCGAGTGTGGAGGTGGCCAGTCTGTTTGGACTATTTGAACAGGCATTCGTCAACAGCCCCGGAACCTTTACGGAGTGGAAAAAGCTTGTTACGGTCCTAACCAAGAAACTATTCACCACGAAGTGGGGATTTCGAGAGATCGTGCGCAGAATGTCCAGACAACACAAATGGGCACAGACGCCTGTTACTCAATCAGTGGGCGCACGTGGTGCAGAACGGCAGCACTGTGCCCAATATACGTACTTCCGGGGCTAAAGGGGCAACATTCGATGATTTCATGTACAACCCGGCCAAATTTGCAACGGAGAAGATCACAAGGCTGCGAAGCTTGTGTATAGCGTCGAGTGGTGTAGCTCACAGGCATCACATTCGTGATGGCACTGATGACGACTGGTCAATCATTGTGAGACTGGTAGAAGGTACTATTGCATGTCGTCGGATGCCATCGTTCCTGACCCAAGTCCTTATGAGCGAGGAACGTCTTCGCTAATACAGTACGATTCAAGCGCAAGTGGAAGGAAAATTAATTTTTTATTTGGATCGCCGCCGGGAGATAAAGGCAAGTCGTCAGACAACCAAATCTCTAACTGAGACCATTTTAGGCTTCCGCCGAACTAGCGAGGATTTATTTACAGGCTTTACATCGGATGTTGGGACAGACCAATACTATTTGTTACAATCAGGTAACGAAGTCAATTCACTTCTTTTTCTTCACGAGAACTACCGCGGACCGGCACAAATCGGTCCAAGTGCCATATCAGGAGGTATACCTTGCACAACGCACACTGTCTCGATCAAGGACCCATCTGGGCCCGTCAGACTGGAGGTCAACCAGGCACTAGTGGACGCCGACCGAAGTACACCATCCAACTACATAACCTTACGCGGTTTAACGATATAGGGCGGATGGTGGCCTTTTAACAGGCGAACATACCAACAGAGTTTGATATGGACGACATGGATACTCATAAGCCGGACTCGAGGACTTCGACAATTTGGAGCGTAACCTTTAAGCTTGCTAGGTGCCCCACGTTTCTGGATGGGGTGGTCCGTATTCTCTGGTTCGGGACTACGATAATTATCAAGCTTCCCAACGTCGGGTATAGGCTTCAGTGCTTGCGATATGGACATCTAGGTCACACCTTGTCACGCTGTGGCTCAACGGAGGAGCAACTGCGAGGACCAGGAGGTATTGTTGTGAAAGAAGAGGACATCCGGGAGCTGGAAGATTTTTTGGCTAAGCCTTTTGGCAGTCTCGATGAAATACGCTCAATGGCAGCTCAAAGGCTTCAATTGCAGCAGAGAGCAGAAGCGGCGGCACAAGCAGCGGCGACGCCAACAGTATCGTCAGACGGGCCGACGACACCACCGTCTCTTACACGGGCTGAAGTCTCAGCTTCTGATCGGGGGCAGACGATGGATGGAACAAGGCGAAAAGTTTGCTTATCTCCACACTGAACCTACACCACGACCCTAACAGCCGTGGATCACGAAGCCACTACAAGGTAAAAGAGACTTGTGGACCCACCCATCTGGACCCACTCGCCATGCCGCTCCACAAATCCCTTCGTCTGGTGCATGTCATGTGCTCAACGAAAAACATGTCGATACTCCGGAAAAATCCGAGAAAAAACGGGTCGGAACCACATCGAAGCTACGATCACGGACCGTAGAAGATCTTACAAATATCGTTCCAATGACTCACGATGATCTATCGAGGAAAATAGAGGCCTTAAAGCGAGGTCCGGCACAGCGGAGCACAGCTCCTGTATTGATGATCCATAAGCGGCGTGAACGGAGTAAATTTCTCCAGCTCCAACTCCAAAAAGATGCCAGGTCACACTCACCTCCAACTCGGAGCCCGTCCATCGATCTCACCATCCTCTATCTCAGAGCTGTCGTTCCAATTGGGGGTGCGTGAGGGGATCGACACCTGCTACCGGGAATTGTATGGCGATAGCGGTGGCGCAGGCATCAGTGGATGCGCCACTAGACGGGCCGGATAAAATGATGGAGCGGCTGACAGCGATCCTAAAATAGGGTATAAAATGTTTTGGACTTTTTCATTTATAAGATCAGTTCGCTCACGATCGTCGGATACACGCGCTACACAACGTCCATCGCGGCTGGCCTATATAACCCGTTCAGAATCGGCCAACCAAATGCGATGGTTTCTCGATGACTACGCTGCAAATTCTTCTAAACCGGACATAGTCGTCACACCTGACACCTGGGGCGGCAGCGACACCTTGGGCATGGCCGCAAATTTTCTACAGCGCGACATTTATGTGATTAGCACATAAGGGGTGACTATAGTGACTGGGTATGTCAAATTTACACACCGGGGACCATTACTCGTCAGCGTCGAGTGGTCGAGACGTCAGCGGAATAAAATTTGACTGTGGATGAGTGTATGGACGAAATCATCGCGGGTAAGATCGAACACCCAAGCACACCACCCCTCATGCTACGGTACTAAAGACAGTACTACTCAGCTGTTATACACTCTAGCAGTACTGGGGGGGTTGCCAGATCTTGAAGGCGATGGGGATACCGGCGATGATCAGGAAGGACTCGAGACTAAATGGCCAGCAAACATTACGGCGGGATCACCGGATTCTACAGCGCAGTGCCGTACGATAATTGCTGCCGACAACAGCATGGTCGGTGCCGATGTCGCGGCGTCAGGAACCGACCGGATCAATGCCATCTGGGGGCAACTAGATTCGAAGTCAGTCCATCTCGAGCTGAAAAACGAGATTAATTTGCTTTTGACATCGCGTGACCCTACGCGCTATGACAAACTTCTCACCCTGCTTACTCAGACAGCGTTATCACGATCCCTAGAAGCTTAACAGTGTAACGGGGTGAATCGTTACATAACAATTTATAAGAAATTGTTAATAGAATATAACTATAAGAGTTATATTCTCAGAATATTGTCATAAGGACAATATTCTGTAGCACTTCCAAGTAGTCCCTAATTGGTTGATATAGGCCATTATATCAACCAACGAAGACGCGCCACGACAGACGCACGCAATGAGTGGTGAGCAGATAACTGATTTACACATTTGTATTTAGACATAGTTAGATGAAGATAAATAGTGATTTATTGCAGACATTAACTATTATAAATACAGTTCTACTTTTTACTCTAACCAAGTACTCGCTTCTTCTTACCGTCTTCCTCTGCACGTACGAGTGTACGTGAAGTTACGAGGCACCGCCTTATTCTGTTATCAGAATAAGTAGCTTGTACTGTCACCAGTACAAGCTTCAGGGTGCCCCGTTACACCTGGTAGCACTTCGTAGTCCGTCCAAGGACCGCGTTCACATCCAACATGAATATGTTGGATGATGAAGATGACCAAAGCTTTCACGCTACGCGTGACGGCTACTCCCATTTGAGCGATGTCGAATGGGATGCGGTTGAACGAATGGGTTCGACCATGGGCATCCATGCTGTTAGCGTCATGCTAGAGGCTCTCAATAGAGATGCCCAACATGCTACTATCGCCAAGTTCATTCAAAATGAACTTGACGCAGAACGCGAGAAAGTAGCCTTGCTTCACCAACAAGGTTCTCAACAAGCAGAGTTGTTGAGAGAACAAGGTGCTCAACAGTTTGAACTGTTGAGACAGCAGCAGGCTGCTGCTGGCGGGTCGATGCACTCGCGTCGGCCCGAGACTTTGAAGATTGACATCTCAAAGTACAGGGGGGTCGAAGAAGACTCCCTCTTAAGATGGTTCGTCGAATTGGATGACGCCATAAGGGCGCGTCGCATCGACGACGGGGATATGCAAGTTGCATTTGCCCAGTCAAATCTGGCAGGACGTGCAAAGACTTGGGCACTGGGGCTCAAGCTGCACGACCCATATGCGTTTGGGTCGTTGGAAGTCTTCAAGTCGCGGCTCAGACAAACGTTTGAACCGCCTAGAGCTGAGTTCAGAGCTCGAACCGAACTCTTGAAGCTCAAGCAGGGTAAGCGTGATGTGCACGCTTACGCTCAACATATACGACATCTCACGAGTTGTATAAGTTCCAATCCGGTGGATGAACACACGTTGGTTTCGGTGTTCATGCAGGGTCTTGCGGATGGTCCCGTCAAGACTCACCTGTTCCGGCTTGAACTAGATTCACTAGAACAAGCCATTTCAATTGCGGAGCAGGAAGACTTCAGTCTGAGACAGGCTCGCGCCAGCTCGACATCATATCGTCAACCGAGACGATATGACAACGGAGGTCCAGAGCCGATGGAACTCTGTTATGTAGAGAGCGAGAAGGCTCGCTCTACAGGCTACAAGAAGTTGCAGAGATGCAACAGATGTCAAAAGACAGGACACTACGCTTACGAGTGTAGTGCCCCTCGTCCAGTGTCTCGCGACACTGGGCGTAGTGACCGTCCACCCATGAGAAAGGGGCAGGGACGAGGGTCCGCAGTTGGTGCAAAGACGCAACAACGGGATGGACCGTCAAAAAACGGACAGGATCAGTAGGTGCGGAGCACCCTACTGATCCAGCAACGTCAAGAGAATTTGTAGGCCTCTTGATGAAGGTTGCTCCCAACACACAGACATTGTGCGTTGCTGCTCTAGGTAATGAGATCTCACTCATTACCTTGAAACTCGAAGTGACGAATAAGTTGTCCCTTCGAGCTCTAGTCGATTGTGGGGCGTCCAACAATTTTGTGCGACGCCAATCGCTAGAAGATGGTCACTTTAAATTCAGTGAATGTGACACACCTCCTACGAGGATGACGGTACGTCTTGCGACAGGCGCATCCGTAACCGTCATGAAGCGTATAGTGAAGATTCACTATACGCTAGAAGATACCCAATACGACGATGACTTTATCGTATTGGATTTGGATGACAAATTTGATGTCATCCTTGGAATACCGTGGCTCAGAAGGTACGAACCACGGGTAAACTGGCAACATCGGACAGTAACGATGCCTGCCGCTTGTTCATCAGATGGCCATCTGATGAACGTTTTGGAGCGTCCACAAGCGTGTGGATGTACTACGAGTGAGTGCGATGGCCTCACTTGTGGTACGGTCGTTAGTACGACTGCACAAAACCTTAGTGTACCAAACGGTTACACTTCGGAGCAAAGTTCCGGCGGCTGTGAGGAAACACAGGCTGCGCCGAAGGTCCACCACTCGAATAAGTCGGGTGGACTGGGACAAAGATGTATCCCTAGAGGGGAACATCTAGAAGAGAAACAATCGATCGCTCAGGTTAAGCGAAACGATAATCCTAGATCGACTGGAGAGTCTTTCGTAGAGGATCTCGCTGTGGTTGCGCAACCCCAGCTAGAGGAAGTAAAGGGAATAAGTCCCAAGATTACAAATACGGCGGAAATAAGTTCCCCGAAACCCGCGGGAATAAGTCCCCGGGAAGACGAAGGAATAAGTCCTTCGAAGCCTGAGGGAATAAGTCCCCAGGAAATGACAGAGACATTGAATGTCATAGTCAATAACGGATCATGTGTAGGCGCTTATACACTTGATCTGATTGCGCCTCCGAAGTTAACTTCGGAGATCACTCAGTTGCCAACGCTCGAACATAAAAGGTTCTTGCGTGATCTGCGTAGTGGCAAAGTCAAGCAGATCTGCATACTCGTCGCTGACGACGAGTATGTAACCGACATAAGGTCAGCAACAGTGTTTACTGAGAACGAGAGAGTTCTCAGTAGTTCATCTATGGACGAGAGTGTCCTAGATGAAAAGACACGAATTGAGCGATATGAGTCCCAATCATGGGAATCGCTCAAGGAAAATCCTCTCTATGAAGATTTGGTTGAATTCAAGGATGTATTCCCTGAAACTGTTCCGTGCGAATTACCGAAGGATAAAGGTATTCGACACGAAGTCGAGCTTAAACCAGGCTCGAAGTACTGTGTCATGAAGCAGTGGCCACTGCCTCGTGAACAAGTACTTGCGATCGACAAGTTCTTTGCCGATCGTTTAGCAGCAGGCCATGTGAGGGAATCAACTTCCCCACATAGCTCTCCGACCTTCTGTGTGCGAAAAGCAACAGGAGGGTGGCGGATAGTGCACGCGTTTAACAAATTGAACGCTGCAACGGTACCGGCTCAGACGCCGATACCGAGGAAGGACGTAATCATTGATGGTATGTCAAAGAGTACCATCTTTTCGTCCATGGATTTGATGGATGGCTTCTATCAAATCCTAATGCGGGAACAGGATATACCCTATACCGCAGTTAGCACGCCTAGCGGCATGCTCTGGGAATGGCTAGTAATGCCACAAGGGCTCAGTAATGCCCCTGCCACGTTCAACAGGTGTGTATCACATCTGTTGAGGCCAGTACGAGAATTCGCGCCGAGTTATTTCGATGACGTATTCATCCATAGTCGAGCTATGGATGGAAAGTCGGACGTTGAGGTTCACAAGTACCACGTCCGACAAGTTCTTACAATCATGCGAAAGCATCAATTGTATGCAAACCTCAAGAAGTGTATATTTGCAGCAAGCGAAATACCACTTCTTGGGTGCATCGTTGGTAAGAACGGTGTACGTCCTGATCCCGAAAAGATCAAGGCGATCACCGACTGGCCCGTGCCGGTCGATGTCAAAGGTCTTCGAAAATTCCTTGGGCTAGCGGCGTATTTGCATAAGTATTCACGCAATTACGCCGAGATGACTGTACACCTCTCTCGTTTGTTGAAAAGAACGAGAGGTGGTTATGGAACGCTGAATGTCAACGCTCCTTTGAGGGTATCAAGCAGAGCTTGATACAATCCCCAGTCTAGCAATAGCCGATCAGGACAGGCCATTTCATGTGGTCTGTGATGCCAGCGATTTCGCAATCGGCTGTGCATTAATGCAGTACGACCTTGAAGGCGTTGAACGCGTCGTCTGCTATCAGTCGCGTCAGCTGCAACCAGCTGAGCGGAACTATCCAGTGCATGACAAGGAACTCCTTGCCATGAAGTATGCACTCGCGAAGTTCAGAGTCTATCTATTAGGAGATAGACCCTTCGTTGTTTACACTGACCATGCGTCCTTACGCACGGCAGTGAACAGCCCGCACCTTTCACAACGAATGGCGCGGTGGTTGTCATTCTTTGCAGAATACAACTTTACGGTCGAGTACAAACCAGGACGACTTAATGTCGTCGCTGATGCACTCTCACGTCGTCCCGACTTTGAAACAGTCGCGAAACCCAACAGTGAGACAGTCACTGTTGCGGTTATGACGTCCTCAGTTCCATCTACAACGTTGTATGATGATGTGAGGCGGGCATACGCCCAAGATGGTGAGATAGTGAAGTTGTTGTCACATCTCTCCCAACCATCTCGAGAATCGTTGAAACGATTGTCGTCTGCGTATCGATCTGCATCAGATCGATACACTACTCGTAACGGTTTACTGTACTATACAGCCGTTTCTGGTGACACACCACGTGTTGTCATTCCAGATGATATTGATCTGCGTTTGCGGATCATGTTCGAGTATCACGATGCTCCTATAGGAGGACATCGTGGCCGAGAGAAAACATATCTCACGGTAAGTCGAGACTTTTACTGGCCCCGCCAGTATCAGTTTGTGCGAAAGTATGTTCGCGCATGCGAAGTCTGCCAACGAGTGAAGTCAAGTCCTTCACTGCGTGCACCTTTACAGCCTCTACCGGTTCCGGCTGAGTGCTGGGAATCCATCTCAATGGATTTCGTCTTCGGGTTACCCAAAGACGCACGCGGGAATACAGGTATTCTCGTATTTGTTGACAGATTCAGCAAAATGGTACACCTTGTGGCTGTACCAGAGACAATCACGGCAAGTGGCTGTGCTTGTGTCTTTATTGACACCATCTTCCGACTTCATGGGTTGCCCCGTGAACTCGTATCAGACAGAGATCCACGATTCACTGCTGATTTCTGGCGTTCCGTGTTCAAATCACTCGGAACGCGCTTGAAGATGTCAACATCTGATCATCCAGAGTCAGATGGTCAGACGGAACGTGCCAATCGTGTCCTTGAAGAGATACTTCGAGGATACGTACACTCCTTTAAGAGTTGGAGTGAGTTTTTGCCGATGGTAGAGTTTGCCATCAACAACTCGGTGCATGCGTCCACGACACATACACCGTTTTACGTGAATGGCTTGCGCCATCCGCGTGTACCCACCTTACTAGAGTGTAACTCTGGTTTAAGGGGGGAGGGACTCGCGCGAGCAAAAACCGATTTGGTTCACGCTCATCACGCTCTGACGAAGAAGTCATTGCGTTTGATGCCGATATCGATAACATCGATATCGAAGAAGATGATGCCAGTGAGAGTGCGGAAGCCCTCACTGAAGACAATGATCCCAGTGAGAGTGCGGAAGCCCTCACTGAAGAAAAGGTTGTTGTCGCTGCAGTGCGCTCACAGCACACTGAAGCTAACGAGTCATCAGATGAGTTCATACTGGCTCGTGAAACGGTAGTCCGTTTTGTGCAAGACTCCATCGCCGAAGCGGTGGATAAGCAAAAGCAAAACGCTGACAAGAATGGAAGGGCAAACACTCTTTTATTTAATAAAGGTGACTTAGTCCTACTGTCTACGGTTAATCTACCAAAACATGTAGTGACTAACTTGGGTAGCAGTAAACTACTACCCAAGTACATTGGCCCATTTCGTGTATTGCACCGCCTAGGCAATGCATACACGATCGAGTTACCACGTAAGATGCGAACGCATCCCACGTTTTACGTTGGTCGGCTTAAGCCGTACCATCAGTACGCTGCTTCTTCCGATGAAGAACGCCCTTGCGCTCAAGCATCTCGCAGAGAGCCTTGTGCTCCCGATGGTGGGCATCAACAAGGGTCTGAAGAGCAGTTATCTCAGCCCGAGACCGATCAACAATCCCACGAGCTACCCTTAGCTCGTCACGAAGAGATGTCAGAGATCTCTCGTTCTCAAGCTGAGCAAAGGCAAACTCAGCTCGATGCTTCGAGGCAGTGTCCACCATCTGGAGACGCCTATTCCGCTCATGCTCGAGATCGTCGCGTAACCCTTGCGTTACGCGATCAAAGAAACTCTCGGGAACACACCGATCCACATGATCGTGTGGAGAGCGTCTTTCCTCCTCCTCCACCTCCATTAGAGGACTCTCGCGGTGGCCAGCGCTATCTAGTTGAGCAGCTGTTGAACCACCGCGACGTGAACGGACGTCGGACGAGTTACCTCGTCCGGTGGCGCGGCTATCCCCCGTCCTGGGATTCTTGGGAGCCCCGCTCCCAATTGATGGTTGACGTACTGGGTCTGGTCGAGGCAGTACGACGCGACACATCCTGTGCCGCAGAAGTACCGCCGGAGAAAGTCTTCCCGGCACGGTCGTAAAGGGATTTCAGGTTGTCAATCCCTTCGTACATCTCAGTAGAGACACGTACGCGCCACCACGGGCTGGTAAGGAGGTAAGCCTCCTTAGGTGCTCGTGCAGAGTTGTTCACACAACATGGGCACGAGTCTCCCCAAGAGAGGCAGGGTAATCCTTTCTCCCTTGACAGACGATGCAGCTTGTAGCGTGCACCTGTCGGGGTTCGCTTTTCAAACTTATCACGAGCTTTGATAAGTTTGTCGTTCCAAGCGTCACGACCTACATCCTCGAGATTATGGATGTAGGCGTTCCACGCCTGAGTAGTGAGGGACCATCACGTTTGTGATTCCCACTGTACCATCGATGTCTGAAGAAAGCATCGATGAAGAACTCATGTTCAGCGCGATAGTCTTTCGCGCTGGGGTCAAGTGATGAATCCTCGACGAATCGAACAATCGTGTTCGATAACGATCACTCGTCGTCGCCGACAAGTGATCCATGACAGATTTAGGAGGCATCCATGCCTTCTTTTCTGGAGCGAGACGCAACACATTGCGGTCCCGCTCTTCCTGCGACGTGCCGACAGAAGTACTGGCACCTCGCTGTGAAGTGGTGTCCATTGGAGAAACGACACCACTATTAGCGCCCGAGTCTCGCGACCTCGAGCGCCTTCGCTTCGGCGATGGTTCATCTGACTCATCAGATGAACCAAAGATGCTGCGACGCAAAGCATCGTCCATGCCACGCTTGGCAGGCGGCTTGGATTCAATTGCCGTCGATACGGATCCGTCATCCGTATCAGGAGAGTACGAGACACCGAGCTCGTACTCTGTGAAGACACGAGTGTCTTCATGACCAGCGCCTGCATCACCAGGTGATACAGGCTGAGTCGATTCAGCAACCGATGGGACATCAGTTGCTGTAGTTTCTGCTTCGGCGTCCGCACAGAGACGTGCAGACGCGCTCTCGGCGGCCTTGCTCGCGCATCGCATGGGCTTGTTTACCATGCGATGAGATGTTGGAAAGTGGACGCGGACCAACAAGTGCAAACCCCGTCCCAAATGATTTGGGGACGAGTATCCATTTAGTCAATCAGTCACTAAAGTGACTGATGGTTAAGGGGGGTGATGTAACGGGGTGAATCGTTACATAACAATTTATAAGAAATTGTTAATAGAATATAACTATAAGAGTTATATTCTCAGAATATTGTCATAAGGACAATATTCTGTAGCACTTCAAGTAGTCCCTAATTGGTTGATATAGGCCATTATATCAACCAACGAAGACGCGCCACGACAGACGCACGCAATGAGTGGTGAGCAGATAACTGATTTACACATTTGTATTTAGACATAGTTAGATGAAGATAAATAGTGATTTATTGCAGACATTAACTATTATAAATACAATTCTACTTTTTACTCTAACCAAGTACTCGCTTCTTCTTACCGTCTTCCTCTGCACGTACGAGTGTACGTGAAGTTACGAGGCACCGCCTTATTCTGTTATCAGAATAAGTAGCTTGTACTGTCACCAGTACAAGCTTCAGGGTGCCCCGTTACAAACAGTGCCTAGCGAATGTGTTAAGAGAGGACGCGACAGTTGCCACGGAAAAGGAATTTTAAAGGAGTATTAACTATCCCCTACGCACTTGAACTTTTGGCAGCCGCAGCTTAGGGGGCTCCGTCAACCAAAACGACCCGAAACACTTCGTCTCCGCGGGCAGACGGTTTATTACTTGCCGAGTCGGATACATCAGACTCTGTGACTATCCCTGGCGGCCTCTATCCAGCTACGCACGAGGATAGCATAGTGAAAGCGACGCACCCACCGATAACGACTAGCCAATGCACCGCACTCGCAGTATTTGAACTGGCGGGGGATTCAACGTTACTGCTCGTTGGAAAATTCTTTGGACACAAGGAATCAGTCATCCACGGCACGTAAACGCTTATATTAGCATTCATCGACAGCTATTGATCACGAAGGACAGACAGATTACAACTCGCAGGCGCAAGTGGTTCTAAAAAAAGGCCGAAATGACGAGGTTCCTCGGCTTCTCCCTTGTGAGCCTGACGACGAACGTATTGACGAGGAGGATTGGGCCTCTGCGTGGGAGTTATTGCAATCGGAATGGTCTTCAGGGACACATGTTCCTTTCCCCGCGGCATGGAGTACCAATGTGGAGTGGCAACGGATCGTACAGCATGCGCCGGATATTCTGATGTGGCATGTCAAACAGTTTGACTTTCCCGAACAGTTACGTTTGACTCTCGATGATTCCGTCTTTATTAGATGGACCATTGATGGTAGACGTGAATGTCTCGCAGCTGGCCTACAGAGATACAGGGACAGGACGACGGACAAACGTACACACGAATTACTGGACCGGTGGATCAGCAATACTCGTCATAGCAGTACCGACAAGGTACTGGCTTGTAACGGGGCACCCTGAAGCTTGTACTGGTGACAGTACAAGCTACTTATTCTGATAACAGAATAAGGCGGTGCCTCGTAACTTCACGTACACTCGTACGTGCAGAGGAAGACGGTAAGAAGAAGCGAGTACTTGGTTAGAGTAAAAAGTAGAACTGTATTTATAACAGTTAATGTCTGCAATAAATCACTATTTATCTTCATCTAACTATGTCTAAATACAAATGTGTAAATCAGTTATCTGCTCACCACTCATTGCGTGCGTCTGTCGTGGCGCGTCTTCGTTGGTTGATATAATGGCCTATATCAACCAATTAGGAACTACTTGAAGTGCTACAGAATATTGTCCTTATGACAATATTCTGAGAATATAACTCTTATAGTTATATTCTATTAACAATTTCTTATAAATTGTTATGTAACGATTCACCCCGTTACATCACCCCCTTAACCATCAGTCACTTTAGTGACTGATTGACTAAATGGATACTCGTCCCAAATCATTTGGGACGGGGTTTGCACTTGTTGGTCCGCGTCCACTTTCCAACATCTCATCGCATGGTAAACAAGCCCATGCGATGCGCGAGCAAGGCCGCCGAGAGCGCGTCTGCACGTCTCTGTGCGGACGCCGAAGCAGAAACTACAGCAACTGATGTCCCATCGGTTGCTGAATCGACTCAGCCTGTATCACCTGGTGATGCAGGCGCTGGTCATGAAGACACTCGTGTCTTCACAGAGTACGAGCTCGGTGTCTCGTACTCTCCTGATACGGATGACGGATCCGTATCGACGGCAATTGAATCCAAGCCGCCTGCCAAGCGTGGCATGGACGATGCTTTGCGTCGCAGCATCTTTGGTTCATCTGATGAGTCAGATGAACCATCGCCGAAGCGAAGGCGCTCGAGGTCGCGAGACTCGGGCGCTAATAGTGGTGTCGTTTCTCCAATGGACACCACTTCACAGCGAGGTGCCAGTACTTCTGTCGGCACGTCGCAGGAAGAGCGGGACCGCAATGTGTTGCGTCTCGCTCCAGAAAAGAAGGCATGGATGCCTCCTAAATCTGTCATGGATCACTTGTCGGCGACGACGAGTGATCGTTATCGAACACGATTGTTCGATTCGTCGAGGATTCATCACCTTGACCCCAGCGCGAAAGACTATCGCGCTGAACATGAGTTCTTCATCGATGCTTTCTTCAGACATCGATGGTACAGTGGGAATCACAAACGTGATGGTCCCTCACTACTTCAGGCGTGGAACGCCTACATCCATAATCTCGAGGATGTAGGTCGTGACGCTTGGAACGACAAACTTATCAAAGCTCGTGATAAGTTTGAAAAGCGAACCCCGACAGGTGCACGCTACAAGCTGCATCGTCTGTCAAGGGAGAAAGGATTACCCTGCCTCTCTTGGGGAGACTCGTGCCCATGTTGTGTGAACAACTCTGCACGAGCACCTAAGGAGGCTTACCTCCTTACCAGCCCGTGGTGGCGCGTACGTGTCTCTACTGAGATGTACGAAGGGATTGACAACCTGAAATCCCTTTACGACCGTGCCGGGAAGACTTTCTCCGGCGGTCCTTCTGCGGCACAGGATGTGTCGCGTCGTACTGCTCGACCAGACCCAGTACGTCAACCATCAATTGGGAGCGGGGCTCCCAAGAATCCCAGGACGGGGGATAGTTGCGCCACCGGACGAGGTAACTCGTCCGACGTCCGTTCACGTCGCGGTGGTTCAACAGCTGCTCAACTAGATAGCGCTGGCCACCGCGAGAGTCCTCTAATGGAGGTGGAGGAGGAGGAAAGACGCTCTCCACACGATCATGTGGATCGGTGTGTTCCCGAGAGCTTTTTGATCGCGTAACGCAAGGGTTACGCGACGATCTCGAGCATGAGCGGAATAGGCGTCTCCAGATGGTGGACACTGCCTCGAAGCATCGAGCTGAGTTTGCCTTTGCTCAGCTTGAGAACGAGAGATCTCTGACATCTTTCGTGACGAGCTAAGGGTAGCTCGTGGGATTGTTGATCGGTCTCGGGCTGAGATAACTGCTCTTCAGACCCTTGTTGATGCCCACCATCGGGAGCACAAGGCTCTCTGCGAGATGCTTGAGCGCAAGGGCGTTCTTCATCGGAAGAAGCAGCGTACTGATGGTACGGCTTAAGCCGACCAACGTAAAACGTGGGATGCGTTCGCATCTTACGTGGTAACTCGATCGTGTATGCATTGCCTAGGCGGTGCAATACACGAAATGGGCCAATGTACTTGGGTAGTAGTTTACTGCTACCCAAGTTAGTCACTACATGCTTTGGTAGATTAACCGTAGACAGTAGGACTAAGTCACCTTTATTAAATAAAAGAGTGTTTGCCCTTCCATTCTTGTCAGCGTTTTGCTTTTGCTTATCCACCGCTTCGGCGATGGAGTCTTGCACAAAACGGACTACCGTTTCACGAGCCAGTATGAACTCATCTGATGACTCGTTAGCTTCAGTGTGCTGTGAGCGCACTGCAGCGACAACAACCTTTTCTTCAGTGAG